TTGGAAAATGCTAATAGGAAAATAAATATATTTCAATTTAAGATGGTATTCCTCAGGTTAAAAGGAAATATAGTCATAATTGTGTCTATATATTTTATCATCTTCCTGAATAAAATATTAGAAGAAACATTGAAACAGATGCATATAAATATATCATATATCATTAAAATGACATCCATTCTGGAAACAAAAGTTTAAAGCTTAAGAAATTATAAGCAGAAAGAAATTCTGAATCTAGGATAAAGCATTTTCTGTACTGGGAGTGTGGCTCGAATTGTAGTAGTACTTGCCTAATATGCACAAGGTGCTAGGTTCAATCCCTGATACTACCAAGATACAGTATCACTAAAATACAACTAATGGTAAAACAAAATTATTATCAGAGGTCAAATGTGGTGGCTCCTATCTATAATTCCAGCTACACAGGAGGCAAAGATATGAAGTATCTTGGTTTAAGGCCAAGTGGGACAAAAAGTTAGTAAGACCTCCTTCTCTTCACAAGCTGGACAATGGTGTCATAAGCCTGTAATCCCAGATATGTGAGGGGCATAAGTAGTAGGGTCTCAACCCTAGACTGGCCTGAGCAAAATCTCCAGACTCTCTATGAAAATAACGAAAGGAATAGAGCTAGAGGGGCGGCTCAAGTGGTAGAATGTTTGTCTATCAAGTATGAGACTCAGAGTTCAAACCTAAAAAAAACTTCAAAACAAAAGTACGAGGCTCTGAGGGCCACCTAAAAAATTATCACCAGAAACAAGAAAAGTATATTTGATTTCACTACTATTATTCAGCCTTGTTCTGATGGTTCTAGCCAATGCCTTTAGGAAGGGAAAATTACCAGGCATCTATAGTATAAAGATAAATTCATTTTCCTCTTTCCCCATAAATCAGTAAACTGACTTAGCACTCCTGCATGTGAAGAGCTCAACAGAGTCTCAGCAAAGTCAGGGTTAGAATCCTTGATATAACATAAACATAGGTAGGTATTTGATTCCTCAAAAGCCTGGAGAGAGGGGGGGAGGCAGTTTTCCTATGTGCTTGTATAGGTACACAGACAGTAATATCTGATCACTGGATAAATTGTTCAAATCCAATGAATTTGAACAGTAATTCAGTATCACAACCCTGGAATTTAGAAAGAATGCTTTTGCTCAAGAATAAAAAGGGGTCATTACCCCAGAGCAAGGGGATACGAATTCTATCCGGAGTTCCAAACATTCATCTTGATACTTTCGTAATTATAGTTTCACTTTAATCCACTACCAGAGAAGGAAGGAACCCTCTTGAGCTTTCTCTCCTGCAACACAGCCTTAGGAGAATCACTAGCATAAATCAGCCACTAGGGGGAGTACGCATTGCACTTACTCATTCTAACAGTCCTTCCAAACCAAAGCTCATCCAGGTCCCTGAAAGACCAGTTTCCCCAACTTTCAATGCTTCCTTGAGGACCCGTTGCTGAATCCTGAAGGGACACACCACACTGAGATGGAGGGGCAAACGCACTAATCCAAGGCCTAAATTCTCGCCTATGACCTGAACCCAACTGGGCTAATCGCCTCCCAAGTCTACCTCTCAATACTGGTACACTGCACATCATGTTTCAACATAATTTTAAGAGGCACAAATGAGGGAAACCCAGGTGTGCATGTGGGTGGCTGGAAGGCCTGAGCCAGTCTCCTGACCAACACACAAGGCTCCCAGTGGTTGCTTGCTGATTCCCAGGGCGACACATCCCACTTTGCGCTTTGGCAAATTCAAACATCATGTCACTCACTCTCATGTATTTCCTGCCCTGGCATGGCTGTTTGTGCCTTGGAAATATCTTCTCCACCTGTCTGAGAGTTTGAGTTTGAGATCAGAGGATTGCAAATCGAAGCCAGCCCAGGGAGGAAAGTCTGTGAGACTTATCACACGTCACTTTGAGACAAATCTGGGCAGAAAAGTTTGTTAATCTCCACAGTAACTAATCATATTCTTGGCTGGAGGCATGGTTTGAGTGAGTGGAAGTGCTGAGCAAGTGAGAGGCACTCAATTCAAATACCAGTACTGGGGAAAAAACTAACAAACCAACTTGGATGGTTGAGGCTGGGAGAGATGGGGGAAGAATGATGAAAGGGGTAATACTGATCCACATTCATTGAACTCAAACTGACATGTTGAATTGTAATCCATTTGTACATATTTTAAACTAAATGTAAGCTATCAAATAATAGTTATAAAACTGTAACTTAAGAAAAGCTTGAGTTCCCCACCATTTATGTGAGAAAGCACCGTGTGAACCATCTTGTTCTCTTGATATTCATATTCCTTTGTATCTGAGACTTTGATAAATTGTCAAAACAAAGATCCAAACAAGATGTTTGACAAATGGGTTTGATAAGTAGATTGACAAAAAAAAAAAAAAAAAAAAAAAAGTTGTTTTTGCCAGAAATTACCAGATTTGACCAGCAGATGACGGTGTTGAACCACTGAGATAAGATGGTCCTTCAGTTACCACTGGTGTGAAAGTCATAAGCAAAAGCACAAGAAAAGGTAACTCAAGAGATTTTGGAGGATGCTTAAAAACTGTATAAAATTCGAGTGAGTCAATAAAAATAATACATTTCCCCTATTATGAAAAAAAATGGGGGAACAAGCCTATCAAATTTTACTCTTCTCTAAGTGCTCCAGAAAGTGCCCAGATCCTTCTGCTTACATATTCCTATTAATTTAGCTACACTAAGCCTTTTAGGAATGAAAGATAATCTACTCATGCAACTATATCTCCCAGGGTCAATGGCCAATGACATGATAGCCAGGGGCTCACATGCCAGCTGCTCAAGGCCATGGTGAAGGATGCATTAGCTTTGAGAGGTCTTTGTCCAGATTGCCAGGCTTTTTTTTTTTTTTTTTTTTGATCGGTCATGGGCTTAACTCTGGGCCTGAGCACTGTCCCTGTGCTCTTCAGCTCAAGGCGAGCACTCTACCACTTGAGCCACAGTGCCACTTCCGGTTTTCTAGTGGTTTTTATTGGAGATAAGAGTCTCCTGGACTTTCCTGCCGGGGCTGGCTTTGAACCGTGATCCTCAGATCTCAGCCTCCTGAGTAGCTAGGGTTACAGGTGTGAGCCACCTGCGCCTCGCTTTGCCAGGCACTTTTTGCTAGCAGTTTTCAACCTCAAGAAATTTAGCCTATTGTCTCAAAATACCAAGTTTATCTAACTTCACTTTCAAAGACCAAACCACTAGACAACCTTCTGAGTATAATATCACTCCCTCTATAGCTTCCTCCAGAATCAGACTAGCCAGTTTATTATTGCTTCAGAGCAGTAAGATTTGTGCCAGACACTTAAATCTGTGGATTCAGTTCTTCAAATGCTCTTTTTTAATTGTGGATTTAATTTAAAAAACAAACAAGACTTACCATGGAGTGACTTGCTCAGGGTTGTGATTTCAAGTTTTCATACTCAGGCTAATTCCAGAGCTCAGTTCTCACACCCTCCTTCCTCATTCTCTCCTTCCACTAAGCTCCAGCTAAGAGGTAGCATACTGTTTGCTACAACTAGAACAAATGTAGTAGTGGTTATTGCAAATGAACTGTACAACTGTGGGGATGGCGACTGGGGGAGAGCAAGGGAAGGGGGGGCCTTGTTAAAAAAGAAATGCACTTTTCGACTTACATAACCGCAACCCCTCTGCACATCACTTTTTTAAAAAATAAAAACAACATGAAAAAATGATTTTTAAAAAAGTGCCAGGCACATATCTATTTCTGCTGCTGACACTGAAACTTCCGACAAGCACAATAAGCATATGGAAGATCGCTGTGATTTCATCAAGTAGCTCCGTCAAGCAATGTCTGGGAGACAGGCTGCTTCACTCTGACACCAGCTGCTGATGCTGTCTTTTCTAATAGTATTTCTAGAGCTACAATTGCTAAATGGTCTACACACCTGGTTTCTAATCCTGGAATCTCTAAGTGCAATGAATTTTGAGTGTCTAAGTGATCTGTCACTCAGCTGGTAGCTGGCATAGCCATGGACTTTATCGAATGTGTGGATGACTGGTGGGGCACAGACAGTTAGAAAGGGAGGCTTTGCGGTCCACACAACTGACAGATGAAAATTAGTAACTAAGGCACTTTTTTTTGTTTTTGTAGTGAGATTATGTCTCACTATGTAGCCAAGTCTGGTTTCTAAATGAGGTCTGTCCTCTTCAGCCTGCTAGGTGATGAGATTTTGAATGTGTACCACATGTATACACCATAACAGAACAGGGAAGATGGGACCAGACAGGATTGTTGATCTCGATGATCTTGGAGAGGACCAAGGATGCACAAACCTCTTCAGCTGGAGCTCTGACCTGAAATATGCAGTGCTTGGCTACTCACTCACTCATAAAATAGCTGTTTTATTTTGTGCCAGGCTAGGGACACAGTTGTGAAAAAAAGGAGACAAAGTCCCCTTCCTGTATGGAGTTTTTATTTTAATGGACAATGTCATACATGAACACACTAAATAAGTAAATTTTCTATGCTGGAAGATATGTGTACTGTGGATAGAATCAGAACACATGAGAGAACAGGACAAGGTACTGAGGTTTTAAGTTGATTAGTCAGGAGTTCATCTGGTTGCTGGGAATAGAACCCAGTACTTTAACCATACTAGACAAGTGCTCTGCCATTGAACTATATTCCCCAGTCCCGATTCATTTGAACAGACTGGAACATGAGTAGTTTGCTAAGATTAACAGAAGAGCCTTGCAAGAAAAGAACAGTCAATATCATCACTATAACACAGAGCCATGAAGTGAGAGCAAGGTAAGTCCCAGGCAATAATGACAGCTCCCAAATGTTAGAAGAGCTTCAATGCCTAAGTGGTAGCCATTCAGTATGAGACAGGTACTCACATATTGGCTCTCTTTGGAGGTACATTAGTTGGTTTTAAACAGGAGCTTGAGGGTCCCGAGAGTTTTAATGTACATTATATCTGTCAGTATTTATTATTTCAGACATTAAAACCAAGACATTTGAAAATACTTAATAATTTGTGTAAGAACAGCAGTAGGAATGCCATCACATGGTACCATGGGTGTGATTTTTACAAAATGATCATATTTTAAAACAGCAATAGAGATGGCATTGTTTCATTTTTGCAAATCTCCTTAACTGAAGTAGCTAGAATTCTAGACTCTAGATTTGCTTCTGTATTCAACCTACCTTGACATATTGTTTTGGCTAAAATCCAGGAAGAAATGTGAATGTGCACAGGTGCACCGATGGAAAAGGGAAGAATATTTTAACAGCCTTTCCAGATAATGGTGATCAGTCTTCTTTGAATGTATACTAAAACTGAACAAGTGTTGTCTCTTAGGGATTAGTTGCAGTGTGTAATCTGAAACTACACCTTCAACTTCTTCAAACTCTGCTATATTAAAGTCCATTGGTTCATTTTTTACATCCAACAGATCTTTTTATCTATGCCTAGTTATGTAACATCATGTATTTTTCATCCAGAAAATACTGATTCACTGAATTACACAGATGTTCTAAATAATCTTTACAAAATATCAGAAAAGTTTTTCAGTGAAAGGAGGCTGAAGTTCTCAGTGAACGACACAAGGTTCCCCAAAATTACAGATATTGCTGCAAATTATAAATTTTAGCATTGGCAACAAATACCATGTTACTTTTCTTCAAGTGCAAAGCTGAATTTATTCAGTCTTGAGAAAATGTTGACCCAAAGCCAAGGGTGAATAACCACCACAGTGTCAGTCACTATGGTTGGCATTTGCTAACCACTACAAATGGTATTCCAATTTAATTTATAACTAAACAATCAGAGGAGTGCTATTCAGAGGAGTGCTATTCCCGACGACCACCATGCCCCAGCATGCAGAAGTGCTTCAGAACACACTTGCCACTTCAGAGACAAATACAAAGGCACAGAAATGCCAAAGACACAACTAGAGAGCTATGATAAATTCAACACAAGCTACCTTCTGGTAGCTGGATACGAATGAATGAGATGATGAGGGACTTTCATGTTTTTAGTCTAGTTTGAATGTTATATAATGGAAATGGATTCATGCATTATTCCTGTAAACTAAGGAAACAAGGTGACCATAGAAAGTCTAGCAGGACACACTGAAGGAGTGGACTGATGACCTTCTAGTGGACCTTAAAAAATATTCTGGGTTTTTTTTAGTTCTTCTACCATAAATACCATAAGCATGTATTCCTTCTTCATCAAAAACAATTGTTTTTACTTACTAAAAGTTAATCAGAGGCTTTGGAATGAAATTATACACTGTATGGTATATATAATTGCTTAAAAGTTATATAAACCACAACCACAGTTGACCCCACTATGTGTCAGAGTACGGCTGTAGATATTTAAGTTATTTGTAAAACGTAATACTAGAAATGAATTCTGACATCTCAAATATTAAAGGTACCTGGAGTCATTAGTTAAGTAAATGAGATTAAAATATTTAACTTTTTTTATTTAGTTTGGAGTACATTATTTTTTATTATCTGAAAAATAATAAAAATAGCATGAAATACAAAGTATATAGTTGTCTAGTGCAACTGGAATCTTTTATATGTTCTTTTCCCCCACTAACATGAAACCCAAATGTTTCATTCATAAATCTGGTCAACTAATATTATATAATAATGCAAATCAAAGCTTCATCAAAAGATAGAAAGGATAACATAAAATAGCTGTTTTATATTACAAGACCATTTTGGTATGACCCTTTTATGTAAATCAATATAATACAAATCTGTTCTTTCTATTAAATCACCACACTTTACGTTTTCCAAGTATGCAATTGTTACAAATAGAGATAAGATCACAGGATAGTACGGCTTCTGGAAGAGATCTGAAAGGAAATCAAATTTAACATTCTATTCTATTAAGTTATCAGGAGGCCTCACCACTCTGAAATGTAGGTTAATTTAAAATGCCAGTCCTGCTCTAAATAGATGAGTTTTACTTTAAAATCAGAATACTTTTTAAGCTAAAATACTCTTCACTCTTTTCAGAAATGACTTATAGCTCTCTTCTTAACATACAGTGAGACATGCCAAGTTGTTTTTTTTAAATGTCATCTTAACTAAAAAGACCTTTCTTTTTTGTTTTTGTTGTTGATTTCTTGTTGCATACAGCTAAGGTCGTATTTCCTTTGGCAAACCAGTCAGGCAATCTTCTCTTTGAGGTCTCAGATGAAGTCTACAGGAAATATAAAGAAAAAGAAATATCTGTACTACTGAAAATATTTATCAGCTACAACCAAAAAGTAACAGAGGTTCTTCATGCACACACACACACACACACACACACACACACACACACAGAGCACCAAATCAAATCAAACAAGCAGTGAAATCTATGTAATTTGTTTCTGTAGGTCAAAATTTATTTCTATAGATAAAAAAGTTGAGAAATAACAGAAAAAGTAAATCACACTACCATTTCTTTAGACAATTACTTGCCATCATCAATGTATATGTCAAGAAAAACTTAGTATTTCAAATCTATGTCTTAGCTTTCAAATGTCTTAGTATTTCAAATCTATGTCTTACTTGCTTTGGGTTGACAAGGATGTTGAATGTAATGTTCTGAGTGAGGTACACACATACATCCCCATACGCACACATATACAGTGTATCACAGAACCACGACAAAGAATGGAACTTCTAATATCCACAATGGTAGAATTACTAGAAGAATGATCAGTCATTATTAGCACCAATCCAGACGCCCATCAGTAGATGAATGGATCAAAAAAATGTGATAGATAGATAGATAAATAGATATTCTATGCTTCCATCAGAAATAATGACACCACCCCATTTGTTAGGACATGGAAAGACTTGGAAAAAATCATATTAAGTGAAGTAAGCCAGAGCCAAAGAAACATAGGTCCCATGGTTTCCCTTATTTGCAATAATTAGTATACATCTTGGATAATTTTATCAGATGAGCAGAAAAGCTCAAAAGCTATATATATATGACCATATAAGATGACGCTAAGGGAAATGAACCCCAATATATATGGGCAAAAGAAGTTTTTATTTGTTGTTGTTTTTAATGTACTATATGATTTTTTTGTTTCTTTTGTATGTTCTTCTCCTTATGGTATATCCCGTTGTCACTGTAATTGATTTTGGTATCCTGAATCTTGTATATACATTTATCTAATTTGGGGAGGGGAAAGGGATTAACAAAATACAGAAACAAGGACACATCAAAACCAATTGCAACAATGATACTCACAAGACACTATGTTGGAAGTGAGAGATACTATGTTGGGGGAGAGAGAAGGGATAGGAGAAAAACAAAGGAGTGGGTAACAATGCTAGACAAGAAATGTACTCATTCCCTTCCTCACATAGCTATCACCTGTCTGTACAGCACCTTTACAATAAAATAAACGTTAAAAAAAAGAATTCCCTTATAGCACAAAACAGTCACTGACATAATACTAGCATTGAATTCTGACATCTTAAATATTAAAGGTACTTAAGAGTCATTAGTTAAGTAAATGAGTTTAAAATATTTAACTGTATTATATTTAGTTTGGATACATTATGTTTTATTATCTGAAAAATAACAGAAATAGCTTAAAAATACAAAGTGGTTCACACCTGTAATCCTAGCTACTCAAGAGGCTGAGATCTGAGCATCATGATTCAAAGCCAGACCAGGCAGGAAAGTCTTATCTACAATTACTCATCAGAAAACCAAGAGTGGCGCTGTGGCTCAAGTGATAGAATGCTAGCCTTGAGCTGAAGAGCTGACATGACGGACAGTGCCCAGGCCCAGAGTTCAAGCCCATCACCACCACCAAAAATAAAAATAAATAAATAAATAAATAAATGAATGAATAAAAATACAAAATTGTTTAGTGCAAATGGAATCTTTTATATGTTCTTTTCCACCACTTACATGGAACCCAAATGTTTCATTACCCTAACCAGTTAGGGAAGGCAACTTTGTTCCTTTCCAATGAGAGAAGAGAAGAACAAGAACAGAGAAAATGTTGTACAGTGAAAGATAAAAGGAAGTAAGGCATATCAGGCAAAGTGGAATACAGAAAAGGCATTTTGGAAGTAGACAAGCTGGGCCCAGAGATCAGAAACAGAACACATGTTCAATCTCTAGCACCAAAGGAGAACAGGAGGAGGGCAGGGAACACAGTAATATTTATTCTTCATAAAAGATATTAATTCAAAATCCCTTTTGACAATAAACTACTGTAAATAGAGGCTGAACCCCTATGTGCACTAGACCTAAGGGTTAGGTGGTATGAGGAGGTGAGTAAGGCCAAAAAGTAAAACCAAAACAAGCCATTAACACAAAAGTAGGATAAAGAAAGTCCTAAGTCTTTTGGTAGCCAAAAGCCACAGGATAAGCATAACAAACAACAACAACAACAACAAAAGTTTTTTCAGTTTTAATTGCGCCATATGCTAATTGTATAACCTTATGTATGTTACTTAAATCTTAAATTCTTCATACAAAAAGTAATAGCAAATAAATTACTGGATTATGTGAAGTTCAATGAGATTATCTGCAAAATATTACAACAAAATATTCTTTTTTTTAATAACAAAATATTCTTGTAGCTAATATCACTTGAAGTTTTACTATAGTATTTCTTTAGACAATGACTGTTAAGTTTTTCATGCAACAATAATAATCATCTTATTCTACTGAGAAAAGGGGGAAATACATTGAATGTGGTTTTTGTATCAGTATCTAAAGAAAACTTAATTGTGAGACCTATGTCTTCTAGTTCTTATTTCTTATACCAGCAAAATACTAAAATTCTTAGAAATTAAAATAAAATGTATGGAACTATTTACCTCTTTTTGATACTCTAAATTCTATTAACAAGACATTGCTATTAGTGAATAGAAAACACTCATTTGCAAATTATATGTGCATATACATACATAAGCAAATACAGAAATGTTATATGTGTATGTTACTTTCATCTATAAGAAGAAAACTAAGCACATTAGTTATCAAGCCTGATGTTATTTATAATGAAAACTAGTTTTGTGAGTCAATTTTACCTGTGAATGAGAATGTGAAAATGAATCTTCTATTTCTGGATCACTGGATGGCTGAGTCCAAGAAGCTAGTCTTATTGAATTACTGTGGCCTTTGTCTTCCAGTGAAATGCTATCAAGATGTGTTTCATCAACCTTTAAATTTTTCATGGAATACAAAATAGTTATACAATTATAACCTCTAAAGTACAAGACAATCCATCAAGGCATGGTTAAGATAATAAACGAACTTATTTACACTAGAAAGGGGCCTGTGACTACCTTGTCCTGGGCTGGTTAAAAGCCAAAATAATCTCTTAGTGAATTACTAATTCAATGAAGTTTATCGCAAAGCTCAATAATTTTAGGGCTAGAAAACTGAAGATCAAATTTTCAAATTTACACAATCATTTAAGTGTCACCTTGTCAGAAGTCATTCTCTAGTCACTATTTTAATTATATACTGCACTAAGCAATGATTTTCAAAGCATTTGATTTTAATACAATATACTTTCTAAAATAATTCAAAATATGTAATCTTTTTCTAATTATTCAAAAAACACTATGGCATGCTCAGAACCATAGCAATAATTATCCTTGCGCCCTCTATATTCAATGTAATTATAACAGTGACCATGATGAATAACAGATCAACAAATTTAGGGAGAAGATGTTTATAACAGGATCTAGGTTTGTTTTTATTAGCCATTTAGCTGTCATAGGCTTAACTCCACTAACTAATCCTCTGAAAGAAGGTATACTTCAGCCATAAAAGCAACACAGGGAAAACTGAAGCTTACATAATACACAATAAACTGAATCAATGGACTATATTATCCTTTCACTATTTTTTTAAATTACTTTTCTCATATTCTGAAAAGCGAACACATCACACAGATAAGGACATAACCTTATATCAGAATTAACAGTTCCAAAAACATAGCATTCTAGTATTAAACATGCAAATTGAGCAAACTGAAATTGTGTGAAAATTCTGTACATAATTAACACCTTCGTATCCATGAGTACTTCCTTGCTCCTTTTAGAACTTGAACAAGGCTCTTCAGAGTTGGGGAAACATCGCTTTCTGTTGGAATCCCAGGAAGACTGGCTTGAAGAAGGTCTGCAGTCATGGTCATTCTCAAGGATCTCAATTGCCATGTGGATAAGGTACATATCAATGTTTTCAGGAACCAACATTCTAATTAGTTTTATATTGTACATATCTGTAAGAGATTGAAAATGCATTTAGAAAGTTTTACAGAACTTTTTATCAAATCTGTGTGCTGAAAATGGTAAAATATTGCATATAAAAGAAGGAAGAAGGGTGCCAAAGAAAACTTTCATCTTTTTGAAAGCCCCACTAAAGGGAAATAAAGTCATGTCCCTCCTGAATTGCCTCAACCCTGAGCCCAAAGCCAGCCAAGCAGGGCTGGAGATAATACAGTTCCCACTGGAAATTCAGATTGGCCCAATCCCTTCGTACCTTCTATAAATCAAGCAGGAACTGCACACAAATATTTATACTTCAGATTTGACTTCATCTGTAGTGCAAAACTAAGCAACTTAAATCTTTCTCTCATCTTTCTATAATTTATAAAAACACAACTATTTCTGACACTCAACTCAATTTTTTAAATGCCATCCAAAAAAGTGGCTTTAAATTATTACAATTTTCAGGTACATGTTCCCTTTTCTTTCAAAGATCTTAGTTTGCTATTTTAGCACTTCCCCAAAACATTGCAGGTTTGCTTGCTTGTTTGGAAGGCAGGTAAAGAAGGTTACATAACTGACAGAAAACAAAACAGTCAGTTGTCTAAATAAAGTTATAAAATATGAGGGCTAAACATAGTCTAGGAAAAGTTACTGCTAGCTGGGTGCCGGTGGCTCACTCCTATAATCCTAGCTACTCAGGAGTCTGAGAGCTGAGAATCATAGTTTGAAGCCAGCCCTGGCAGAAAATTCCCTGTGAGACTCTATCTACAATTAACCACTCAAAAACTGGAAGTAGCGCTGTGGTTCAAAGTAGTAGAGCAAAAAAACTCAGGGACAGCACATACACCTTGAGTTCAAGCCCCACAACCAATTAAAAAGGAAAAAGTTACTTCTACATCTAGTAAAGTCAGCAATGTGACTAACATTGTTCCTTGAGCATTCTATCACCTTAAATACCACAGAAACTCCATCAATTTTACTAACCATTGCTAATGTCTGAGGAGTATTTTGTCCTATATGTGTATCAGGATTTATCTTGTGTCCAGTGCCTTTCATTTGTCTTCAACTTTTCTTTTAAAAACATTCTCATGAACATCTTACCACATATGTCTTTCACTATTTCTGATTTTTTTTTTTTTGATCCAGTCATCGGGCCTGAACTCTGGACCTGGGCACTGTCCCTCAGCTCTTCAGCTCAAGGCTAGTGCTCTATTACTTGAGCCACAGCGCCACTTCCAGCTTTTTGTTTTTCTGCTTATGTGGTGCTGAGGAATCGAACCCAGGGCCTCATGCATGCAAGGCAAGCACTCTACCACTGAGCCACCTTCCCAGCTCACTATTTCTGATTTTTATTTTTACTTTTTGGTGGTACTGAAAATGGAACTCAGGGCTTGATACTTGTTAGTCAAGTGCTCTTTCACTTGAGCCACAAAGCCTAGCCCTTCCCATACTTCCGTTCCTAGATATGGGAAAGAACAGACACATTCTTTAATTGTGCTTTAATTTATATTAAAAGATCTCTAGGACTGTGTGGCCTAATATAGGAACCATAACCAACCACATGTTGCTACTGAGCACTTGGTATGTGGCTCCTGATTCACTTATTGAAAGACTTTTAAGTTTTTGTAATCTAATCTAATCTACTTATTCAACTAGAAATTTTAGGAAAGCTAAATCAAATTTTCTAATTAAATATTAGCATGCGGCAAATATATGTTATAATTATAAAATACCTGACTTCAAAGTATAATTACAGAATATGTGAAGTATCTTGTTTGTAATGTTTATATTGATTAAAGGTTGAAATGATAAAATTTTGGATACAATGAGCCTTACTATTACTAAAGGTAATTGCATTGCTTAACTTTAAATGTGGCTATGAGAAAATTCTAAATTGTTAATGTTACTCTAAGAAAACCCCAAGTTTTCTCACACTTTAATCAATTAACACAGCTACACAATACTATATTCATTTTTTTGTGTGGGTTATTAAAATTTAGATAAATATATATCCTTAAATTCTTGTAAAGTTACAACCAAAGAAAAACAAAGGTACTTTATTCACTTTGAATTTTATTTCTAAAATCAGAATGTCTTTTTAAAATAATGATACATAAGCAAACAGCTGTGGCTCCATCCACTGTCTAAATGTCTAAAGTTAATATGACTGAGACATAATTAGAAAATTCAGTTTTACACATTTTTGTAAGTACCCTCTATATTTTTATATTAGAGCCATCTTACATTTTATATATCTGCAAATAAGCAGCAGCTATTTTTAAGATCTTTAAAGAATTATGTCATTATGTAACACAATAATGCTAACTGTATGTAAATAAGTGCTAAAAAAATATTTACTGGAGGATTAAGGGACAAAATTAGCAATACTCCTTCAGAGCTTTGAAGGAGATCATGTTACTCCTTCTTTCAAGGCAGGTCCCTTGGAAGCAATTCTTAATTTTCCAGTTACATGCACATAAAGAATGGGACAAATAAATTATTAAAAATATTATCTAGATACCTCATTAAATGTCTCACTTATTATTAAACAAAGTATCTCAGAAAAGAAGTTTGAACTTATAAAAACATGGAGAAAAACAAGAATAATAGGGGACAGAATGATATGATGAGTTAACCTAGCCAAAACCTATATGGCAGGTAAGATTATACAAAAATAAGATTTCAATTCATACTCTATTTTAGATACCTAAGATACTCTATTTTAGATATCCTAAGATTATGTTCTAATAAAATACAGAAATTTTCTCAATTTGAGAGTGTGCAAAATTTATTTCAACCAAAGCTTTTAATTAAAAAAATGAATGCTGAGCATCAGTGGCCCATGCCTGTAACCCTAGCTACTCAGGATACTAAGATTGAGGATCATGGTTCAAAAACACCTCAGACAGGAAAAAGTCTGTGACACTCTTACCTTCAATTAACCACAAAAAAGTGGAACTGTAGCTCAAGTGGCAGAGCTCTAGCCTTGAGCAAAGGAGCTCACAGACAGCACTCAGGTCCTGAGTTTAAGTGCCAGCACCAGAACACACACACACACACACACACACACACACACACACACACACACACACACACAAAAGCATTCAAGAAAGTGTATGAAGCTCATATGCAAATACTGCATAATTATATATAAGACTTTGAGTATTCAGATACGTTCACATTCATGTTATCCTGAAAACTAACAGATACTGAGGGACAATTAAAGGTTTTTGAAATTTTGTCTTGCATACTTACTAACATCATATATTTTTAATTAGCTATTTAAAATGATAGTTTAAAAGTACCCAAATTTAAAGGATTATTTTTAAGATGCTCTAAAATCTGACCAACTACTCAATCAAAATCATTTTTCAAGCCAGGCGCTGGTGGCTCACACCTGTAATCCTAGCTACTCAGGAGGCTGAGATCTGAGGATCACAGTTCAAAGTCAGCCTAGGCAGGAAAGTCCATGAGACTCTTATCTCCAATAAGCCACTCACAAAACCGCTGTGGCTCAAGTGGTAGAGTGCCTGCCTTGTGTTGAAGAGCTAAGGGACAATGCCCAGGCCCAGAGTTCAAGCCCGACTGACAAAAATAATAATAATTTTTGATACAGGAGCGCTTTCTGTGTAGTATCTAGCTTATTTTCCACAACTCTATAAAGGGTCAGTATTATCCCTCCCCATTTTAGAGATAAGAAAACTAGAACTCAAAGATATAGAGGAAGTTGCCAATAGTCACATAGCCACAAAATGGCAGTCAAAAGCTCAACACAGCTATGTCTGCATGCAGGGCCTTTGCTTTTTTTTTTTTTTTAGACCAGACTAGTCCTATTTTTTAGTCTTCATGTAAACCAGATGGCAGCAAAAATGAATAACAATATTAAAAAAAAAAAAGGAAATGAAAAGAACTGCACAACTCCTTAAAAGACAATACTGCCATACTATCTTTTCAAAAGACAAGTCCTAAGAAACAATGATAATAGAAAAACAACAACAACAACAGCGCCTGAGTGTTAAAAGTAAAAAGACCTTTATCTTTTTGGATTTCTCTAAAACACTGTATCATTTTTGCACTAGACAAAGTTTATACAGCATAATCTAACCTACAAAGAATTCCTATTTTCCTTCCACTACCTTAGTTTCTGACAAAATAGTTGCTCGTGTTAGAAAGACTGGAATGTGACCAAAAGAGTTTGTGAGCTTTTTTATGAGTGAGTTACAGCTAACTTTGGTTGGTTATTTTACGCTCACACATGATTTGATCCTCAGCTTTTCAAATTTAAAAGCTTAATTTAACCTTAGTTTCATACTGACCAAGATCATAAATTAACTTATTTTATTATACAAATTTATTGTTATGTGTATATGTTATATATTTAATAATATACTGATTTATTATATAAAATAATTTATTAACTTAAAATTAAGAATGCACAATTATGATTTAGACAAATTAACGGGACTAGAGCATGGTTTCCCTACAGAGGGATATGCATGGGAAATCAAATTATAATCAGAAAGGTAGGAACTGACATAGAAACAGAATTACTTGTTCAGAGTCTATCTCAAATACAATCTTTATATAACATATCAACAGGTATTAGTATAGCAGAAATCTCACTGACCACCAATCCTGATCCAGGATCTTATACCACCAAACTTGCCTGTGCCTATTTTCCTGTGTTGGCACTATACAGTACTGGGATTCATGAAGGTATTTGTTGTTTATACCATTATCAGGTCTTACATAAGCCTAGAAATAATTTTGACTTTAAGTATAAAATCAAGAACAGAATCAAATGAGCTATGACAAAGCAGTCATTCCCATTATTCCCTTCCAAATTCTTAGGAAGAAGCTTGTAGTAGTTTCTGTAAAGAATTTGAATAATAAAAAGTAGTGATTCACACAGCTTTGTTTTGGGTTGTTTTTTTTTTTTGTCGGTCGTGGGGTTTGAACTCAGCCTGAGCGCTATCCTTCAACTCTTCAGCTCAAGGCTAACGCTCTACCAGTTGAGCCACAGCACCACTTCCATGATTCACACAGCTTTGGAGATAAACCTTTTTTTTTTTTGGTCACTTGTGGGGCTTGCATTCAGGACCTGGGGCATTACCTCTGAGCTTTTTCACTCAAGGCTAGCGTTCTACCACAGAGCCACTTCTGGTTTTCTGGTGGTGGTGAACTGGAGATAAGTCTCACAGACTTACCTGCCAGGGCTGGTTTTGAACTATGATCCTCAGATCTCAGCCTCCTGAGTAGCTAGGGGTACAGGCCTGCGCCACGGGACAGGTGGCTGGAGATAAAACTATTTGAATGGCCACTGCTCTATGTAACATTCTGGAAAATCCTCTAACACAACGTACGTTACTTCTATAAAAAAATGGATCACTACTTAAAAATGTCTACAGGGCTTGACCTCTATGAGCACAGTTGAGGCTGTGCAGCACAGAGACAAGGGTATTCCTTCTACATGGGTTACAGAGTTTGGCCTATCTGTGCAGCACCACAGTGTCTGAAACCACTCACTACTCACTCGAGAGGCTTCTCAAGTACAACCAACAAAGAATCAGAGAGGCTTGAATGCATGTGGGGAAAAATGTGTTATGGTTATTTGGGGGGGAGGGAATTGAGACAGGATCTCACCATTTGGCTAACCTCCAGGCTGGGCTGGAATTTAGAATCCTCCTGCCTCATCTTTTTGAGTTCTGGGATGAACTACCTCTTTTAGTTCAAAATATTGTTTGTTCTTTTTCCAGGTGATAACATGGAAATTAGAAAAAGACCAAAGTGCTCTGTTTTGGAATGTGTGGAAAAATTAATCTGAAGCTAAAAAGGCAAGGAAGAATTTCTCATTACTTTCTTATGAGCAATTAATAAAACTTTTAAAAAAGACTGCCTTTGCTTATGAAAAAGCATTACAAAAGTAAGGTTTTCACAGTAGCAAAAAGATCGATGTTGTTAAAATGAAAATATAAGTGGACTACTTGTTTACTTCATCTAGGTTTCAGTAACTCAAGTCATTAAGGCTGAAGGGTAGAGCCCTGTTTATCACCTGAGTTGATGGGAGGGTTTCGGATAACATCAGCAATAATCTTCTGAACCTCTGGAGTCAGGCCTGCTCGCTCCATATCCAGGGGGTAGCCAGCTTTCACTGCCTGGGCTAAGTGCATACCAACTGCTGTGAGAGGCAGAATCCTGTTCTCAGCTATGCTGTGCTAAAGAGAGAACAGCAAAAAGACCCAGTGAGTGTCCATGTTTCCGTATTTCATGAAAAGGAAATACTCCCAACTTTCCAGTGGCAAATGCTCACAGTGGCCTAAACCTTTACTTAAATTTTCATTTCAACTATTTTTTTTTTAAAGAAAAATCACTGAAGATTTACACAGATGTTTCACTGATAAAACACAATTACCTAACCTTAGCCAAGAATTCAATGCTCATCCCTAACTATTCACCATAAAAAGCTACTAAGAGAAAGAAAAGTCATTCTATAGTCAAGTCTAATAGCTGTACACTAGTGTCTATTTGAAAAAGTAGAAAACACTATTCTAACATTCTATACACTTGAAAAACACATAGTGATTCTGTCACATTAACTTCCAAGAAGACAAATTCTAAAATTCTCAGTGATAACATACTTTTCCAAAATGCACCCTAAAAAAGGCCCTTAATGTTTTAAATTCTTAAAATAACCATGATTTTAAACAAGGGCTGTCATCACTACCCAACAACTAAACTTAATGTGAATTATGTTCAATTTAGTGCAATGTTTTGTATTTATAAAGCTTTTAAATAGATATGACTCAAATATATTTAAGATATGATTAGCTAAAACATTCATTTAAAAAGAAAATTTTAAATTTCATCTCATTTGATGATACTTTCAATATAGTTTGAAAATCTAAACTTAGACTGTATTTCTGTGAATGTTGACATTTTCTCAGAATAGACCATTTAAAGCAATATTATCATCTTTCAAAGATAGGTATTAAGTTACTTTCATTAAATGTCTACCTTTTTCTACTAAGAAGTGTGCACCATGTGTGCATAATATCAGGGTTATTTGATCCAGGGCATCAAGTTACCTAAAACTAATTGTATTATTGCTCTTGATTAATTAGTCCTTAGGCAGGTTTAATTTTGTGGTTAACTGGCAAGACCTTCTTAGACTCCAGGGAGGTATAGATAACTAACCATCATACTGCACAATAAAATATTACAAAGACATAAATGAAAATAAACCATTCTTTACATTTAACCATGAAAAGATATGAAATTCTTATTATGACTAAATATTAGAGTATATTTTATTCAGAAAATTTGGAGCCCATACCAATTTTTCTTAATAACTATATTCAGTTCCACCAAACCCATATATTTAAATCACATATATACGCACACAGAGGAATATTTAACATGTGCATGTAAGTTATTGTTTACATAAGAATTCAATTTGAAATTCCCATTTACCATGTGTTTTAGTTAAAAAATAATACAATGGAATTACATGGCCCTTATACTTTTAATTAAGAAACTTGATTATTTAATTAGATCATTTAAGTGAGTGAGATCAGATGTGACTTGTTTTTTCTTCCTAAAGCTGATTGAAAAGTAATATAGGATAGGGGCACAGAGAAGAGGTAAAACAGGCAGTAGAACATTGATCTATTCCAAATCAATTTAATGCAAATCAATAAAATGTAACTGGAAGCCTTATACTATCAAGATATAATCTCCATTTATATGTCAAAAAACCTCAACAACCTAAAGGATTTATGTTAGAACAAGTATGGTCATTTTAACAGTAATTAGATTTCCACCCCTCTTTCCCCCCAAAAAACCCACATTGTCTAAAAAACAAAGGAGAAAAAAAATCAGTGCTAGCAGACACAAAGAAAAAAATTTGTGTTTGAAGCTGTTTCTAGTTTTTTGGGCACCACTGTAGAGAACATTTTTAACACATACAAGAATAATGTGAATTTAACAGCATTCATATAAACACACCTTTTACATAATGTTTCACATCTTTTTTTTAAAAAAATCTTATATCTTGGAGATTGTTTCTCTTCTTTTTTCTTTTTATGGCAGTGCTCAGAACTGAACCCAAGTTCTCACACATGCTAGGCAAGCACTCTACCATCTTAGACCCAGAGGATGTTTTCTTAACAATACATGAATGAAAAGTTTACAAAACAGTTAAGAAACTATTCACTTTTGTATTATTTTTAGTCCCATTTCTAAAAACTAGTATTAAAATATTGCTGTATTACCCTTGAGCTACAAATGTATTGGTCTGTAACCTGATACAACTTCTGTAAGATAATCATGGTCAAATTATTCTTACTGCTGCTACTTAATGAAGAGATAGTCTTAACTGAAGGAAAATGTTCTGTTTTTATATTAAAAATGAGACGCTATACATTTAGAATTGACCCCACCTCACAGCTTTCATATTGCAAAGCTGATTAAACATATTAATAAACTAAAAAGTTCTTTGAAAGTGCACTTACTAAAGACATCTTCTTTTCTTGGAATAAAGAATATGTGACAGCTGCAGACTGTGAGAGTGAACTTTTTTCCTGTTCTTCTTGAGGCTTTGTACTTGAAAAGAGGTCTGTCTATAATTTTAAACGCAGAACAAATAGTCAATAACATCAATATAATGATTGATATATAATCACGAGTTACAAAAAAGTAACAGAAGTAGAACCTGTAACAATCTGTATTTTCACTGAAGCTCAAAAAGAAGTTAATTATATCATAGATATATAGATAATAGAGATGTATACAATATGGGAAATATGCCATAATTATATCTAGCTATCGACAGGTCTACAGAGATCTCTAAAAATATAGATATTTAGACTCATACATGCATGTGTACAATACATACATTTTATATATATATATATATATATATATATAAAGTATCATCACAACTGGAGCCTTGAACTTTAGGCATATTAAATGAGGAAGATTAAAAAGTAAGATTAATGAAGAAATACAGGAACTTTTTGTAAAGCCTAAAAAAAGTTGGTAGAGCATACCTGCTTTAATAAAACCTACAAAAATCAGCTTAATCATTTAAAGAGCCTAGTCCCTTGATAATTAATACTGGTATCTAACCTTAACCCTAACCCTAATCCTGATAAGGTTTTTCTTTATCATTGTGATCTACTATATTATGTACAGATAAGGAGGAAGAATACTTTGTAAACTTGTCTTCAGGAAAGAAAATTACTTTTGGGGGCTGGGAGGGTGGCTCAGTGGTAGAGCGCTTGCCTTGCATGCCAGAGGCCGTGGGTTTGATTCCTCAGCACCACATAAGAAAAAAGCCAGAAGTGGCGCTGTGGATCAAGTGGTAGAGCGCTAGCCTTGAGCTGAAGAGCTGAGGGACAGCGCCCAGGCCCAGAGTTCAGGCCCCACGACCGGACCAAAAAAAAAACAAAAACAAAAACAGAAAATTACTTTTTGTTTTCTTATCCTGTCATTTAAGGAATTTAATTAAAAAAGCAATTTTTTAGGGATAGAAGTTTGGCTCAAGAAGTATTAGAGTACATGTTTAACAAGTGTGAGGCCTTGAGTTTAAGCCTCAGTAACTCTCTTCCCAAAGAGTCAGATGAGTCAGGTGGGTTTTGGCTAATTATTTGGTGAGAAATATATTAAAATTTTTTTTTCCTTGTTAAATATATGAAGCCTAACTTTAGAATTGGAATTACTAGACCAAAGGCAATAAAATGTATTTTCCAAACCCTCTGAAGAATTTCAGTATCTGTACAAAAAAAAAAAATCTCAGCTATATTCTTACAGAAGAAAGAAAAAATTCCAACCAATAACCTTAAGGGTGAGGATTCTGTTCTAGGGTCAGTCATTACATTTGTTTCCATTTTAAAGCTTTGGAATAACACTTCAAAGCGTTAGAAAGAATGCATCAAAGCAGAGCATGTACCTGGCACTGGTGGCTCATGCCTTAATTTTAGCTGCTTAGGAGGTGAGAACTGACATTCAGGGTTTGGAACTGCCCAGGGCAAGAAAGTCCACAAGACTCTAATTTCCAGTAAACTCCTAAACAAAAGCCATTAGTGTAGTTATGGTTCAAGTGCCAGAGTGCTAACCTTTAACAAAAGAAGTTCAAGGATAGCGCCCAGGCCCTGATTTCATGCTTGAGCACCAGCATGCAAGGATGAAGGGAGAGTGGAAAGGGAAGAGGGAGAGAGGGAAGAGGTGGAAAAAGGGTAAGGGAAAGGGAGGAAAGAAAGGGGAGGGAGAAGGGAGGGGAGAGAGAGAGAGAGAGAAGGAGAGACAGAGAGAGAGAGAGGAGAGAGACAGAGAGACAAGGGGGGGGGGACTCCCCAGGGACAGCTAGCCAGCCACTCTGAGTGTGCTCCTCCACCAGTTGCACTTCCCCATGTTGGCTGCATTGCAGGCTGTGGTTTCAGTCCTTGTCTTGTTACTGAGGAGCTGTGTGGGGAATAAATGGCATTGTTCAACTCTTTGAACTTTCTTTTACATCCATGTGTGTTTATATAAATGTTTCATGGAAAGTAACTTCATTAATATAGAAGTGAGGCATACAACTGGGAAGTTTCACTTGTCCCAACCAGCATGCTCTGTCCTGAAGAGTTTTTTTTTTTTTTTTTGGGGGGGGGGGGCAGGTCTGGACGTGGGGCCTGAACTCTGGGCCTGGGCACTGTCCCTCAGCTCTTCAGCTCAAGGTTAGCGCTCTACCACTTGAGCCACAGCACCACTTCCAGCTTTTTTCTTTTTGTTTATGTGGTGCTGAGGAATCGAACCCAGGGCTTCATGCATGCAAGGCAAGTGCTCTACCACTGAGCCACCTTCCCAGCCCCCCTGAAGAGCTTTTTAAGAAGCTAGCTTACCCCAAAGTTTTTTTGTGTTTTTTTTTTTTTGGAGTTCGGTTGTGGGGCCTGAACTCTGGACCTGGGTGCTGTCCCTCAGCTCTTCAGCTCAAGGCTAGCACTCTACCACTTGAGCCACAGCGCCACTTCCAGCTTCTTTCTTTTTGCTTATGTGGTGCTAAGGAATCGAACCCAGGGCCTCAGGCATGCAAGGCAAGCGCTCTACCACTGAGCCATCTTCCCAGCCCTACCCCAAAGTTTTTTAGCAAGCTTCTACTATAACACAAGAACTCTGGTAATGTCTTAAGCACTCGCTTAGATTATCATTGAAGCCTTACCTTCTTCAAGTTATTACTTTGCAATATTTTGCTTAGTGTCTTGGATACTGGTAAATCCTTTTGTGACATATTTATAAAGTTATTATTACCCCAGAAATCCTAATCCTTTAAAAGATTTATTAGTATAACTCATAAAAAGAGAAGGGTAGATAGCTTTAAAAGGTAATTTTGACAGTATTACTATAAAGTGACTAGCATATTTTTTCATAAGAGGTCATCTAAATGGTTCATGCTGTTGAAATGTAACTTTGTTTTTCAATTTTCTTATTTTGAGACAAGGCTTCCGTTGTCTACACTAGTTTCAAATTTGTAGGCTTACATGATCTTCTTGCCTTAGACATCCAACTAGCTACAACTAAAAGTACACATCACCATGCCTGGCTCATATTTGTAACTTGAGATTTGCATTATAATAATATTTATATTTTACTTCAAAATTCGAAGGAAATATATTAAAAACAAATCAAAAGTGATGAATAGCTTAATGAACATTAATGTTTTCTATTGCTTTAATTCTTTTAATAAATGGTTTCAATTTGTGCCATTATCCAGGCATAATTCCTAACTAAAGAAACTAGCAGTCAATAACCTAACAAGAGGGTTTAAAAAGCACCTTTTAAAATGCACCTTTTGGAGCATTTACATTTTGCCCTACTTCAGCCTCCTCTCCTGAAGTGGTGGTAAAGGGATAATTCAGGTCTTACTACTTAATACCACTCATTCCCGAAAGAAGATATTGCCATCAAGTGTCTAAAGTAAAAGCTTATTCAATTATCACTAGTTGATATTCTTTATCAAATCATTAAAACACCTGTAATTTCATTTCTAAAAATATCTAGTATGAAATATAATGGATTTTCACATGACCTGTTATGCAAGGAAATTTAGTTGCCAAAAGTATTTGATTCCTAATGAGCAAATTTTATAATAATTTTATAATAATTAGTGATTATCTTATAAAGCAATGTCCAGCTGTGTCTGCCCAAAGCTTATGGAAAAACATTTCCTGACCACTGCCTTACATATTTTAATATTTTCAATTTTTTATGTCTAGGTCTTCTACTGATACCCACTGTTTCCTTGATTTGGGCAAGTGTTATTTCCATTGTGTAGGTAACAAAATGAAGACTCAGGAAAGTTAAAGAATATGTTCAAGTTTACCAGATGTGGAAGAACTGAAATTCTGATTTCTGACTCCAAAGTCCTTCAATCTTTCACTTTCTGTACTAAAATATGATGCTTGTGGAAATGAGCAATTTGAAACAATGAAAGAATATGAAGAACAAACCCTATAAAATAAAATCTATTTATTCTTTTTGTTTTTGTTTTTTTTTATTGGCTTTTATGGTTTATAAAACAGGATGTCATTTTTCCTTCTCCACACATGTTCACCCTCTATTCAATCAATTTTTATGCCCTCTATCCCACTTGACTACATCATTCTCCATAAAATACAGCATACCCAACAGGTTTCCTTGTTTTCAATTTTCATAGTTAAAAATAACCTATTTTGGGAAAGAAGTAAAACTCTCCCACTTTGCAAATGACCTGATCTTGTATTTGAAGAACCCCACAGACTCCTCACTCAAATTACTTGAGCTGATCCAAAACTTTGGCAAAGTAACAAGGTATAAAATTAAACCACAAAAATCAGTAGCTTTTCTGTATGCTAACAGTAAGAAGAGCAAGGCTGAAATCAGAAAAGCAACTCCTTTTGTAATGGCTTCAAAAAAAAAAATCTGGAGCTGGAAAGGTGGCTCAGGCTCATGCTTGTCTTGCATTCATGAGGCCCTGGGTTCAATTCCTCAGCACCACATAAGCAGGAAAAAAAAAGCCGGAAGTGGCACTGTGGTTCAAGTGGTGGAGCGCTAGCCTTGAGGTAAAGAGCTGAGGGACAGCGCCCAGGCCCAGAATTCAGGCCCCACGACCGGACCTTCCCACCCCCATCCCCCCCACCCCTGCTAAAAAATCTAGGAATTAACTTAACCAGAGGTGAAGGACCTCTATGATGAAAAATTTAAAAACCTAAAAAAGGAAAATAAGGTAGAACTAAGGAAGTAGAGAAACCTCCCATGTTCCTGGATTGGGAGGATTAACATCGTGAAAACAGCAATGCTGCCCAAAGCTATCTACAAATTCAGAGCAATATCCTTCAATATCCCAACAACATTCTTCTTTTTAAATTTCACTTTATGATAAATATGCTGTACAGAGGGGTTACAGTTACATGAGTAAGGTAATGAGTACATTTCGTGTCAAACATTGTTACCCCCTCCTTTGTTGTGCTCCCACTATCCCCCCATTGTTACAATGGGTCATCCTGTGTCCTTGTTTCAGTGTTTTGTTATTCCTTTTCCCCTCCCCAAATTGGACAAATGTATATACAAGGTGCAGGGTACCAAAATCAAGTACAACGACAACAGGGAATATACCATAAGGGGAAGAACATAAAAAAGAAACAAAACAATTATCCTAGGCGTATACTAATTATTGCAAATGAGGGAACCATAGGACCTATATTTCTTTGGGTCTGGCTTACTTAATAGGATTTTTTTCCAAGGCTTTCCATTTCCTAACAAATGGGGCAGTATCATTCTTTCTGATGGAAGCATAGAATTCACACACATACACACACACACACACACACACACACACACACACACAATCACATTTTCTTGATCCATTCATCCACCAAGGAGCATCTGGGTTGGTGCCATATCTTAGCTATGATGAATAATGCTGCTATAAACACAGCTGTGATGGTAGCTTTAGTATAGCTTTGTTTGTGATCATTCCAATAACATTCTTTAATGAAATAGAAGAAGCAATCCAGAAATTCATATGGAAAAATAGAAAACCTTGAATAGCAACAAGAATCCTCAGCAGGAAGAACAGTGATGGAGGAAAATCAGTATCAAACTTCAAACTCTATTATAAAGTTGTAGTTATAAAACAGATTGGTACTGGCACAAGAACAAGCCTGAGGACCAGTGGAATAGAATTAAAAACCCAGACATGATCCCACAGACCTATGGCTCCCTACCTAATCTTTGATAAGAAAGCCAAACCATCAGATGGAAGAAAGACAGCCTCTTCAGCAAATGGTGCTGACAAAATTGGTTATACAACTTGTAGAAAACTCAAGTTAGATCCTTATATATCATTCTGCACCTGAATGAACTCAAAATAGATCAAAGATCTCAGGGTAAAAGTAGGAACCCAGAAAATATTACAGGAAGGGATAAGGAGTACACTAGGACTCCTTGGCACAGGTCGAAATTTCCTAAATAAAGATCCAGAAACACAACAAATCCAAGAAAGGCTTGATAAATGGGATTGCCTCAAACTGTAGAGCTTCTGCATGGCAAAGCACATACCTAGCAAGATCAATAGCCCACAGATTGGGAGAAAATCTTCACTAGTTATATAACAGACAAGGGCCTCGTATAAAAAATGCACCTAGAGCTCAAAAAAAAAAATTAAACTTCCCAATAAATAAATCCTCAAAAAAGCTACCACCTCATTAAATACTGGACTGAAGAATTAAAAAGAGACTTCTCTGGAGAAGAAATAATACTGGCCAATAGACACATGAAGAATTGTTCAACATCTCCTGCCATAAAAGAAATGCATATCAGAAACTCATTAAGATTCCACCTCACCCCAGTTAGAATGGCCATTATTAATAGTAGGTACAGGTGGGGATGTGGCCAAAAGGGAAAGGGGATGTAAACTGGTTCAACCACTCTGGGAAGCTGTGTGGAGGTTCCTTAGAAGCTAAATACAGAACTACCCTAGGATCCAGTCATCCCACTCATGGGCATTTACCCAAATGATCACAAACAAGACAACACTAAAGCCATCAGCACAACTATGTTCATTGCAGCATTATTTACCATAGTTAAGATGTGAAACCAACCTAGATGCCCCTCAGTGAATGAATGGATCAAGAAATATGGTATGTATACACAATGGAATTCTATGCTTCCATCAGAAAATGGAAGACTTGGAAAAATCATATTAAGTAATGTGAGCCAGACCCAAAGAAACATAGGTTCCATGGTTTCCCTCATTTGTAATAATTAGGATATGTCTAGGATAGTCTTAGCACAGGATCATAATAGTTCAATAGGTATGTACATATGACCATATAAGATGATGCTAATCGAAATGAATTCCAAAGTATGTAAACAAGAGGTGTCTTGGTTTTTTGGGTTGTTAATTTTTAATGTACTATGTTAGGTTACTCCTTTTTTCTTTCATTTTTTCCCCTTCGGTTTATCCCCTGATGTCACTGTTTTTGATTTGAGTACCCTGTGACTTGTTTATATATTTATCTGATTTGGGGAAGGGAAAGGAACAGCAAAATGGTAAGACAAAGGACAGGGGGTGAACCAATGCAACCGTGATACTCACAAGACACTATGTTGGAAATGAACTTTACAACTTGGGGAGGAGGAAAAGTGGGAGAAAAAAATGAGGGGGGTAACAATGTTCGACAAGAAATGTACTTATTATCTTTCTTATATAACTGTAACCCCTCTGTACAACCCCTTTGCAATCAAATTAACTTTAAAAAAATAACCTATTTTGGAATTACTTAACTTCTTTTATTTCCCAAGCAGCACACCCTCCTCCTGCTAATCCCCATCCACTCATAGTCTCTTTCTTTTCTCTAATACCCTGATCATTTGGATGTGACACATTATTTTTTAATCTCCATGTTCAAATTGTAAAGCTCATATGAAATCTACTTAAAGTCAGCATTACTTGAAGGGGAAGGTAATGAAGTAAGTTATGTCCTTAGGTCTGAAGTCTGACAGAAGTAACATCATTTTGTCCCCAAGGAAAAAGACAGACCCTTGACCCTAGAACTGTTGCTTGCTCAAGTAGGTTTTACAAACAGAACTGTTTTTCAGCAAGTTCTGAAAAAAAAAAAAAAATCCCCCAAAATGTTCTAGCTGCCCAGTATTTTAGGACATCTAATTTTACTACCACTGCTTAATTTTGCTTCTGTATAAGCTTTGCAACACAAAGAAAAAAAATGCGGTTTGTGTCTTTAAAAGACTAACTGAGCTGTCTTGGTACTCCTTGATTTGGTAAGCCTATACCCCATGCAGCTGCTGGCCTTTGGAGGTGACAATACAGACTCCTACAATTTGGCTTATTAATTAGGCAGCCTTTGTTTTCTTGCTGATAAGGATACAATAACTTGAAAAGACGTCCCTTACCAACTGAAAATCAGCTATAATTCCTATCTACCATAATTGAAAATAAAAGAATTTAACATGGACGCTGCTGACTTGTACCTATATACCTAGCTACTGAGATCTGAGGATCACAGTTCAAAGCCAGCTCTGGCAAGAAATTACATGATACTTTTTTATCTCCAGTTAACCAGCAGAAAGCCTGAAGTACAGTTGTAGTTCAAAGTGGTACAGCACTATCCTGGAGTGAAAAAGCTCAGGGACAGCACCCAGCTGTTGAAAAAAGAATTTATCAACCTAAAATTTGATACTTAAATTTAAAAATAGAAACATCCCAATACACAAGAACAGTCTAGACAACTTTTATTATCCTCTTCAAATGTAAGCAATGTTAGTTCTAGTAGCACATGCCAGTAATCCTAGCACCTTGAAGGAAGACATAAGAATCAAAGTCCAGCTTTGGCTACATAGTAAAACTCTGTAGACAGATAGATAAAATTAACTAGCATGCTTTAACAATTATTTACTGTAAAAACAATCTTAATTCATTGCCAAAGTATCCGTATGGAAATGCAAATACAGAGGGGAAAAAAAACATTACTTTTGAAGAACATTACTGTTTCTAAAATGCTCAAAAAAATAAAAAAGTATACCCTAAGAGCTTCTGAAAAACAGTGTTTTACCTTAGCACTATTTTCATGGCAGAAATGCTTGACAACTTCCAACAGTGGAGCCAGCATAGTAGCTTTTCCTTCAGAAACACCATCGATCTGTTTTACATCTTCAACAGTAGTTGGTCTGTCATTGAAAAAAAAGGAAAATCAGGAAACCAAGGTGCTATGCAGCAAAAAAAAAAAAAAAGATTTAACAATCAGTGAAAAAAAAACCATAATGTCCTCTTTCACAACATTATTTAGGTATTAACTGATAAACAGGCTATTACCAGAAAGAAACAGGATAACACCTAATGTTCTACATTATTACTGGATATTATTATTAGTATTAATATTATTATTATTATTCACAGAAATAAACTACTAAGTTTGAGGAAAGTTAAAAACTTCCAGAAAAAAATGTCTCATTCATTGTTTCACTTTCTACAAAATGTTTATCTGTAAGAATCACGAATTTTGCTCCATTTTTTAAAATTTTAGATTGTGCTTTTAAGTCTATATCACTAGTGCGTTTACACTTTTAATGGTTATATCATAATAGAAACTGCATGATGAATTTGTGTGTGTATATATATGTGCACACGCACAAACATTTGTGTGTGCGTGCCAGTACTGGGTCTTAAACTCAGGGACTGGTACTCTTATTTAGCTTTTTTTAGCTCAAAGCTAGCACTCTACCACTTGAGCCACTCTCCACTTCGAACTTTTTGTTAGTTAACGGGATTGTCTGCCTGACCTAGCTATGAACCAATATCCACAGATCTCAGTAGCTAGGATTACAGAAGTGAGTCGGTGCTTGGCTTGTTGGTAATTTTTAATACTTAAACAATGACTTCTTGAATGATGTAGGCTCAATAATTTTTATTGTGTTCAACATTCAAGACTGTATGATGATTAATTTCATTTTCCTTAAACACATGCTGAGAATATAAAAATGTACTCCTAATATATTTCATTTTTAACAAATTACTTATTGTAAGGTATGTTCAATTTGTAATAGCATTAGAATATCCCACACTAAAGTAGTTTCCATTGAATAAAATGTTGAAGCAGAAACAAGCTAGACATGGTGGTGCTTGCCTATAAACTCAGCTTCTTGGGAGGTAAGGGCAAGAAGATCACAAGTTTGAGGACAGCAAGGGTGAAGTTATTGAGACCTTATCTCAAAAACAACATAAAAACAAGGTCATAGCTCAAATGATAAAATGCTTGCTAGCATGCATGAAGTCCTGAGTTCAATCTTCAGTACAGAAAAAAGAAAAACTTGATAGGCAGGCACTCTTCCAGTTGAGCCACATCTTAGCCTGTTAGTATTTTTTAGGCTCTTTTCAGTACTATCTTTCTAGTACTATCCTCAGACTGTAACCTTCCTATCTACTGTCTTTCTGGATGACAGAACATGTGTCAGAACATAAACAAATCCTTTACCTCAATTTGGCCATATCCAACAGTATCTTATTTGTTGCCAGAATAGCTGGAGGAACATCCATTTTATTTGCATATTTCTGTCTAGCTTCTACCAATTTGCCGTATAACACAGTCTAAACAACAACAGCAAAAAGAAAGAAAGAAATCAACACTTTCTTAAATGTACTTCAACTTCAGCTTTTATTTTTAGAGCTTCAGCTATCACATTTTCCCTTAACATGAAAATAATCTGAACACTATCACAGATTCTTACCTAAAGAACACCTTTTAAAATCCTGTCAACAGAATTTTAAGGATGCAAAGAATACTAACAAAATTCCTATAAACTAACCAACTTTTTATAGAAGATTTACCTGAGCCTCTTGTTCTTGAGCTGAAAGAGCTGGTTCTGCAAGATGGCCACATTTTCCCGGTGACTGCATCATGATTCTAAAATATTTCAAAGAAAATAAGCAATATAAAACTTTTTCTTCTAGTTTAACTTTTCTTTGGCCTACAGAATGAAAATATCTTTCCAAGTCAGTAATGACAGTTGTTCTTCAGAACACCAGAAAGATAATTTGTTACTTAAACATTTTGAATCAAACTTATTTACTAATATAATGGTAAAGTTAAAACTGCAATTTGAATTTTTTATACAATGGGAAACTTAAGAAGAGCATCTGACCAGTCACCAGTGGCTCACACCTATAATCCTCGCTACTCAGGAGGCTGAGATCTGAGCATCTCGGTTCAAAGCCAGCCCAGGCAGACAAGTCCGTAAGACTCTTATCTCCAATAAACCACCAGAATACCAGAAGTGGTGCTGTGACTCAAGTGGTAGAGTGTCACCTTGAGCTGAAGAGCTGAGAGACAGTGCCCAAGACTTGACTTCAAGCCCCACGACTGACAAGAAAAAACAAAACAAAACAAACAAAAAAAAAGAGCATCTGTCCCATCTGAAAGAAAATACTTCTTATCCAAACAAAATATAATACATTTTAGGAGAATGGAAGTATAATCTATGATTCCTACTGTTAAAAAAAACTAAATTTTTGATTGGTGGGAAAAATTAGTAAACATAAAATTATTCAGAACTCTTTCAAAATCAATGAAGTAAATCTAAAGTAAACTAAGTGATTTAGTTTTGGATCCCTCAAGAGAAGAATATGCACCAAATTAGCAATCTTGTAATAAAATGTGCTAGGCAAAATAGTAGATATTCTATAAGAGCCATCTTTCACTGATTAACTAGAAACAGCAAAAGTTATTAAAGTGGAATTGTGTACAATAAACTACATGAATTAGAATTCAAGTAAACTCTTGCTTCTTAGAGATAAGGGAGAAAATATATCTAATATTTAAGAAATGTTGACAAATGTCTTTATTATAAGAATTGAAAAACTATGGTGTAAAATAAGGTTTCAAGGCTAGGCATAGTGTCAAACATTTGTAATACCACCAACAAGGACACTGAGACAAGAGGATAAACTTCAGACTGGTCTGAGCTACACAGAGACACCCTATCTCAAAAAGCTGCTCAAAGTACAATATATACATGTATGAAAATAGTATAATGAAACCCCTTAGATCAATTACTCTACAGTAATGAAAATTTAAAATCAAAAATAGCTGGTCATGATGGCTAACAATTGCATTTCTAGCTCTTTGGAAGGCTGAGATTGGCAGGGTCACAGTTCAAAACTAGCCCAGACAGAAAAGTCTAGGAGATTTGATTTCCAAAATAAACACCAAAAAGCTGGAGGCATGGCTCAAGTTCAGTGAGTACGAGACTTTGAGTTCAAAGGACTGACCAAAAAAAGGGAAAAAAAGAAATAATAAAGAAGTAAGATAGTTTTCATTTTCACATTTATCAAAATCCTACCACTTATATTATATAAACTTGAATGTGAGGAACAATGACAGATCAAAGAATTGGTAATATAATATTAATCGAGAAAATTATAAATTCGCCATAATATAGTAAATATTTACATGAAGAAATGCTTACGAAACTTTTCTTGTACTAGTTATTACATGCCACATATTGAAAACAAAAAAGAAAAGCTGTTTAGGATGGGGAAAGGGATATGGAAAACATCTGTGGATCCAAAGGAGTGTTATTTAAATAGACAAAGCTTTAGAATGAGATATAAATTTACTATAATGTGATATGAATGTAAATATTACCCACTTAGTTTGTGTACATATAAGACATGATACCTTTTTCAAACCCTGTTTCTCAGGTCTCTGGAATTCTATATACATTTTCATAAAGTCAGCCAGTCACAGAGTAACCTTAAAAAGGATATCTCATTTTTCTCTAGCTCAGTTTCCATATTATGACTACAATGTACTTTTTTTTAATATGGTAGAATATATTTCTTGTAAATATAGTAACAGTGTTAGATACTAGAGGCAGAAAAATACATATCTGAAAGCCAGTTTTGCCTACATACTCTTCATCAAGTTAGTAAACTACGTAAGTGTTGATATCTTTAACTACAGAACAGCGGTAGCAATTTTACTCATCCATTAGAATAATGATATTGTATCATTTGTAAAGAAATGGAAGAACTGGAAACAATATGCTCAGTGCAGCAAGTCACGCCCAGAGAGACAAAGGCTGCATGTTTTCCCTCACATGTGGAAGCCAAAATTAGCTAATAAACATATTATGTCGGGTAGCATGCAAATGTATTAGCTGAAATGATGGTAGATTCAAGGGAGATCTTGAATAGTATAACTCCTTAGAAAGACCAAGTTAAAGGGCAACAAAATAAACCCAATAAGCCACTAGAAAAAAGAAGTGGCATTGTGGCTCAAGGAGTAGAACGCTTGCCTTGAGCTGAAGAGTGCAGGGACAGTGCCCAAGCCCAGAGTTCAAGCCCCACAACTGGAAAAAAAAAAAAAAAAGTGAGGGACTGGGTGTGTTGAGCAGGTAAGATTTTTAAAAATATAGCTAACCAAAGGTTGCTCTAAAAAGTAAATGAGTATACATAGTAGTAACTAACCTGTAGCTGATTTTAAGAATTAAATGAGATGTCATATATAAAGTGCCTCGTATTTAATACAAAACATGGCAAACACTAATATTCAAAATCTGTCAGATGTTAAACTAATATTATCATTGTATAAGCTGTTTTAATAATCAGAATATTAGTAGGATTACAATTTAACTTTGACTTCCTTTTGCCAATTCAGTCCAACATGTGAAAATCCTTTGTCTTTAGGAAAGAAAAGTAAATAGTATTTATGTAAATATAGGAAATAAGCATTTAGAGCTCTGTACCTTTTTTCAGAAATGTTACTCCCAGAAGGAATTTTTTCAAGTGCTTTGTAAGAATACATCTTCTCCAAGTTAGACTGCTTTCCAACACGTAAAATCAATTTGAAGAAAATTACAAGTTTAAAAAGCATTTAAATGTGAACAAAAAAAAATCTCATAATGAACATTTTCCCTGACTAATCAGGTCATCAAATAAATTAATTTAAAATAGCTCTTAAATTAGCAACTTCTAAGATTCTTAGAGGCAGTTTACTATATAACCCAATGTCTCATTCTTCTCAAAAAAAAAAGTCTTACAACACACAGCAAGAGCCTGTTATAAAATTGCTTCAAATATATTCTGTGTACTTTAATAAAGCAGAAAAAGGGCACTAGAAAATTTAATCTATCATATTTGTCCATTATCCATGTTTTAATTAGCTAAAAATCTGCCTTTGCAGAAATTCTTACTATCCACGGGTTATCTACATCACAACAAAGCAAAAAGTCTATGTGTAGTTTTAATGAAAATAATTAGAAATGAGGCTAGTTTTAGCCAAGCATTATAATATATTTAAAACTTATTTTTTTCCATTTGTACAACAGTTATACACCATCTTTAATATGTATGTGCTCTTACCTGTCTAGGGCTAATTATAGAAACAACATTCTCTAAATAGCTAAAAAAAAAATACTCCAATTCAAATGAGTCACAAAAAAAGCTTAAAATAATCTAATTCCTTTCTTAAATATTTCAGAACTAATGTTCTATAAATAATATCACACATTGTGTTCATTTCATTTATTTCCAAGTTATACCACTTTTCTCTCTAGGTGGAGATGAATTAAAATATAACATTTTAAATCAGGAGCTGAATCAATAAAGGATGAAATAAATAAGGACCATCTTTTCGAAACACACCTTCTTCTCTGCAGTTAATTCAACTGGTATTTGATTAGAGGAATGCTGTTCAGTGCCTGAAGACAAAGCTTTCCAACTGAAAAAGAGTAAAATTAAATCAGCTCCAAAGTCAAAATGCAATTATCTAATTCATAAATCATCATGCTGCACTTTCAGGAAAGTAGATAAGATTATATCCCCTTTTAAAACTGATGATTTTTAAAACTAATATCTGTTTTCCAAAAAGGAAGAAGTTTGGAAAAAAAAAGGATGCATGATTAATAACATGTAAGGTACTAAAAAGTAAGGAAGTTGCTAAAACTTCTTGCCTTCTCTACACATAAGAAGCAGACAGGGTACATGCATTCTTCTCATTCACCTCATTGCTTCTTAATCAATACAAAAGTAGTTTCTAAATAATACGTTCTTTACTTCCCATCAACCATAAACATGTTATCTTTTTCCCATGGTTCCCTTTCTCTAACAAAGTATGTTCAAACAGGCAACTAACTTCATCTGAGTGGTGTCTGCAAGTTGGTATAACTTAAATCATTGAAACAACAATAGAAACCCAAATGTAAACAGAAAAATGAACCTTGGCAGAAGAAACTTCTTTGGACACAGTTCTTCATTAGGTTCAAGAATAAGTCTCTGAGGAGATCCTTTATTGGCTTTATCAAGCCAATTTCTACCCTATCAAAAGCAAGAAGAATCTTAATGCATAGTGAAAATAAGTTGAAGTTCACAGGTAGATTTCTATAGGGCTTACCTTTTTTGTAAGGATGCAAATCTTTACAAATTTATTACTCCCAGGAACTTCTACCAAGAATCCTTCTGTCATAAGGTGACGGGAAAAGGCTTTCCACCAACTCTCTGTTTCATCCTTGCCAGTGCCAAAAAGCTTGTGAGAGCGGTATCTATCTGCAAGACGCTGAGAACTCTGAAATTATAAAGTTAATCTTTCAAAATAGGTAAAACAGTTTTTATTGAGTTTAAACAATAAATTTTGGCTTTAAGCTGTACAAAATTTTTATAACCTTCTGAATACTCAAAAGAGCAATAAAGAAATAATGATAGAAAAACACATGTTTGAAATTTCTCATTTTGGAAAGCTAAAAATTTGTGATGCAAATAGTTTAACACAGGCAGAACAAGATTATATACTTCACTGAAAAGACATACGACCTTAGAATTTCACAATCTTCCTGAGCATATAATTGAAAACAAAGTATATTACATAAGTAAAAATTAACATATATTAAAACCTGGCACCAGTGACTCATGCCTATAATCCTAGCTATATACAGGGCTGAGATCTGAGGATCAGATTAAGGTCTGAAGCCAGCCTGAGCAGGAAAGTTCAGACTCTTTTTTTTTAAGTGAGTTTTTTATTGTAAAAATACTGTACAGAGGGGTTATAGTTACATGAGCAAGATAATGAGTACATTTCTTATCAAGCATTGTTGCTTCCTCCTTTGTTTTTCCCCTACCATCCCTTCCCTCCCACCTCCACTACACTCCCCCAGCCCTAAATTGTAAAGTTTATTTTTCAACATAGTGTCTTCTACATCTCATTGTTGCAATGGGTCAACCTGTATCCCTATTTAAACATTTTGTTTTTTCCCTTCCCCTCCCCAAATTATACCAACATCAAATACAGTGAAAACAGGGCCTATACCATGGGGGAGGGACATACAAAGCAAAAAAAAAAAAAAAAAGTAATTACATTGTACCTTATAAATACGTTAGAAACAATAGCAAGCAAGAAAGAAAAAGCCACTTATGTCCCTATCTTGGAGTTCACTTTGCTTAACTTCATCTTATCTGGTCATATGTACATAGCTTTTGACCTTTTCTACTTGTCCCAGACATATACTAGTTATTGCAAATAAGGGAAACCACGGGACCTATGTTTCTTTGGGCCTGGCTTACTTCACTTAATACAATTTTTTCCAAGTGTTTCCATTTTCTAACAAATGGGGCAATGTCATTCTTTCTGATGGAGGCATAGAATTCCATTATGTATATATACCACATTTTCTTGATCCATTCATCTACTGAGTGGCATCTAGGCCGGTTCCATATCTTAGCTATGGTAAATAATGCTGCAATAAACATTGTTATGCTGGTAGCTTTAGTATGGTATGTGTATGTGTGTTTTTTAAATCTCTTTTGACCCTTTGGTCCTTTTTTTCTTTCTTTCTTTTTTTCATGACTTAATTTTTCATGAGACTCTTAACTCCCAACTAACCACTCAAGAGTCAGCAGTGGAAGTGTTGCTCAAGTGGTAGAGCATTAGCTTTGAGCACAAAAGCTCTGGACAGCACCAAACCCTGAGTTCAAGACCAAGGAGCAGCATGCGTACGGGACAAATGTGTAGGCTTCCAATAGGAATGGTTAACATATTCTATAACCAGTTTTCTATTAAATCTTAAAAATAAAAACAGACTATTCAAATAGCGCCCAAGCCCAGAGTTCAAGCCCCACGGCCAACAAAAAAAAAGATAATAAATAATAATAAAAGGAACCCTGTCCCTGTGCTCTTCAGATTAAGGCAAGTAATCTACTCCTTGAGCCACAGCACCACTTCCAGTTTATTGGAGTTAATGAGACTCATGGACTTTCCTGCCCGGGCTGGCTTTGAACCGTGATCCTCAGATCTCAGCCTCCTGAGTAGCTAGGATTACAGGCATGAGCCACTGGTACCCAGCAGGTTCAAGCCCCAGTACTAGCACAAAACAAAATGAACCAAATCTCTCTCTCTCTCTCTCTCTCTCTCTCTCTCTCTCTCTGACTTACTGTTCTGGTGAGGAAGAATATCTTCTCAAAGAAAGACACTAACACTGGAATAAAACATTTGTTAAAACAACTCATTTTATCATAAAAGTGCTTACAAAAAAATATCCTAAGAAAAGCCACCTGTCTTCAAAGAGCATCTGATAAAAATCCATATGTTTAAAGGGATATTCAAGAAAAATGGATATGACCCAACTTTAGTAAATGAACCAGACTTGGTAACTCTGGACCCAATTGATAAGGACAATAATAGGGTAAAAGTAACAATGATTGAATATTCCAGATGTCCAAAAATCCCAATCCTACTTTTTCACCATAAATATCCCTGATACTAGAATATTCAGTTCCAATCTTCTCAGGTATGGCTGCACTCATGATTGGGTATGTACTTTCCTTTCTTTTTTCCCCTTTCCTTTCCTTCTCAGCTTCTTTTTTAACATTTTTTTAAAAATTGTGACTCCCAATGTGTCCTAAAATTCTTTTCTGAAACAACATTACAAATTTGGACCCTAAGGGAGACCTTTCCATTTTGGAGAGCTCCCTAGAGGCGCATCAGTTCCAATAACAAAAATAATCTTTTTAATATATATTTTTATTAGAGTGTATTAATTGTACAAATGAGTTTCATTATATTTCTATACATGCATATAATGTACTTCAAATTCACTCCACCTTTTCATTCCCCCTTCTCCTTTTAAAATAATGTTTCATAGGTTTTATCAATCTATTTTCTCTATTTTCAAACATATAGAGAGAGTACTTTGATCCTATTCACACTCTACAGATTCCTCTTTCACCCTCAATCTTCTAGCTGGTTCTCACACCCTAACAGTATTACCTTATGCTGGGGCCATAACAGAGTTTATATGTTTAGGAAGATGTTCCATTTAATCCTGGCTATGCAAATTAATGTCTATGTTTCTGTTTTCTACTCTATAATATTAAGGTCATTGCTTATCATATACCCCAGGGTGTTTAAAGATTTGTATATGGTGAGTTGTTTAGTCAGTTAAAATGAAGTTCGTTAGGCAACACTTTAACTACTTAATTTCTACTCAAACGTGCTTTAAAAGAAAATTTAAATCTACTCACAATTTATGGACAAGCTGCATAAACATTCATACTATTTAGAAAAATCTTGTGTAAGAAAATACGATCATGTACATATATATTTTATGTACATATATATTTTAACTTTTTAAAGAAACTCCAATAGTTCTCAGTTTAAGACACATCATTTTACACATTAAAATTATTTACAAAGAAATTAATTTGTCCTAAATTGGTTAAGGAGAACAATTTGGTAAATTCTCAAAAGAATTACAATTATAATTTTTTGAAGCAATATCCCAATAGGTAAGATCACTGAAATGGAGTATGGGAGGGGGACTTACCTTATTCTCCATACAGTTAAGTGGCACTTTTTTTAAAAGTTTTATACTTTGTCTAGCAAGGGTAGTATAAAATTTCACAAAGGATAAACTTCTTAATTTGAAGACTCCCAGAAGACAATGTCAGTATAAGCAACTTGGTTTTCAAATAATAGGTGAAATTTGATCCCCCTTGTGACCACTTCAAGTTTCCCAGCCTGCTTCAACTTATTTGTTGATACTGAATATGGCGGGATTATACCAAATTAAAACAATATTTTATAAATGACACATTTACAAATGGAATACACAGGTTTTGAAGGGGACAGAAGAAATTTTCACACATCTCAAGCATATTCAAGGTGTTCCCTGCAACCTAAGATTTTCTCAATAAAAAGTATCAGAATCACACAAATACTTTTACTACTAAGTTTCCAATCAAATATGTGATTTAAGAACAAAATCTTAAACTCCTTTCAGTATATAAGAGAAAGAACCAAACAACAGGAGTTTTACACACATTTTCATCATACATCATTAAAAAATGTCACAACTGATGATCCTTTCTACAGAAAATTAAAAAATACACAAAGCATGAGTATTTAATGAATGTTTACCTAAAATTTTTTAATTCCACATACAAAATGAGATTTTTAATCTTTATGTTTTACAGCTGTTTTTATATACTATATAAACATATTTGTAAAATAGCCTATCTTCCACTCTTGATTTATTAAACTAATAACAATATACAATACTTAAATTTGTTCTTCACATTTCTAAATCAAGAATAAACAGTACAGAAAGCTTCTTAGACTATAAATAAACATCAAGTATCAATTCATATTCATAGCTTCAATTTCTTAGCATAAAACTGGCACACTATAATCATTCAAAAAAAGAAAGTTCTTGCTCATGTAATTGTAACCCCTCTGTATGATATTTTCACAATAAAAAAAAGTAATTGGAATTTTACTGATAAATATCCACCAGTAAAACACACACAAAAACAGAAATGAAAAACTTTTCTTAGAATGTTAAACACTTTGATAGGAAATTAAAGGAAGAAAAAAAGAATATGCTGTCATATATTACTACTGAACATAGACATTAACAAAATAATTCCTGAAATAATCTTTTGCACAAAGAATTTATTAGTTTTTGGGCACCAAAAGATACAACTTTGTATTACCAGTCCCCTGGTATAATGAGAGTTAACTTTCCTTAATTATCCTAAAGTTAGTCTGGGGATTCACTCACTTCATTCTCATCTGAGGTGCAGAGCTTAAACAGCAGTGACAGATGTTCAAAACAGCAATGCATAATACACACAGCATTGTCAAAGTATTCAGTGCACAGTTTAGCTAAAACTTCCCATGGCTCAACAGCTCATGTGAAACCAAAGCAACAATCATGTACACAGCAAACCTCTGTATGAGTTGACAGAAAAATAAAAGATCTGTGAAGGTTATTCACAGTTATACTTACAGATCCTCGGAGAAATAAAATTGGAACCCCAATGCCAAATTTTTCCTCTAAGATGTCTACAGCAGATAGTAGCAGGAATGCCTGTCGACCAAAGTCCTTTGATGTCTCATCCAAGTCATTAACAGTGTAGCAATGACTTAAACTAAATAAAAATAACATATACTAAGAAAGTATAAACAAGGCATTTATCTTTAGAAATAAAAAGATGTAAGCTGAGCCAGGTGACTAGTACTTGTAACCCCAGCCACGTGTGAAGTATAAAGGAGGATTGTAGTCCTGGCTGGCTGGCTAAGCCATGGACCCCATGTGAAAACAATAACTAAAGCAAGGGTTTGGGATGTAGCTCAAGTATCAAGAATGATAAGTACAAGGCAAGTACAAGAATGGCAAGTACAAGGCTCTGTGTCCAAAATCAGTATCATCAGAAGAAAAAATGTTATTATTATTATTTTTTTTGGACAGTCATGGGGCCAGAACTCTGGGCTTGGGCGCTGTCCCTCAGCTCTTCAGCTCAAGGCTAGCGCTCTACCACTTGAGCCACAGCGCAACTTCTGGCCTTTCTGCTTGTGGTGCTGAGGAATTGAACCCAGAGCCTCATGCATGCAAGGCAAGCACTCTACTACTGAGCCACCTTCCCAGCCCCTAGGAAAAAAATTAAAAAGAGGTTTAGTGTAACAATTAGCCAAGAAAAAAATATCTCCCACAACAAGTGATTCAGAAATAAGCAGTTTATTACAGACAAGTGTATAAGTATCTAAAATGGGGAATAAATAACAATATAGTCTTACAGAAAGATGTGGTAACTTCCTTTAGTGTGCCAGAAGCCAAATTTCATAGAAGGTACCCAAACCTTAGAAGATTAAAAAAAAGTTCAAAAACAGCTGAGCTGCAGGACTATACCTAGGGAAGCTCCAGCTCATCAGTTATATACCTGTTGAACTTCTGTGCTTTGCTGAAAACAAAAAAACACCCAGTGCCTGCAAGGAAATGGATGGACCTAGAATAAATCATGCTAAGTTAGGTACGCCAAGCTCAGCAAGACAAATGGTACATGCTTTCTCTCATATTCGAAAGCTAGACCTAAAATACATGGGGACATGGTAAATTATACAGGAGTCTAGGCATCCACACACACAGTGAGATACTCGTAGCAATGCCTATGTGCAATTGATCATATAAAATATTTATCAAAATAAAAATAGCAGTGCCTTGCTCTACCACTTGAGCCATGCCCAACTCTTTTTGCTTTAGGTTATTTTTTTCAGGTAAGGTCTTGTACTTTTGTCCAGCCTGGCTTGGGCATAAGCCTCCTACCTATGCCTCCAGCATGTCTGGGATTACAGTTGTGGATCACACTACCCAGCTTGTTTGTTGAGATGGTGTCTTGCAAATGTTTGCCAGAACCACAATTCTCTTGATCTCTACCAACCAAGTAGTTGGGATTAATAGATATGAGCCACTGCACTTGTCCTAAAGTGTTATTTTCAATTTCTATAAACGTAAGAACTTTCTATCAATCAATTGAATTATAGTAAGAAAGTACTTGAGTACCAACTCACTCAGATTTTGAGATAAGCTATAGTCTAATATAAGGGTCAGAAAACTTTTCCGAAAGGACAAAATAGTAAGTATTTTAAGCTTTGTGATAAAGCTTTATAGACAAATAACTCAAGCAGCTATAAGAACATAGCTGTGTTCCAAGGAAATTTTATCTACAAAAAAAGCAGGCAAAAATGAATTTGGCCCAGAAGCCATAGTTTGGCAACCCCAGTTTTAATAATCAGTACCTATATTCACTCCATTATGTTTGAGATGTGTAAATCCTCCTTCAATGCTTTGCAATCAGTGTGCTACAAACTGATTTTATATATGCCAAGAAGTTAATTACCCCAGATAGATCTTAGGGTAATGGACTCTAACAGTTACCCCAGTGTATTGTAATATAATTATCATTTGCTCTAATGGATCATAAAGCAAAAATATTTGATATACACTGCTTTTGTTAATTAGAATAAGGTTCTATATGTATGAATCTGACAGATCAAACTTATTACTAACTTGATCAAATTTTCTATTTCATTAATTTGTGATTGCTTAGCATTACAAATAATTGAACTCTCCTAATTTTATGAATTTATAGATATATTTCAGCTTTTTTGTCAGTTCATGCTTTGTTGCTTTGTGTGTATAGAACGAGTTTGTGTTCTTGGTAATAGAAAACTGTATATACAGAATATCTCTGTCCCTAATGATACTTCAAATTGTTTAATAGTAACACAGCTACACCTACATATACAGGTAATCCTATAGGCATATCATTTGTTTTTATTTTAATTTTCAATTAACATAGTTAAATTGACTATATTTATATAAAAAGTTCTACAAATTTTAACACATTCATATATTCAGATGCAGGGTCATCAAAGCTTAACCACAATCAAAACACAACAAATCCATCACTCCAAATTCCTGCTTTGCACTATCCTTTTGTAAAGATACTATTTCATTCCACTTGGTCCCTGGCAACCACTGTTCATTTCTTCATCCCTCTAGTTTACCTTCACATTTCAGGGAACACCATAATACTATACTGCAAAAAAAGTGCTATTCTTTTAAATGTTTGGTAGAATTTGTTATTCATCTGGGCCATAGAATTTTATTTTTAGAGGGTTATAACAAGGAATTAAATCCTTCTAATGGTTATAAGACTATCTGTTTCATTATATATGTATTGTTAGTTTGGGGTTAAGGAATTGGTTCATTTTATCTACATTATTAAATACATTGAATTTTTCATAGTATGCTCTTCTCATCTTTATGAATGCTCATGAGGACCATAGCAAATTGTCTCTCTTGTTTTTTTTTGTTTTGTTTTTGGTCAGTCGTGGAGCTTGAACTCTGGGCCTGGGTGCTGTCCCTCAGCTCTTCAGCTCAAGGCGAGTGTTCTACCACTTGAGCTACACCACCACTTCCGGTTTTCTGGTGGTTTATTGGAGATAGGAGTCTCACGGTCTCTCCTGCCCGGGCTGGCTTTGAACCACAATCCTCAGATTTCAGCCTCCTGAGCAGCTAGGATTACAGGCGTGAGCCACCAGCACCGAGCCATCTCCCTTGTTTTTCATATTGGTGACTTGAGTCCCTTTTCACTCAGCCTTATTAGATTTTTTTTTAAATCATTTTCATTGACTTTTATCCATAGTAAGTTTTTGGATTCACGATTTTCACTACTTTTACTTTTTATTTCATTTGCATATACTTGTATCTTCATTATTTTGGGGGGGAGGGTCCGGTTGTGGGGCCTGAACTCTGGGCCTGGGCGCTGTCCCTCAGCTCTTCAGCTCAAGGCTAGCGCTCTACCACTTGAGCCACAGCGCCACTTCCGGCTTTTTTCTTTTTGCTTATATGGTGCAGAGGAATCAAACCCAGGGCCTCATGCATGCGAGGCAAGTGCTCTACCACTGAGCCACCTTCCCAGCCCCTCTTCATTATTTTTATCCTTATGCTTCCTTTTGGTTTATTTTCCTCATTTGTTTGCTTCCTAAGGTAGAGCTTATTGATGTGAAGCTGTTGTCTTTTATATTGTTAAGATTTAGTTCTATGTATTTTCTTCCCATATTTTATTATTCATAAATATTTACATTTATATATATTTATATTATATTTTCATTTTCATTTCATTTCATTCAAAATACTTTCTAATTTGCTCAAAGATTTCCTCTTTGACTGGAAGATAAATTAAAAATGCCAATTAATTTCCAAGGATTTGGAACATTATGTTCCTCTTATTGCTTGCTAATTCAATTCCATTATTGTAAAAGAAATTACCCATATAGAATATTTTTACATTTTTAAATGATTTTTACTCAAATAATGATATATGGCCATGCATAATTCAACTGCCCTTGAAAAGAATGTATTTTGATGCTATTGTATAGAACATTCCATAAAAATTAATTACATCCATTTTGTTGGTAATCTTGTTCATTTCATCTATCTTGCTATTTATTTTTTGTCTATTTTATTGCTAGTCTAACAATAACTTCAAAAAGATATTGAAGTTACCAACTGTACTTGTGGATTCCTCTATTTCCCCATTCAGTACTCTAAGTTCTTATGCTCCTAAGTACATGTACACTGAGAATTACATCTTTTTAGTTGTGATGGTTACTTTTATGTATTAAATTATCTAGGCTATGATGCTAGAAGTTGCTTCAGAAGTATTTTGTACATACATATGATTAGCATTTATAGTCATCTGACTTCAAGAAAAAGAAATTACCACCAAAATTTTGTTCAAGTCTGAGCCAATCGATTGAAAGCTTCAGTAAAAAGTGACATGTAAGGAACAAAAAATTCTACTTTAATACCAAGTCTTACATGAGTTTCCAGATTACCTATAAACTGTAAGACCTGCCAATCGCCACAATCCAAGTAGGTAAGCCAATTCCTTAAAATCAGTTCATCACATCACTCTTCACTCTTCTCCCTTGCTTCTTCCTTTCCTCTATCCATCCATTAATTACTGATTCTCCTTCACTGGGAACTCTTAACTGATAAAATAGTGAAATACTTTTATATCACACAAAGTCTTTCTTTAGACCTGGTAATATTCTTTTGCTCCAAACTCTTAATTGCTCAATACTAAAATAATAATTCAACTGTTCTTTAATGTAAATTTTTAAAGGAATATGCTTCCTTCCTTTTGCACAGAATTATACTTGCAGTGGGCTTCTAAGGACATCATGTTAGATGGGTATGTTAGATCCATAAATTGAAACAATCAATTCTGATAATTTTTATCTTAAGTGGTATTCCTGAACACTAAATAGTTTATAACTACTGATGTGTTTAGATTTAGGTCTACCATTTTATTACTTTATCCACTATATAAAGTACTTGAAATTGTTTGCTCATTATAAATAATTTTCTTTTTAAAAACTAAAATATGTAACATCCATCAAAAATACAAATGATTTTTTTAAAAAGAGTAAAGACATTTAGAATGTCTATCAGAAAGAACTCTTTACCTGGACCTGCAATTATCACAGCATTTTTCAGTTCCCATGATGCCCAAGGAAGCCTTTCTTAGTTTTTTGTCCTCAAAATGAGACAAGATGATTCTGGCCAAAAGAAAAATCTTAATTAAATATAAGAACAAATATATACATATAAAAGGCATTGATAATTGCTAATACATGTAAAAGGCAGTAACTAATTTATCTGGGATCTCATTATATGACTTGTTTATTCATACAATAAAAGTTGTCCTACAAATTGAAGAGAGACTCAACAAATGGGATTACCTTAAAATAAAGTGTCTGCACAGCTGAAGACATTGCAACCAAACTAGAAAGACAGCCAACTAATTAGGAAAAAATATTTACCAGCAATATATCAGACAAGGGCTTAATATCCATTATATACAGGGAACTCAAAAAACTAATCCCTCCCAAACCCAACAAATCAATTACCAAATGGGCAAGGGAACTAAAGAGAGACTTCTCAGAAGAAGAGATAAAAATGGCAAAGAAACACATGAGGAAATGTTCACCATCCCTGGTTGTAAAGGAAATGCAAATAAAGACAACCCTGAGATACCACCTTACTCCACTCAGAATGGCCCACATCCGAAAGTGAGCCAACGACAAATGCTGGAGGGGATGCGGAAAAAGAGGAACCCTATTGCACTGCTGGTGGGAATATACACTTATACAACCACTTTGGAAAGTAGTCTGGAGGGTCCTTAGAAAGCTATTGACCTCCCCTATGAACCAGCCATACCACTCCTAGGCAATCCTGAACAGGAACCAGGATACTAGGACACATGCACCGCCATGCTTATTGCAGCACTGTTTACAATAGCCAGGATATGGAAACAACCCAGATGCCCCACTACAGATGAATGGGTCCAAAATTGTGGTACCTATATAAAATGTAATATTATGCAGCCATTAGAAAGGACAAAATAATGGCATTCGCAGGGAAATGGATGGAGCTAGAAGAAATCATGTTGAGTGAGGTAAGCCAAGAGACAAATGGCACATGTTCTCCCTGATAAGTGGATGTTAATCCAAAACCTAAGGAGATACTACTAAGTAAACAAGTCTTGAAAAGAAAGGACCTCCACTCATCTGGTCGAATCACTACTAAATAACGCCATGCCGCTGACTACATATATGGTATATATGTGCACACTGGAAGGAAACTAGGAGGAAGATACAGAAACAGAGGGAAATGGGAAAAGATACAACAGCGGGACCCATCAGCTGCACTGGTCATTGATCAAAACAAACTAAGCATTTCAATGGCAACGATGGGAGGGAGGGGACGGATGGAATGAGCAGGAAACAGGGACCAGCTGACACTAAGCAAAAGGAAAGAACTGAACATATCACCCAATGTCGAAGAAATAACTGTATTGTCAAAGCTCATAGAAGAACTCATAAACTTATAGACCACTAAAAAGAAAATTTGTCCCATGAAGGTTAGAATGTGTTTGTGACTTTAACTAAGTATCACTAACCCACAATACCATGAAATTTGGGAAATTTATGTAATCACTGAATCACAATAAAAAAATTGGTATTAAAAAAGTCACCCTAAAATTTCAACACATACATAACAATAGCAAAATATTCTTTCAAAATACTATTTAGTAAAATATTCTTAAATGCCAGGCAGAAATTCATCCTTTTAAGTGATATGAAATAAATAATACATACTGTCGTCTACATTTGCTGGAATGAAGATACTTTTCCATTTTTGCCATCATCTTTAATTTATACAGTCGGAACTTTTCGTTACGTATCTCAAACAAGTGGTGCCTGTCAATTAAAAATATAAGAGTAATGTGTATAACTGCATCAGCTACTTTGGTAACTTTATTTTATATGGATTATTTCCGTAATCTACACATTCCTGTCTGGATAAAAAATTTCTATTCCTTTAGGAAGTTCTTCTGTATTCCTTCTCAGTCAATAATCCCCAATAGAAGGCTGACCTTTTTGTGATTTTCCTTTGAAAATATTCTACCTATGCTCAGTATTTTTTAAGCTGCTACTAAAAAAACACTATATGCCTCACACTTGTTTTGCTTTGATTTACATGCCACACATTTTTTGGTTTCTAGTAAGCATTACACAGGAATTTCCAAGTTTTCAAAAAAAAAGCTGGCTCTTTATGTTATTTTCTGTGAGAAACTATATAAGGAATACTGAAAGAAGAACATCACTTACAACTCTTCAGTTTGGTCTTCTCTTTGTATTATGGTATTTGGAAACCCCAGGAAAGTATCAAAATGCTGTTTTTTTCTCAACTGACTTTAGTTGGTATTTTTGCCATGATACTGACAATAGTTTTCAAAACATTAAAAATATTTGTTCCTGGTTTACAGAAATGTGAATGTTAGTCGGGTACCAGCGGCTTGCATCTGTAATCCTTACTACTCAGAAGGCTGAGATCTGAGGATCATGGTTCAAAGGCAGCCCTGGAAGGAAAGTCCTTAAGACTCTGAAATCTAACACTAGTAAAAGTGGAGCTGTACAAATGATAGAATATCAACCTTGAGTGAACAAAATTAAAGGACAGAGTCCCTTAGTTCAGAAAATCACTACAATTTCAGACAATTAATCGTAATGAACTAGATCTCCCCTTTTTACAGATATTTTATTTTTGTGTGCTTTTTTAAATTTAATTTTATTGTCAAGATGATATGCAGAGGGGTTACAGTTGCATTCATAAGGCAATGAGTACATTTCTTGTCAAACATTGTTACTCTCTCCCTCATTTTTCTCCCATTTTCCCGTCTCCCACCTCTTTCCCCCCTCCCACATTGTAAAGTTCATTTCCAACATATTGCCTTGTGAATATCACTGTGCACTGGTTTGCTCTTTGTCCTTTATCCTTTTGTTGTTCCCTTCCCTTTCCCAAATCAGATTAATGTATATACAAGACATAGGGTACCAAAATCAAATATAGTCACAACAGGGGATAAAACAAAAGGGGTAAAAAAAATGAAAGAAAAAAGTTATAACTTCACACAGCCCATTAATGACAACAAAGAGAAAACTCATGTTTCTGTATCTTGGAGTTCATTTCAATTAGAATCATTTTATATGATCATATTGTGAGCCTCTGCTAGGACTATACTAGACATATACTAATTGTTACAAATGAGCAAAACCACGGAGTCTATGTTTCTTTAGGTCTGGCTTACTTCACTTAATATGATTGTTTGCAAGTCTTTCCATTTTCTTACCAATAGTGATGTCATTCTTTCCGATGGAAGCATAGAATTCCACTGTTATTTAAGTATTTTAAAAGGAAAATAATTGGAAACCAATTTAACAATAAAATTGTTTAGTAAATCAATTTTGAGTTCAAGCCAAATTACCATGTGCACGCGCGCACACACACAAAGTGCTGCTATAATTCATCCCAATTATTTGATACTATAACTCATCAAATATTATGAGATTGTGTATTACAAGAATTTCAAAAATAGATTAGCATATCTTTCCAAGGAGAAATAAAAGTATAGGTAGAATAATTTAATATATTATAACAAAACAGTAATTTAATGTAGGTGAAAATTCTGTACCTCACCAAAATTGAGCTTACTAATTAAAGTTTGACTGTGTAACATTTTGTTCAAAATACTTGTGCACACTTCTCAAGGAGTTCTGGAAACTCAAAATGCACAAATGATCTCTTAATCAGAAATATCTGTCATTAAATAGACCAATCATCATGTATGCACCAGTTCCTAGGTTAACCATCTTTCTTCTTCTTCCAGGTTCAAGTGTAAAGAGCCAGCATAGATTCTGTATGGATTTCCTGGCACCACTGTCTGAGTAAACTGCTTTGATTTTCTATTAAATCCAATGTGATAATCATTTAATATATCTTTTTTTCTTTTTTGGTCGGTCATTGGGCCTGAACTCTGGGCCTGGGTGCTGTCCCTGAGCTCTTCAGCTCAAGACTAGCACTCTACTACTAGAGCCACATCTCCACATCTGGCCTTTTCTGCTTATGAGGTGCTGAGGAATTGAATCCAGGGCCTCATGCATGCGAGGCAAGCACTCTACCACTGAGCCACCTTCCCAGATAAACCAAATTTATATCTAATGATGAACCTATAAAGTTATGATACAAAACACAATCTATAAATTTTCAGGAACTTTAGCACAATGCACACAAAAATTGGTAGCAATCAACTTATATTTAATATATTCCAACTTTAATAGTAACATACACAGCTGTAATCTTTCCCAATGATTTGAAATTAATTCACAAAAGGCTTCATATAGACACTGGTATCAAAAGTATTGTTCTCTATAAAATGATGGCCTTATTGGCTGTATGTTATAATGCAAAATCTATTTTGAAATTAAAAATTTATAGTAAACTTTTTACCTAGTTAGCCGTTATTCTTCTTAGGGGCCAACTAAGGATTCACTTCTTCAAGGAAACCTTCCCTGACTTTTTAATTGCAAATGCAAGTGCCATTATATATGTTCTTTTTTATAGTATTTAACACATAGAACCTATTAAATGGCACCTTTAAAAAAAAAAAAAAAAAGCTCTTGATTCTTGAAATTTTCACATGGAAAAAGAGAACAGGGAAAGAAAATCTATGTATCCATAGATGTATGATTTTCTAATTAAGATGCATCTTTCCATTACACTCCAAAATCCTGTAACACTGAGACATGTACCCTGTCTCTTTTTGTCACTGAATTTCGAACATATCACACAGTTCTTAGAATATATTGGACTAAGGAAACACCGATGAATGAGTATGCAAAACAATATTAGATACTTTCACTCATCATTTTAATAAAATGAATTAATATGTCCATGGAATACCTCAATTTGTTCACTGACAAAGAAGCATATTTTGAAGCACTCAATAGTTACTCTGTAGGATTTTCCCCCCCTAAGAATCCCTTTATTACATAAAGAGATAAAGTGATAATCCTGGCATACAATGGTTGCATCTAATACCCTGAACACATTGAAATTCTTTTCTTGTATTATTCCCTAAAAATACAATATAACAACTATTTACATACTATTTATTTTATAATAAGCATTATAACAAGGTCAAGATGACTTCAAGTATATGGGAGGATATACATAGATTATAAATAAGTATTGCACCATTTTATATTATGATTTGAATATCCTTGGGTTTATGCAAGATGAACTTTGCCTTTCCAATATAATCTCATAGAATTTAAGGGCCAAGAAAATATTTATTTCATAGTTACATAATAGTTTCCCTGGATTTAAACAGTACAGACTAACACTTTCATGGCAATCTATCAGTACAGTGCAATATAAATGCTATACAAAGTAACAATGACTGAAACAGATGAGAAGATGGGAAGAAAAAAATGTGTCTAATTAGAGCCCTGACTTAATTAATTTCCTACTCTACCTGAGGCATGGCTGGTAAGTCATCTCTTCTATGTAGCAACACTTACTACAAATGTTCATAAATGGTCTCTGTTGCTTTTTGGTTTTGGTGGTTTGGTTCTGTTTGGGGGAGGGGCTTTACATGTATTTCTTGGAAAGACAGAAAGAAATCTGCAAGGTAAAAGTAATAACCTTAAATAAAGTTTACCTAGTTACGTTAAAGTCTGCTGGAGTCCAGAGTAAGTGACAAGAACTTTGAAGTCCATCGCGGCCTGCTCTACCAATTTCCTGGTAATAGGATTCCATTTCCTTAGGAGCACCATAATGAATGACTCTGCGAATGTCAGCCTTATTAATGCCCAGTCCAAAAGCTATAGTAGCTATAACACACTGAGAATAAATAACAGTACAATTTGACATATTTAACAGTACTTAAACTTGTTACGAAAACAGAATTCATTCATTAAAGTCCCTGAAATAAAACTAAATTTAATATTTCAATGAATCACCTATAGTTGGAAAGACTATCTGCTTAGTTTACAGATTAAAGACCAGAAACTAAAAGATTTCTGTTCACCCTCTATAAGAAGTAGCAAATAAATTGGTCTCCCTAACACTTGTGAATATAAGATACACAGAGGCTCTTACAATATCTATTATATTCAATAAAACTTTTGCATTATTCTAAGTTCTAAATGCCCTTACCTGGTTTCAAGAATATTATTATTAAATTATCCTAAGATGGAAGTTTCTCAGTAAAGACAGCAGGAACATACATTAACCTTTGCATCTTTAGGATATTAAAACTGATAGAATACTAAATGTATATGAACTTATTAAGATAGACAGATAGGGGCTGGGAAGTTGGCTCAGTGGTAGAGTGCTTGCTTTACATGCCTGAGGTCCTGGGTTCAATTCCTCAGCACTACATAAGAAAAAAAAGCCAGAAGTGGTGCTGTGGCTCAAGTGGTAGAGCGCTAGCCTTGAGCTGAAGAGCTGAGGGACAGCGTCCAGGCCCAGAGTTCAGGCCCTACGACCGGACCCAAAAAAAAAAAAAGGAAGATAGACAGGTAGAATCACTTGATTGGGGAAAGCTGCAGAAAGAATTGGTGATAAGAATACAGGAAATTAAACAGTGTCTTTCAAATTATGAAAAATTAGAATACAAAAAGATAACCATGAAAAATAACCATAATATACTACTTGGAATAAAGATAAACATTTTGAGTAAAAATTGTAATTGTATAATATTTAACCAGAATTATGATATAAAGTTGGGAGGAAAAGTGGTTTTGAAATGCATGGACAAGGAAAGGAAGGAAAGTGGGAAGCATATGAGAGGGAAGCAGAGTGAGAAATTAATACATACGCAGAAAACTAACAAGCAAAGAATTCAGTATTCACAGTATAAGCAACTAAGGCAAGATGCAGCAGTAAAACCGAAAATTCATCTAAAAAGATCTGAAAGTGGGAAATAAGAAGGCATGAGGGGCTGATGGTTTTCTTTGAAAACATGACAGAACTATTTGTATGTGTAACTGCTAAAAATTCAAGTGCTATTTTGAAAAAAAGACGTGCTAAAGATGGATTGGGAGAAGGAAAAGGAGACAGAAAAAGAAAAAGATATAAGAAAAAGAAGGCAGAAGAAAGAAAATCATGGGAAGGGTAAGAGACAAATCAATGCAGGAATGAATATGGTAAATACATGATTAGGGCAAAGATTAGACAACTTGCTATATTTAAAAATTATTAAATCTGAATGAAAAGGGATTAGTATAAATGAAAGAAATCCCCTATACAAAAGAAAAGGTTAATAAGCAGCACAATAATTCTAATTTTAATCATATTATTTTCATATGAAATCAGCAATCTACCAACTCTATTCTCTAAATATCTCTATACGCTTTTAGATATAAAAAATAAAATAAAATAAAATGAACTATTTATAACATTAACCTTAATCTAGGAAAGAAACTTACATCACCTTGAAAGAGCAAATAAAAATACAAAGACACAAAACTAAGTCAAGATTAAGGGTAAGCACAGAAAAAAAAAAATGCATACCTATACCCAAATGTGGTTGGATTTCATTATAATGATAGTAAAGAAAAAAACTATAAAACAGAAAGGACCAAGACTCTAACCATCAAAAGAACTTGTCACTGGTGGCTCCAACTGTAATCCTAGCTACTCAGGGGAGTGATAAAAGAATAGTGATTTGAAGAAGAAAGTCCATGAGACTCTTCAATTAACCAGCAAAAAGCCAGAAGTAAGGTGTGGTTCAAATGGTAGACCACCAGTTTCAAGCAAAAAACCCAAGCAAGAGCTTGAGGCCCTGAGTTCAAGCCCCAGTAAAGGCACACACACAAAAAAAAAAAAAAAAAAAAAATAGGTTGTAGTAATCTAAGATATTAAGAGCTATAGTGGTCACATCAATTCTACTTTTAGATCCACCAAAACTATGTCTATTATAAGAAGACAGGAGATGAATAATTTCATACATTTGTGCATTCAGTAGTCACTCAATAAATGGTCAATGGAAGTAATCCTAGGCCTTCTAGTATCAATAGATGATTTAGTTTCATAATTGTGAGAGTTTGAGGACTATCAATGAAAATGTGCAGCCTCGGGCTGGGAAGTTGGATCAGTGGTAGAGCGCTTGCCTTGCATGCCTGAGGCCCTGGGTTCGATTCCTTAGCACCACATAAACAAAAAGAAAAAAGCTGGAAGTGAAGCTGTGGCTCAAGTGGTAGAGTGCTAGCCTGGAGCTGAAGAGCTGAGGGACAGCGCTCAGGCCCAGAGTTCAGGCCCCACAACCGGACCCCCCCCCAAAAAAGAAAAGAAAATGTGCAGCCTCTAAAGTATTTATAACAAAAAACAACTATAAGGGATTACCTGTTAAAACACCTGATGCCATAGTAGAGGACAACAATCCATACTAATTTATTAATCTTCATTATGTGGACAAAAATTTGAGACATTCTGCCATAGAAAGGGATATATACAGTATGTGTATATGTGTGTGTGTGTGTGTGTGTGTGTGTGTGTGTGTGTGTGTGTGCGCGCGCACATCTATGTGCTTATATATGCATATACACATATGTACCTTCTAGAAATTAAGATACAATGAAAGCTCTTGCAACAGATTTTTAAGCCATATTTCAAAACAATCAAAGCTATAATGAAGCTAGCAAATCAGATGAATCAAACAAAAGAAATATGGATCTAATTTGTACTCTTTCAGTGCTTAGAGAGATATTTTAATCTAAATGAATACTATAACTAGTAATAACTTAGAAGAAATCATTACTCTGTTAAACTGGCATAAAGATTGATCATTAAAATTCACCAGTAATGACTAACAAGTTTTACTGACAGTTTTCAAGTTACTGAAACAATATAGTGAAAAGATACAATAATTTGGATAAAGCTTCTAAACAGCTGTCCCTATCTGTGGAAATAAGGGGGAAACTCTGCAAGAAGGGGAAGTTTCCAATAGCCTGGTCAACCACCACCCCTTTCAATTTTTTTCCTATAAGTCTCTAATAGGAATTTCTCACTGTCTTGTTAGTCATATTTTGTGTTACATTTACTCTTCAATTTCTCTCCTTCTAATTACTACAACCTCTTACAATCACCTGAGCCCAGAAGGACCTCTATAGCACAATGTCTTTGTATTTGCTGGTCCTTCTTGTAGTTCCATAACCAGTTTTCTTGTTCTCATCACCTAGAGGCCAGGTGAATTTAACAAACTCATGTTCAGGCTCTACTCAACTACCTTTGCCGGGAAAGACCATTCCCATTATGAACTGTACCTTACCAGAAATAATGTTTCTCTATATACAAAACCAATAGTAATTCATCAACACTAGTCTGTAATCATGTATTCATACATGTTATTTTCCACAGTATATAGATTTCCTTTAGTGGAGGAACCACATTATATTCAACACAAAAAAATATTACTCAATAAATATTTGGTAACTAAGTATTTGAGAAATATTTGATGATCTTCGCACCTGAATTTCATCTCTCATGAACTTATGATGAATATCCTTCCTCGTTTTGAAATCCATGCCTGCATGGTATGTTCCACAGGCTAACTTCAGTTTTCTAAGTTCAGCAGTAATTTGTTCTGTCATTTTTCTGGAAGGACAATAGATGATAGTTGGACCTTCAAATTCCCAGGCAGAACTATGGGGGGAAAAAGAACAAAACACAAACATGTATTATATATATATATATATATATATATATATATATATATATATATATGCTTTAGATCAGTTTGGTTTTCTGAGAAGATATAAAGTTTGAATTAAGAACTTCAGGTTTGTTAAGCATGGCTCTATCCATGTCTTATGTGGCTTGCTTGCTTGCTTGGCTGGCACTCTATCACTTCAGCCACGTCTCCAGCTCTGCTTTTTTGCCAGTTATTTTAGATGCAGTCTCACAGACTTTCTGCCTGGGTTTGCTTCAAACCAGAATCCTGAATATCTGGGCCTCATAAACAACTAGGATTACTGATGTGAGCTACTGGTACCCAGCTGTTCTGCTTATTTTTAAGAAGTGTGTCTCATGAACTTTTCACTCAGATAAGCCCCTAACCACAATCCTCATGCTCTCAGCCTGCCACCTAGCTAGGATTACAGGCATAAATCTAACTCACTTTGGGGTTTTTTTGTTTTGTTTTGTTTTTGTTGGTCATAGGGATTGAACTCTGGGACTGAACTCTGTCTCCCAGCTCTTCAGCTCAAGGCTAGTGCTCTACCATTTGAGCCACTGCGCCATTTCCGGTTTTCTGAGTGGTTTATTGGAAATAAGAGTCGCACGGACTTTCCTGCCTGGGCTGGCTTTGAACCGCGATCCTCATATCTCAGCCTCTTGAGTAGCTAGGATTACAAGTATGAGCCACTGGCACCGGGCTTCATTTTGGATTTTATCTACTAATTTCCCTTTCTATTTTCTAAGGACTAAAAGAATAAAACATATAAGAAACTACACTTTAACTACATGAAAATCTAAAACACAGTGAATCAAATGAGGAAATGAATTTTGTTACCAAATAACTCAGTATTGGTTCAAATTAAAATTAATATAAAAACAAATTTATTTGATAAGAAAATTTGATTTTTTTGAGAAAATCTGATTTTTAAAACAAAACTATTGATATAAATACTTTTTGGAAATTAACACACTAGATTAAAATTTAGTCTTGACTTCCTAAGAATTAAGTGAATAGTTATCTAAGAATCTGCATAAAATTAGTTTCAAATATTCTTACTTACCTGCTCTATAAGCATAAAGTTGAGTTTCTTTTTTCTAATTACTAAAACAAAAAATGTCTTATTACTTTTAAGTTTACTTTTATAGCTCATATAAGTACTTACTAATAATCTTGAGATTATGATTCTAGAAAATATTTGTGGGGCTGGGAAGATGGCTCAGTGGTAAAGCGCTTGCCTTGCATGCCTGAGGCCCTGGGTTCGATTCCTCAGCACCACATAAGCAAAAAAGAAAAAAGCCGGAAGTGGCGCTGTGGCTCAAGTGGTAGAGTGCTAGCCTTGAGCTGAAGAGCTGAGGGACAGTGCCCAGGCCCAGAGTTCAGGCCCCACGACCGGACCCAAAAAAAAAAAAAAAGAAAATATTTGTTAGAATGTCTACTGCAGAAAATTGTTCTTAAGTTACAAAAAACATAAACAATGGTTTTCATACATTTATTTAATATCTCAATATATCTGTCTATGTGAATACATTCATTCATGCTGACAGAATGTAAAAACTCTGTATTTAGATCCATTAAAAGGTATTATAAATTTTAAATTCATGTGCCCTTTGATTCAATCCCAATTTTAGGAATCTTAAAAATATACCTGCAAATCTAACAAAAGATACATAAATAAAATTATCCAAGGAAAGAATATATATAAGAGTGAAAAACTAATCTGATTGCAATGACATACACATGTAACCCTGGCCTTTGAAGGAGACAATGAATTTGAAGCCATCCTGGGCTACAAATGAGGCCTTATCTCAAGAAAAAATAAGAATAAAGGCCACTAGAAGAGCTAGACCATTAAGTATATATTCATTACACACTTGTTTTTCTGATTATATTACAACTAAGTTAGAAGAAGTCCTACATTTACATTTATTAAGGGCTTCCTTTAACCTAGGATTCATCTTTTCTTAATTTTATACCTTTCTAGATGAGTAAAACACTAATGATGATCTCAAAATTGTTTGCCAAGGAATTTTTACATTTATATTGGAAGGAAAAACATTTTAACATGAAAACTAAAGAACACATTTCAGAAAGTGAAACTCTAAGCTTTATGCTTATCAGACAAAGAAATACTTAGTAAAGTTCTTACTTACCTGCTCTATAAGCATAAAGTTGAGTTTCTTTTTTCTAATTACTAGCATACATAAAAAATTCATTCAACAAAAAAAGTTCAGCCCAGCACTGGTGGCTCAGCCTATAATCCTTGCTATTCAGGAAGTGGAGATCTAAGGATCTATTCAAAGCCAGCTGGAAAGTCCTTGAGACTCTTATCTCCAATAAATCACCAGAAAACTGGAAGTGGCACTGTGTCTCAAGTGATAGAGCACTTGTCTTAAGCTGAAGAGCTCAGGGATAGCACCCAGGCCCAGAGTTCAAGCCCTACTACTGACCAAAAATAAAAAACCCGCAAAGTTCTAGTAACAGTTCCTTCAACAGTAAAATGAAAATAATACCTAAGAGTTACAAGGATTTAAATAGTTTAGTTGTAATTAAATGCATAGGACAGTCCTTGGGACATGAAAAGCTCCAATATGTTTATAGAATGACTTTAAGGGTTTATTTTTTGGAAGCACTGGGATTTGAATTAAGGACTTCAAGTGTGTCTTGTTGTTTTATCACTTTGGCCACACGACAAGCCCAGGGATGACCTTTTTGAAACCTAAAATTGAAGGTAGTAGTATAATTAGTAAAACAGAACTCAAATGAAAGGCTGAAATTATTAATATTATTATTTTCCAGTACTGAGCTTTAAGGGCCTTGTGCTTTCTAAGCTGACAATTTACCAATGAACCACAGCTTACAGCTGGTACATATTTAAGCAACAACACAGAATGTGCTTCAAAAATAGGCTTTTTCACTGGGCACCAGTGGCTTACACCTGTAATCCTAGCTAATCAGGAGACTGAGATCTGAGGATCACGGTTCAAAGCCAGCCCAGGCAGGAAAGTCTGTGAGACTCTTATCCCTAATAAACCACCAGAAAACTGGAAGTGACACTGTGGCTCAGTGGTAGAGTGCTAGCCTTGAGCTGAAGAGCTCAGGGATAGCGCCCAGGCCCAGAGTTCAAACCCCAGAACCGACAAAAAAAAAAAAAAAAAAAAAAAAACTTTTTCCTTAGTCACTGAATTAATCATCTAATAACACACTTTGCTCAGTCACTGAATTAATCATCTTGCCTGAAACCAAAGATAAAATTTAAAATACATTCAACATGTATAAAGGAAAAACCAAAAAATAATGTAGTTCTTAAAAAAGAAAAGTTACCAAAATCTATCAACCATGAAATCCTTACCTTGTCTTTTTTACAAGAAATGGCTTCAAATCCTGAAGGATATTCCCTGTTTTTCGTCCCACTTCTAAATACAGATTTGGTCGATCAAAACCAGTACAAGTAATCCGTGGGTTTTTCAGGTTTAAACAACGTACTATATCTTCTCGAATTGAAGAACTGGCAGTAGCTGTGAGTGCAACTACTGGAACCTAAATGAAATAAAATTAATTTTTAACAAAGAGACTGTTAAAACTAAAGGAGGTTCCATATCAAAAATAAAAACTTTAAAACTCTTTTTTCTTTGTGGTGATAGAGATCTGAGAATCACAATTCAAAGCCAGACCAAGCAAGAAGGTCCAAGAGACTTATGTCTCCAATAAACTATTCAGAAATAACCAGAAATAGCACTGTGGCTCAAGTAGTAAAGCATTAGCCTTGAACATAGAGAACCCAGGCCAGAGTTAAAACCCCAGGACTGGGAAAAAATAAAAGAATAAAAGAAACTAAATATATGAAGTCTCCCATGTCAGTTATCTTGTCCTAACTAAATTAAGCCTACTTACTAGCTACATAGTTTACTTTAAAATTACATGTGCAAGAATGCTGATATAAACACGGGATATATTATATATGATTTTTAATACTCTCTAATTCCGAAGTTACAAATTTCAATTCACTGAAAATCTAACAAAAAAAAACCTTATCTTTTTTTTTTCTGTGTATATGTGTGTGTTATTATTTTGGCTTCTGGGTTTTCAGATCTTTAAGCAAAGATCCTAATTACCTAGATACAGTTTTATTAATCACTAGCATTCTATGTACAATTATATATAAATAACAGGTAATATTAGTTAATTCCTTAAGCAATAAATTTAGATTCTCGTTTCAGACTAGCAAAGACATTAACTAGATATGCAGCCAAAGGACATAGCAGAAAAAAGATCATAAAGTATTACAGAAATTCAATAAGATGCCTTCTATAGAACTAAATTTCACATTTTAGTCCTTATTATAAGGAGTTGTACTTAACTATGCTAACAGTTCATAATCAAAAAAATGGAGTAACAATGTTAAAATTAAGTCATTAGTAATCTTCAAGTTAATCTTTAATCATGAGCTGTTCCAATGCCAAGAACACAATTTTTTTTAAAATAACTACTGGAAAATCAGGCACTGGTGGCTTACCTAGCTACTCGGGAGGATAAGATCTGAGGATCATGGTTCAAAGCCAGCTCAGGCAGAAAAGTCCGTGAGACCCTTATCACCAATAAACTTCTCAGAAAAAGCTAGAAGTGGTACTATGGCTCAAGTGGTAGAGTGCTAGCCTTGAGCATAAAAAGACTCAGGGACAGCACCTAGGCTCAGAGTTCAAGCCCTAGACCTAACAAAAAAACAAAAACAAAAACAAAACTGTTGGAGCTAGAGGCTGGTGACTCTTATCTGTAATCTTACTCAGGCTGAGATCCTAAATATGTGGTCCAAAGGCCATTAAGAAAAGTCTGCAAAACTCTAATTCCAAAGCAACAAGGAAAGAGCAGAGCAGGAGGCATAGAAAATGGTTAGAACATCAGCGGAGAATGCAAACTGAGCAATCCTGAGGCTCTGAGTTCAAGTCCTAGTGCCATCTTTCTCCTCTCCTCTCCTCTCCTCTCTTCTCCTCCCTCCCTTCTTCTTCCCCCCCCCCTCTTTCTCTCTCTCTCTCTCACACACACACACACACATACGAATACTTTCTGGCCCATTAGATGCTAGAATATATTCATAAAATTGTTCAGATATACATACCTCATAAACAAGCTTAAGCAATTATATGTAGGTGAAAATTTATGTGCAATTGGCAATTTGTAAAGAAGCAATTATAGTGCTTCTTCCAAAAAATTATAACAAGATACAATTAGTGGGGACAGGGAGGGTATGTTAAGTGTGATAAAAATATATTACATGTATGAATATATTATAATAAAACATGTAATTTTCTACCAATAATATACACAATTAAAGAATGTAATAAAAATTCCTACAATAAAAACATATTTAGCTGGGTGAAAATGTCTCACACCTGTAATCCTAGCTAGCCAAGAAGCTTAGATCTGAGGATCGTAGTTCAAAGCCAACCCAGCAAGGAAAGTTTGTGAGACTCTTGTCTCTAATTAACTATCAAAATACCAGAAGTGGCACTGTGGCTCAAAGTGGTAGAGTGCTATCCTTGAGTGAAAAAGTTCAGGGACAGTGCCCAGGCCCTGAATTAGGTCAAGACCCATGACCAACCAAAAAAGAAAAAGAAAGAAAATTTATGTTTAGACAAAATGGTAAGTACTGTGCAAACACGGATTGATTTTTGTGAAACTTAGAAAAATAAATCTAACTTTTAGTGACACATACAAAAGATATCCAGGAATGGAAATGAAGTTTTCTTCTTTGCTGCTATTTTTGTTTTCTTTTCTTTTAGTCTTCTTTGTTTATTTGTCTCTCGTTGGGAGGAGGAAGCACAGAAATTGAGGACAAAGCATGAACAAATAAGTGACACTGCAGACACAATGTTAAAAATGAAATATATCGCTTGGGGGGTAGAAAAAATTGGTAGAGAACAAGGGAAGGGTTGACACTGTCCAAATAGAAATGAACTTTTTATCTGACTTATTCAACTATAACCTCTTTAGGCATCACCTTTATAATAACAATTTTAAAAAATTAAATGAAAAAAAGCACAGATAAGGGGCTAAGGATTTAGCTTAGTGGCAGAGTACATGACTAGTATGTCTGAAGTAATGAGTATGACAGCCAGCACCAAATACAGGTAACACAAAGCAACTAACAACTGGTTCAGTTTGAATATAAAGAATAAATCATTGAATACATCAGACAACTAAAAAGCCAATTGACAAATAGTCATCAACTAAGTAAAACCCAACAAAAAAATACAGAAAATGTGAGAAAGTAGGGAAAACAACTACTCTAGATAATAACCATCATACAGCAAAGGTCAAGAATGACAGCAAAGTAGAGGATATTATATCAACTGAGCTCAAAAGACTGTTGCTAAGAATATATATTCTATGAAATGAATGAGGACCTTTACAAGCAACTACACAAACAGAAAAATACACAAAGAAATAAAGAAAAATACATTAAGAAATAAAGAAATAAATCAACAAGAACAGAGATAAAACACTGAATGAATCCCAAGTGAATACAAAATAGTTGAATGAGCACAAAAAGAATACAGCTAAACATCTAAGAAACCAAAGGAGGCACAGATAAATTAATGAAATAAGTTAGTCAATACAAGATATTAAAAAAGAAACAAATGCAGCAGCGGTACCCACTAGCCACTATGCTGAAAATGAACTGTACTATACAACTTGTGAGTAGGGACAGGAGGGAAAATCTGAGAGAGAACACAGAAGGGAATGACACTATCCAAAAAGAAATGTACTCATTACAAAAGAAAATGAAGAAATGAAATGAAAAAGGATTTCAGTAAAGAAATAGAAAACTTGAACAATAAACAAACTGAAGGCCAAAGATGACAAATAAAGCACAAATCCTTTCCAAAAGAGTAGAAGATATGGAAGTCAGAACATAGTAGAAATCAAAGGGAAAAAATATGATAATATGCAAAAGTTCCATTAAAAGATCAAATTTACATCATTTCAGGAAAGAAAACAAAAGATGCCAAAGGCACTGGAAATATATTTGACAGAGTAAAAGAGAAAGAAAAAGTCCAGCCAGGTTTAAGCAGCTTTTAAAAAACCCAGTAGACCAGACCAGAAAAGAACCTATCCAAACATATTATATTTAAGAAGTCAAACACAGAGAACAAATAAAGAATACTAAAATTTGCAAAAGAGAGAAGAATAACAGTAGATTTCTCAACAGAAACCATGCAAACAAGAAGGACTTCAAATGATATATTTCATAAACTAAAAGTAAATGATTGCCAACCCAGAATACTATCCTGTGAAGCTTTCATTCCTAACTGACGAGCAAATAAAAATATTCCATAATAAAAACTAAAACAGAAGAAACTCAAAAAAGATTCACAAAAGATCACAATAAGAATGAAAAAGTGGAGAAAACATATTCATCTAGATGACTAGATAGGAACAGGAAGAAATATGAAATTAAAATTGTGGGTAGAAATAGTAGGAAATACTACCTATCTCTCAATTCTGAAACATAATATCAATGGGACTCTGTTCTCTATTCAAAAGATAGAATGGCAAGCTGGATAAAAAGGCAAGACCCAGCTGGGCCCAGTAACTCACGCCTATAATCCTGGCTATTCAGGAGGCTGAGATCTGAGGATCACAGTTGGAAGCCAGCCAGTCAGAAAAGTCCATGGGATTCTTATCTGTAATTAACCACCAGAGAACCGGTGGCGCTATGGCTCAAAGTGGTAGAGCGTTAACCTTGAATAAAAAGAAAAAAAAAAGCTCAGGGACAGCACCTAGGCACTGAGTTCAAGCCCCACAACCAACAACAAAAAGGCAAGATGTAACTTTTTGTTGAATACAAAAAAAAACAAATACCACTTTGGGGTAAAAGAATGAAGAAGCATTTTCTAAGGATACATATCCCAAAAGTAGGCAGGAGTAGTTATGCTCAGATATAGGAAAACATATTATAAATCAAAATTAGAAGAGTGAAAGATACTTCATATTAATAACAGAAACTCTCAAATCAAACTGATATAAAAATTCTTAGTAACTATTGAGAGAAATAAAGCAAACTCAGAGAGAAGGGGTGCATGTTTTCTGGCATGGAGAATTAAGGCTTAAAATATAAACATATATAAAAACATAAACAAATGAAGAGGGGAAATATGCAGTCAAGAATCCAATATATATCCTTCAAAATTAAGATGAATAAGGGAAGGGGGTGGGTATGGGAGAGACAGGTGAGAATGTTGAAAGGGGTGGCACTGATATTGTATTCATAAGCTTTGTTAAATGGAAACTCCTTCAAACGACTACCTACAAATGATTTTTACAAAAAATACATATACAATAACATATGTACATATACACAAACTAACTAAAGTTTGGTATATTCAAGGTTGCATTTCCATGGTGAATGGTGAACTCTTGTGAATAATTAACAGACAGTTTAACAAAATGAACACAAGAAAGTTGAGACATGTCTTACCTATATGAGATGGGACTTAAGGGTAGGGGAATGGATAATGGAGAGTAATGGTGTACAAACACAGTCATAATACTTAATGTACACAGTAAAAAAAAAAATTAGAAGATCGATGGGGATAGGACCAAAGAGCTGATGGGAGAATGATGGAAGGAGAGACTGGTCAAGACACATTGTATACATACACAGATGTGTTAAGTCTGTAAGAAAATTCATTTTTACAATACTATTTTTCAAAAAAGTAACACAATACTGAAACAAATTAACTTGAGTCAGATCACTTCAAATCTTGCCTTTACCACTTACTAGATGAAGAAAAGAGCTGTTTAACTCTCTAAGCTGCCATTTCCTCCTCTATAAATTGGCTGTAATAACAGCATCAATCTAAGAAAGTCACTGGAAAGATTAAATGAGACAAAGCATCAATATAGGAAATGTGCTGAATATAATGTGTAGCATATAGTAAGCACTCAGTTTTAATTATTACTAATTGAAACAGTAACAGTGTTAACAATTAATACTAACATTAATAATTAAAATTGCTGCTGGAACTACTTAAAAGACAGTACAAAAAGTTCTGAGACATAGGCACTACTCAGATTTGTCAATAACTTTGGTAAAAATGTGGTGGTCTGCGCTACATGATTTGTTAGGTCCCTTGAATTAAAATTTTTCATTTTGCTTAGAAATTCCCCACTTCAATGGTAAATTGCCAGTGAAAATCACATTTAATTCATTCTTTTGCATATACAACATTCTAGAAAATCACAAGCATGTGGGACACATCTATAATCCCAGCACATAGAAGGTTGGGCCAGAAGGACTAGATGGATGTTCTAAGCAAGCTTCAAAAAAAGGAAAAACAAAAAAAAGAATGTTGCTCCTGACACTAAAAGACAGAATAAAGAAATGGAATACTTACAGAAACAATAAATGTTCACTTCAAAAATAAATTAAGCCTATCTTTTAAACTTTGTGGTATAACAAAAATTTAGAAACAAGGAGCTAGACACCATTGGCTTACACCTATAATCCTAGCTGCTCAGGAGGCTGAGATCGGAGGATCACAGTTCAAAGCCAGCCAGGGTAAAAAAGTCCATGAGACTCCTGTCTCAATAAACTACACAAAGAGAAAGCAGGAAGGAGAGTTCTGGGCTCAAGTGGTAGAGTGCTAACCTTGAGCAAAAAAAACCCAGGGAAAGTACCCAGTCCTTATGTTCAAACTTTAGGACATGCACAAAAAAGAAATTTAGAGATAGGAATGAAGCTTAAAATAACATAGGCAGATTATGTGAAGGATGACTATCTATACATATGCATATCCGTCATGCTCTGACCACTTGTAATCAATCACAGCATAATTACTAGTAGTCTAAACTGTTTAGTAACTGGTTGGATGTTAAATTACACTACCATCTAGTTGCAAGCCTACATTTCTTTGATAATAGGAGCCAATTTTTGTATAAGATATGAATATTTTGAGTGTGCAAAATTAAGGTTGATCTTAATCCTATGTTTTAGTAGTACACACTTAAAGGTTGAGAGAACAACTATTCCATCTGCTGCAAAATTTAGGACATGCTGCTTCCTCTCTTTTCTCTATAATACACATAATTTATGCATTGATTCCCTCTTTCTAAATGGGTAGGGAGAAAGCAATAGCAAAAACCATTTTTCTTGGACCTCACAGTTTCTCCTGTTTGAATATGATGAATTGCCTCTAGGTTTACAATAGCTGTCCATAATAATGTAACTGGAATTAGAGCCACTACACCAAAACAGTGAGAAAAAAATGATAGTCCTACAACCACTAGGTGGCATTTCTCATCACTTAGCCAACAGAGGATTCTTCAGCGCAACGTGTGTGTGTGTGTGTGTGTGTGTGTGTGTGTGTGTGTGTGTGTGTGTGTGTGTGTGTGTGTGTGTGTGTGTGTGTAGAAGGGAGGGAGGGAGGGAGTGTGCGTGTGTGTGTGTGTGTGTGTGTGTGTGTGTGTGTGTGTGTGTGTGTGTGTGTGTGTGTGTGTAGAAGGGAGGGAGGGAGGGAGGGAGTGTGCATGTGTTTCCTCCATCACTGCACCACAAACACTCTGCCCTAGAGGATCAACAGAAGGAACAAGCTATATTTAATCATCCCAAGAAATGAAAAAGATCCAATGACATCCATAGTCAGATATAACAAAAGACTTTATTCCATTTTAGAAGTGTTTAAGAACAAAAGAAGATATTTAAAACTCCTTTAATACAATCCTTCTAAAATCAAAAGCCTAGGAAAGGATTAGAAAAACCAATCTTCCTAGTTTCCAAAAACTTATTTTAAACCATTCTAAATTAATGGAAATCAATCCTCCAGAGCATGGGCTAGTGATTTACACCATGGAAATCCTGTCTGCACTACATGCACTGTGAACACTATTAATCCTTCTGTTTTATTTGTACCACTCCATATGCCAGATGGACCATGGGTAACCTAAAACTAGAAACTACATTTCACGCATTTTTCAAATCACTTGCTTTACAAATGAGCAGAGTATCTTCCAGTGTACTATGTGAAGCTCCCAACTTTTCTTTTAGAGATGTTAGTTCTCTTAATATGAACAGTTCAGATCAGTGCAATTCATTTACAAATTATTTAAATTGCTCTGGTTTGCACATGATACTTCCCTGAAAAATGTTCAGTTTACTTAACAAATGAGGTATATACAAACAATCACAGTAAAACCCACACTTAAAAATAACCCAAAAGTGGGCTGGGAAGGCGGCTTGGTGGTGAAGTGCTTGCCTTGCATGCATGAGACCCTGGGTTCGATTCCTCAGCACAGCATAAGCAGAAAAAGCCAGAAGCGACACTGTGGTTCAAGGGGCAGAGCTCCAGCCTTGAGCTGAAGAACTGAGGGACAGCGCCCAGGCCCAGAGTTCAGGCCCGCCACTGACAAAAAAAATAAAAGTAACCCAAAAGTCCTTCAGCAGGTGAATGGTTAAAAACTTTGGTATAGCAACATTGTGGAATAGTAATACAGCAACAAAAGGAAACAATTTTTTTAACTATGTGATAATTTGGATGGTATTCAAGGAATTAATGCTTAATGCTAAGTCAATAAGCTTCCAAAGGTAGTAAATCGTATATCCCACTTATATAATATTGCTGAAATAACAAAATGACATCACTGGAGACAAGACTGGGCATTATCAGGTGCAAAGGTTGGGGGTGGGAAAAACTGTAGTGTGGCTAAAAGAGGAGCCCCAAGAAACCTTGTAGAAATTGGTCTTGGTTGCAATACTAACAGTTACACAAATCTATATGAACTAAGACTGTACTGAATTATACACATACATGGAAATAAGTGCTTTGAAAACACTGAAATATGAATAATCCAGGAATATTGGACAAATGTCACATTCCTACTTTTGATATTATAGTATAGACATTCAAGAACTGACAGTAGAAAAAAGTGTATTTTTTTCAAACAACTTTTTATGAATCTCTAATTTTTTCAAAATAAAAAATGTTGTCAATCTTGAGTTTTTAAGCAATATGTGAAAAATATATCATTTCTGGTATTCATTCATGTAAAAATGTTACTCTTACTGGGCATCAGTCACTCATACCTTTAATCCTAGCTACTCAAGAGGATGAGATCTGAGCCAAACTAAGCAGGAAAGTCTGTTAGATTCTTATCTCCAATTAACCCCCAAGAAGCCAGAAGTGGAGCTGTCACTCAAGTGTATAGTGCTTGCCTTAAGGGGGGGGGGGGGGACACTCAAACAGTACCCAAACCCTGAGTTCAAGTCCTAAGTCTGGCCAAAATTTTAAAAAAGTTACTCATTAAAATTGGGAAACAAACTGGAATTAGCATTGTAGGAAAATTGCATTAGAATACAAATTTCCATTAGAATACATCATTCAGTATAATGTAAGAAGAGGCAGCACCCTTTACCATGTCCCAAAGTAAAAGCACAGAGGGATGAAAACATCACAGAGGAGGCATGGGACTAAACATGCTTCAGAAGCAACCGTATACTAACTATGACTCACAGCCCAAAGAATCTATAATTAACTTTGCTTTTGTTGTTGTCAATTTTCACAATAAGATTTTTACTCAGAGCCTTGCACTTGCTAGGTGAGTTCTCCACCACATTAAGTTCTAAGCATAACTTGACATTTTTAAAGGAGTATTTATGAGAAGAAGGAAAGAAACATATGACAAAGAAATAATACACTAGCCTTCCCCTTACCTCTCCCTATGGGCAGTTTGGTTTTCTGTAGTTTCAGTTGCCTATTGTCAGCCACAGTGCGAACGTATTAAGTGGAAAATTACAGAAATAAACAATACATAATTTTTAAATTTAACAGCATGCTGAGTAAAGTGAGGAAATCTTGTGCTGTTCTGCTATCTGTACAGTCACTCTATTCTCTCCAGAAAGCGAATAATCCCTTTCTCCAGCATAACAACACTATAGGTGCTACCCACCAGTTAGTCACTTTGTGATCTGGGTTATCAGATCAGCAGTCAAGCTACAGCAGTTGTAAGTTATTATTAGTTTTATAGTGGTTCATAGCCTCCAACTGTCATGGGTATGTATGTATATGAGAAAAACACAGCATATATAGTTTAATAGTATCATATATGAAGTTTCATTCCCCTCAGGGTCTGATGTGCCTATATTACCTCAACTTAACAGAAAGATGTTGCCAAGCCTGTTCAGAAGAATGCCTCAATAAATTTCATGTCAACCTTCAAAGAAGCCCTCATTAGAATTAAAAACATGGCTCCCTGTTTATAAAATCTATCTACCATTTTTGATCAGGTCCAAGTTCTTGATGTTTTGCTTACTTGGGAAAGCTTACTTACCAATGGGAGTGCTGCCTTCAGGGAGCCCAATGACCTGAAAGAACTTCTAAATTCATGCCCCCACTCAGAAATACAGTGAGCCTCATCCACAGCAATAAGCGAGATACCTACAAAAGTAAACACATACACATAAAAACACAAAAAAAATCCAAAAGATAAAATGGTCACCTAAATCAACACTGTCTTCTCGATTTAGATGACATAAATCTTTAGAAACGGAAAATAGCCAAATCAAAGTATTTGGTTCATGTGAAAATATAAGCACAACACCAAGTAACACCAAAAGTTGTTACTAAAAAGATGAGTAGGGAAGATAAATGGATAAAGGCATTAAGATTTAAATATATATATATATGTATATAAACTTAAATATCATGTATCTATTTCAGTTTTCATCATTATTCCTTAGAAAAGTAAAATTCATTACTATCCAATTGTTCTCCAAAATATCACTTATGAACCACCTACAACAAAGTCTCTCTTTAAGAGACTATTGGGCACCAATAGCTCACATCTATAATCCTAACTACTCAGGAAGCTGAGTCTAAGGATGGCCATTGGAAGGCAGCCCAGGCAGAAAAGTATACAGGACTCTTATCTTGTGGCAAAATGCCACAAGTGTAGCTGTGTTCAAGTGATAGAGCACTGGCCTTGGGCAAAAAAAGCCTAGCCACAAGACTTAGGGGCCCCACCACAAAAAGGAAAAAAAAAAGAATTGTTCTCTTTGGCAGTATGTTTAATTTTATCTCATAGATGGACTATCAAGCAACAGAAGTTAGCACATTCTGGACTAGAAATATGGCTTAGTAGTAGAGTGTCACATACACAGGAAAAACAGGAAGTAGCGTTGTGGCTCAAGTGGTAGAGTACCAGCCTTGAGCAAAAGAAGCTCAGGGACAGTGCCCAGGCCCTGAGTTCAAGCCCCAGGACTGGCACAAAAGAGAAACAAACAAACAAAAAAAAAAGAGTGAGTACATTCCTGAGATTAAATACATCACTTTTTAAGACTGATCTTATCAAGTTCAGAAAGTTCCTCTGCAATAATAGTATTAGAAGACAGAACTGACAACCACACAACCCTAGTGTAAAATGGGATGAGAAAAATTAATATTTTTATGTACAAAGTAGGTTTAATATCTAAGACAAAAGTAATTTTCTTCATTTCTCAGTTTTAAAAATGTTTGTATTCGTCTATCGCACCTAACATTTTTTTTTTTTGGGGGGGGGGGGGTCTGGTCATGGGGCCTGAACTCTGGGCCTGGGCGCTGTCCCTCAGCTCTTCAGCTCAAGGCTAGCACTCTACCACTTGAGCCACAACACCACTTCCGGCTTTTTTCTTTTCCCTTATCTGGTGCTGAGGAATCGAACCCAAGGCCTTATGCATGCAAGGCAAGCGCTCTACCACTGAGCCACCTTCCCAGCCCCTAACATTTCTTATAACATCAAAAATAAATGAGATCATTCATTTGTCTAAGAAAATAAAGCCTGATACAAAAAAAGTAACAAATTGGGTGTTGATGGTTCATTCATGCGTTTAGCTATCCAAGAAGGTGAGATCTAAGGATCAAGATTCAAAGTAGTATAAGCTAAAAAGTCATTTTTAAAACAACCAGCAAAATGTTAGTCTGGATACAAATAGCTCAAGTAGTAGAACACCAGTCAAGTAAGTAAGCATTTGCAATAAAAGCTTTGAATGCAACTGTCATATAGTGGAATATGACCACAGAGAAGAAAACAATGAAGGAGAAATGTACAGTACAAAACAGAAGTGATGTCAGCTTTTGATTATTTCTATATTTACATTTTCTGATAAAAAAAAAACCTCTAATATAGGTTTAGGGTTTTTGTTGATTTGTTTTTCCTTTTTTTACTTGTAATCAGTCATACGTGTAATAAAAGGTAGCATGGTTTCCTATGAAAAGCTATAGATGTTCGGCCTCACAGGCCTGTTACAACTGAATGTTCAAGGTGGGAAGCTGTTTCACTACATGTTTCCTAAAGCTTGAGGTGTGACATTCATGAACAAAGATAAAGAACTACTACTATGCTGATGTAATATTAAAAATATGAACGGTAACACAATTTTGTACAATATGAATTTTGTAAAATATAAAATTCAATATATAAAATACGTGTGGAAATGTATATTCCAAACACTGCACTACAGAAATTTAAATAAATAATATAATTTTTCCCTCAAAATGGTTTATTGGTTATGCAAAGAAAATAGGTACATAAAGAGACAACAATACAGAAGAACAATTTCTATGGCAAAATGAATTTTAGGATGAGATAAAACAGAAGAAATACCAAGTTGGAGAGACAGAGACTTCCTGAAGATAATATATATATATATGTATACATATATATATATGTATATATATATGTATACATATATATATGTATATGTATATATACATATACATATGTATATATATATATGTATACATATATATGCATATATATATATACATATACATATATATATGTATATATATATATATACATATATATATGGTTTTTTTGGGGGGGTCCGGTCGTGGGGCCTGAACTCTGGGCCTGGGCGCTATCCCTCAGCTCTTTAGCTCAAGGCAAGTGCTCTACCACTTGAGCCACAGAACCACTTCTGGCTTTTTCTGCTTATGTGATGCTGAGGAATCAAACCCAGGGCCTCATTCATGCAAGGCAAGCACTCTACCACTGAGCAACCTTCCCAGCCCCCGGGAAGATAGTATTTAAAATAAACTTTAATACAAGTGAAATCTAGGACTGTGCACGGTAATGCACACCTATAATCTAAGGAGGCCACGTTGAAAAAGATGGCAGTTGAAAACTAACCCCTGGCAAAAGTAGAGATGAGATCAGTGATATGTACTGCAATCTTAACTACAAAAAATGAGCTGGAAAACTGTGAGCCAAGGTTGCCTTGACAAAAATTTAAAATCTTATCCAAAAAATAACTAAGGCAAAAATGTTTAGAGCAAAGCTAAAGTGTTCTGAGTTCAAACATCAATAAAATCCTCCCCACAATAAAAACAAAAAACAAAAAACAAAGCATCCTTCCACAGGTTTAAAATAACAAAAATTCAAACTCATACCTGTAAGCCTAGCTACCTTATCTGAGGATCACAGTTCTGAGCCAGCTCAGGTAATTTATCTCCAATAAACTGCCAAAAAAGGCAGAAGTAGAGATGTCGCTCAAGAGGTAGAGCACTAGATTTGAGCAAAAGAAGCTCAGGAGCAATAGCCAGGCCCTGAGTTAAAGTCCTAAGACTATCGAAACTAACTAACTAACTAAATAAATAAATAAATCAGTAAGTACTTACGAAGGTTTTATTTGATCACTTACCAATCTTAGCCTCAAGTTGCCGAAGCAGGTCCAAATTACCTGAGCAGAATTCTGGAGTTATATATACAATCCGGTACTTGCCTCTGTAAAGACAAACAAATTTACAAAAAGAAATAGGAAAAAAATAATAATATAAACAGGGCATTGCACTGTGGTACAACACTTGTACTTTGCATGCATGAATCCCTGAGTCCACCCCTTAGTTCTGAAAGAAAAGATTAATAAAAATGGGGAAAAAGCTGGGTGCCGGTGGCTTATGCCTGTAATCCTAACTACTCAGGGGGCAAAGGTCTGAGGATCACAGTTCAAAGCCAGCCCAGGCAGGAAAAGCCATCAAACTCTTATCTCCAATAAACCACCAGAAAACTGGAAAAGTGGTAGTGCTAGTTTTGAGCTGAAGACCTGAAGGACAGTGCCCAGGCCCAGAGTTCAAGTCCCATGACTGACCAAAAAACAAAAACAGAAAGATAATAGGGAAAAAGGGGGGGTGGGGAAGCAATCAAGCAGGTACAAAACAAATATGCCTTTAGGAAATTAAGACAGTATTCTAATTATATAGGAAACTATAAATAATCTTAATGTAAGACTGTCCAGATTTGAACTCAGTTTGTCTTCAAAACTCTACGTTGGATACATGGCTCAAGTGGCAGAGTGAAAGCTGAGCATCTGAGCAAGCATAAGAGTCCTGAGTCCATACCCTCAATATTGGCAAAAAACAGAGGAGAGGGGAGGGGAGGAGGACAGGAGAGAAGGGAGTGGAAGGGAGGAGGGACTGAAGGAAAGGAGGGGAGAAAGAAATGTCTGCCATTCAAAGACTTGTGTAAAAATGTTCACAGTAGCTATATTTGTAATAGCCCAAAATATAAATAAACATCAAGTAAATGAATAAACAGACTGTAATATAGCCATATAATGAAATTTACTTGCTAATAAAAAGAATGAGTTATTAATAAATGTAGTAACATAATGAATTTCAAAATAATTATGCTGCAGTACTTAAACCAAACCAAAAAATGACCACATAATAAATAAAATGCAAACTAATTTATACTGACAGAAAGTAAATCAACAGTTAATGGTGGCATAGGATCGAATTAAGAAAGTTTGATTTGCCAGTGGGACCAGTAGCTATCTAACTATCTACTCAAGAGGCTGAGATCTGAAGATCAAGATTCAAAGCCAACTGGGGCAGAAAATCCACAGAATCTTACCTCTAATAAATTACCCAAAAAAGCCAGAAGTGCAGCTTTGGCTCAAATGGTAGAATGCTTGCCTTGAGGGCAAAAAAAAAAAACCTAAAAGACAGCAGCTAGGACTTGAGTTCAAGCCCTAGTACCAACCCCCAAAAAGCAACATTGAAAGTGATGGACATATTCATTCCCTAAACTATGATCGTGATTTATAGGTTAAAAAAAAAATCAACATCTACTAAATTAGGTATTTTCATTCTGTAAAATACATCATATGTCAACAAAGGTGATGCAAATGGTCAAAAAAAAAACAAAACAGATGTTCACAAAAAGACGATTACTGGAATCCTCACACCAACCTTACTGGGAGTACCGCAAAACTAGAAATAACCTAGATGTATATCAGCAAAGAAATGTAAAACCATACTATACAACATTCATACAATAAATTATCACTCAGATTTTAAAACTACACCAGTGATATATGAAACACCATGTAAAAGTTGCAAGAACATTATGTTGACTGAAAAATTTTTACATAAAAGAGTAGTACATGAAATTCTTTTTTTGTGTGTGTGTCCGGTTATGGGGTCTGAATTCTGGGCCTGGGCGCTGTCCCTCAGCTCTTCAGCTCAGGGCTAGCGCTCTACCACTTGAGCCACAGCGCCACTTCCGGGTTTTTTCTTTTATGTTTATGTGGTGCTGAGGAATCGAACCCAGGGCCTCATGCTTGCAAGGCAAGCGCTCTACCACTGAGTCACCTTCCTAGCCCCTTGTACATGAAATTCTAGAGCATACAAAGCTAAATAAAAACTATAGTAAAAAAAAAAAAAAAAAATGGGGCGATGGTTTGACTCAGGACAAAAGATGGAAGGAATATAATAAAAGAGACATTAAGAAACTTTGTAGAGTGACAGTAATATAATCTCTTTTTTTTTGCCAGTCCTGGGCCTTGAACTCAAGGCGTGGGCACTGTCCCTGGGTTTCTTTTGCTCAAGGCTAGCACTCTACCACTTGAGCCACGCCACGGTACCACTTCTGGCTTTTTCTATTCATATGGTACTAAGTAATCAAACCTAAAGCTTCATGTATAACAGGGCAAGCACTCTACTATTAAGCCACACTTCCAGCTGAGCAATATAATCTTGATAGGGATTTGATTTACACATTTGTATGCATTTCTCACAGCTCAGTAAATGGTTGTATGTATTATGTTCACATATACATACATATCTACATACATCAATATATAGAACTATCTTGTGTTCACAGGAGATGATATTTTTCTTAGGAATTGTGTCATGATAGGATTAATGAGCTAAGATATCCAGAATCCATTCTGCAATCAGTTACAAATTCTCCAAGTAATGGCAAATTATTTGTCTCTGTACTTAAAGTTTCTTATGTATGTAAATACTCTTCAAGTTCTCTTCTTAGCAAAATTTGAAGATTCCATGACTACAATGCTAATTTTACAGCCCCAAGATGTTTTAAAGTTTAAAATATTTAAATTTTCTACGCTATAAAAACCACCATTAAGAAAGTACATTTCAAATATAAACATTTTACGCTATGCATTAAGGAAAATTTTTTCACATACAAAATTCTCTAATACCTTATAGACACGTGACCGTATGATCAGAAATCATATAAATTACTCACAATTTGATATCTTCCAAAACATTTTTTGATTGTGCAGATCCAAGGAAACAGGCCGAAATGTTGGACATTCTATACGAAGAAAACAAGTATTATGGCATTCTATACAAAATACAAATATCAACTTTACTCTTATATGAAAAGGAATAAAGATACAGTTCTTTCATGTAGTCCTCTTCGCAATCCTCATTTTGTATCTTATTAGTTTGATAAATCCCTTCAAAGCCAATGAAAAGTTGGCTTTACAGTTAGTCTTTCAAAATGGCATCAAAAGATACTTTAGAGTATTTCATAGATTAAAAAATAAAAATAGGGCTAGGAATGTGGCTTAGTAGAGTTCTTGCCTAGCATGCATGAAGTCCTAGGTTTGATTCCTCAGTACCACATAAATCAACAAAGCCAGAAGGAGTGCTGTGCTCAAGTGATAGAGTGCTAGCCTTGAGCAAAAGAAGCTCAGGACAGTGCCTAGGGCCTGACTTCAAGCCCTAGGATTGGGAAAAAAATGAAAAATAGAAATAAATTTCTTCTAGGTACTAACTGCCAACACCTGTAATCCTAGCTACTCAGGAGAAAGAGATCTGTGTGGTTCAAAGCCAACCTAGGAAGTAAATTGTCTGTGAAACTCTAATCTCCAATTAATCACCAAAATGCTGGAAGCAGAACTGTGGCTCTGGTATAGTGCTAGCTTTAAGCATAAAAGCTTAGTGATAGCACCTAAGCCCTGAGTTCAAGCCCCAGGACCGGCACCAATTAAAAAATAGATAAATAAATGAAATAATAAATTTCTATTTATAAATTTCATATACACTAATAAGCACAGGTAAACCAAAGGAAAAAATTTTGAAATAGTTAATATAAACTGAAAAACAGTAACAATTCTCTTTTAAAAAATGTTTTTAGATACAAGGACACGTGCACCTCCATGTTTATTGCAGCACTGTTCGCAATAGCTAGGATATGGAAACAACCTAGGTGCCCCACCACAGATGAATGGATCCAAAAATTGTGGTATCTATACACAATGGAATATTATGCAGCCATTAGAAATGACAAAATAATGGCATTTGCAGGGAAATGGATGGAGCTAGAAGGAATCATGTTGAGCGAGGTAAGCCAAGAACGAAGAGACAAACGGTACATGGTCTCCCTCATAAGTGGATGCTAAATCCAAAAGGTTAGGTGATACGACAAAACTAACAGGACTTAAGAAACAAAGAACTCCCGCTCATCTGGTTGAACCACTACTAAATATCCTCATGCTGCTGATCACAAATATGGTATATAACATGTGAACACTGTTATATATTACAGACTGTGGTAGACAATTTGCTCCAGGGAAGTTAGAATGAACTTGTGACTTTGAAATTATGTAATCATTTAATCACAATCAAAAAAAAAAAAAAAAAAAAAGAACCTCGGGGAAGGGAGGGAGGGAGGGGATGGTAGGGGGAAAACAATGGAGGGGGTAACAATGTTCAAGAGGAAGTGTACTCATAACCTCACTCATGTAACTGTAACCCTCTGTATAGTAGCTTTACAATAAAAAAAAAAATAAAAAAAATAAAAAAAAAAAAAAAATGTTTTTAGAAAACTTAAGGAAGAAGATAGGCTCTTCCATTAAAGTATTATTTATCTCTAATAAAGAAAGCACCACTTCCAGAAACATGTTACTGTGAACTAGATTTCACAGTAAAAGATTCATTCATAGGAAAAGAAAAATGGCAATCGGTTGTGATGACACAGACTTATAAAGCTAGCACCAGGAAGCTGAGAGAGGAGCAGCACAAGCTCCAGGCCATACTGAGCAACAAAGGGACACTGCCTCAAAAAGGCAAAAACAAAAAAAGAGCAATTAGATGGGACTGCAAGCATTACTTACTGAAGCTGGAGCACTTGGTCTTCCATCAGAGAAATAAGAGGTGAGATGACAATGCCAATCTTGCCTACATATACAGGAGGATACTGGAAGCACAAACTCTTTCCATACCCTTAGAATAAAATAGCACATTCACAACTATAAAAACAAACCCTTAATACTCAAATTTCTTCTTGCAATGTACTTATGTAACACAATAAACAATACTAGCATGCCATTTTCCGAAAAGTAAATGCATGAATAAACTTGAACACCTATTCCTTGTTCATTCTCTTCTATATTTTACACCATTTGTAAATGCAAATATTTTGAGAATTTAATGCAAGTTTATGTACCTAAAACCTAATAACCAACACAGCCAGGTATCTGTAATTCATATCAGCAATTCCACTGAGGATCAGCTACTCATGAGGCCAAGATCCAGAAAATTGTGGTTCCAAGGAAGCTCAGGCAAAAAAGTTCTAGAAATTACATCTCCAAAATAAGATGGAAAAAATGGGCTGCAGATGTAACTCAAGTAAAGAACCCCAGTCAAGCAAGCAAACTGAATAAGGGTGAGCCCTGAATCCAAACACTAGTACTGGAAAAAAATTAATTAACTTTATAAAAAAAGAACAAATGTGAACAAAATGAGGCTGGAGGGATGCCTCAAGTTGTAAAGTCCCGATTTAGCAAGTATTTTTAGAGTAAAAGTATTGCTGGGTGCTGATAGCTCACACCTGTGATCCTAGCTACTCAGAAGGCTGAGATCTGAGGATCATGGTTCAAAGCCAGCCCGGGCAAGAAAGTCCGTTCAACTCTTATCTCCAATAAACCACCAGAAAACCAAAAGTGGCGTTGTGGCTAAAGTAGTAAAGTGCTTGCCTTGAGCTGAAGAGCTGAGGGACAGTGCCCAGGCCCAGAGTTTAAGCCCCATGACCAACAAGGAAAAAAAAGAAAAAGAAAGTATTTATTTAAGGCAAACTTACCAGTTGCCATGACAACAACATTATCTCTTCTTTCTTCCAATACAGAATAAATAACTTTCCACTGGACCCTTGAATGTAAAAAACAAAAAGCTATTTCATTTTATTAATAAGAAGCCCAGTGCACAAGTAAAAACCTATTTAATTTCTCACTTTCTCTAATAAAATTTTATTTATACTCTAGAGCAATTCCAGGAATTTTAAAATAAAGGACAGCAATTCATCAACCTCTCATTCAGGCTAAGAGAAGTTTTCATTTGGTATATGTATTAAATTTTATTACATGTATCTCAAGTGTAAAATAAATTCCAAGCACCAAGAAAAATAAGAAAAACAAACTTTGGTAAAATAAAAAGCACATACAGTAGAAAGATGGTATATTAAATGGTAACAGTAGAATAAAACGATAATAATAAGAACTCAGGTGAAGGGTACACAGATACCCATTCTTTTTAAAGCCTTTCACCTTTACTGTTCCTTAAAATTGTTTCTTAGTAAAATGTCAAGGGAAAAATCAATTGAAGAGGTAGTCTTCGACACTAATACTAACCTTGTCTTATATACATACTAGCTACACACTACATTCAGTTTATCAAATTTTATTAACTTATACACCAAGGAGCTTTTCTTTACAGGATATATTTCAATTTTAACTTTTAAGACTGGAAAAAGGAATGAAATGCTTCAATGAAGTCTATCCTAAATTCTCTGAACTCCACTGAGAAAATCTCCACTGAGATTTTTACTAGCTAATTTCATTCAAATGTACATGCTACTCATCTACTTTTTACACTTAAATATGTACCCATTCGATTTTAAAACATCCTGAGTATATAAAGTAAATAAAATTATCTGTCTCAAAGTATTGTTTTATAAACCTTTATTTTATAAGTATACTTTGAAAATATGCTATATAAAATAAACAAACATAAAACTTGAAAAAAAAACTCAAAGAAGGAGATTGCTTAGACTCTAACGCAAATGTATGTGGAAATGTAACAATGAAATCCCCTTCTATATAATTTATATAAGCTAATTTTTTTTAAGAACTTAAGGAAAAAAATAACTGTCTGGTTGCAGTGGCTCAAGCCTGAAATCCTAACTACTTGTGAGGTGGAGATATGAGGATCTCAGTTTGAGATTGGCATCTCAACCAATAGCATGTCAGTGAACCCAGGATCAGGGAAAGCATAATGGCTGGGCAGAGTGGCCCATGTTTGTTATTCTCAGAGACACAGGAAAACACAAATCAGAAGATTAAAGCCAAGACAGTCCCAAACATATTTCAACAAAAATAACCAACACAACCAGGTATCTGTGGTTCACATCTGCAATTCCACTGAGGATTAGCTACTCATGAGGCCAAGATCCAGAAAATTGTTGTTCCAAGGAAGCTCAGGCAAAAAAGTTCTAGAAATTACATCTCCAAAATAAGATGGAAAAAATGGGCTGCAGATGTAACTCAAGTAAAGAACCCTAGTCAAGCAAGCAAACTGAATAAGGGTGAGGCCCTGAATCCAAACCCCAGTACTGGAAAAAAATAATTAACTTTATAAAAAAAGAACAAATGTGAACAAAATGAGGCTGGAGGGATGGCTCAAGTGGTAAAGTCCCGATTTAGCAAGTACAAGGACCTAAGTTCAATCCTTGGTATCCATGAAAGGAAAAATTCTGTTTTAAATGAAAATTCATTATATATGTATTTAGGTTCTATAGAGAACCACTCAGTCAAAGGAAAATCATTTTTCTTTGCTTACAAAAATAATTTACAGAAATAATTTATGAAATTACCCTGAAATAGTTTTGTAATCACTTATAGGATTGTGATATATATTTCAATAATGAAGTTGTGTGTGCCTATTCTTAAATGAATAAGCAGTTTACTTTTTTGTCCTGTTTAAAGATATAACTAAGTATATCATTAACTAAGATTATACTCACGGTTTAAAACTGCAATGGCCAAAATAGGTCTTGAGGCAAATAATTTGCGTTGCACTGGGTTCTGGCAAAAAATGATCTTAAAAATAAAATACAACGGGCACTTATGTTCATATAGAAATATTTCAGATAAGAGGAAGAAAAGTTTCTGGTTTCTCATAAAGAACAGAGTTAGGTATCTAAGGTTGCCATTTTCTTTTAGTACAATTAATTTGTTCCTCTGTGTATCAGGTATGACTCTAGTTGAATGCTGTGATTACTATTCAACTATGAGAATGCTGTGGTGGTCACACTTACCAACACTGTCAAAACCTGTATTTTAGAATCAGCTACAGTTCTAGCTCTACCATCAATAATAAACACTTCAGCAAACAACAGAGCACTTCAAACTTTATAATATAACCAACTTTCAATTAATAATAAATAGAATTTACTGTCACAATCTGTTTTACAGTTTTAAATAATATATTTTAGTTGTCTAAAACTAAACTATTTACCTAAATAGTTTCATTTAGTTATCTAATTAGTTAACTTTAGCTACCTAAATGTGACTAAATTTTGAATCTGCACAGCATAATGGAATCATGTTTTCTCTACACAATGACTATCACTGTCTCATGAGTAGCCAAAACAGGATAAAACAACAATCAAGATAATTTATCACTAGATAAAATAAGGTCAAACATGGGTATTTATGTTCTCAGCCTTAATGACTATAGCTAGAAATATAGATCTAGACAATATGCCTGTTCTATAAATACATTCATATAAACCCTCTACAAATGTTATAAATTGTCAATATTATGTCAATGATGAAGTCTAAATCTAGTGAGAGTTCTACTGTACAAAGAGACCCCCATAACTTGTCATAATAGATACTATTATTTACATAATAGATACTATTATTTACATTTAAATAGAAAGTTGATTTAATACATTCTTTACTATGATACTGTGCTTTTTATGTCCTGTGCCAGTATTGGGGTTTGAACTCAGGGCCTGGGTGCTGTCACTAAGCTTTTTTGCCCAAGGTTAGCACTGGAGCCACAGCTCCACTTGTGGATTTTTCCTGGTTAGTTGCATTCACTGCCTGGGCTGGCTTCAAACTATAATCTTCAGATCTAAGCTCTAACTCAGTCGTGGTTACAGTTGTAGGCCACTGGGGTCCAACTTGTGCTGTTTCTTTATTAACTACAGCTAATAGATCCTAAAGAGAAAATCTCTGTATCCACCTGTCATTTACAATGGATAAATAGTAAATTATTCTATTACTTTCATTAAGACACAAAATATATATTTCCAGATAAAAATTTTCACGTCACCATATCCAGTTAATAACATTTTATTACTTACTGTTATAATAAGGTTGAGATAGACAGTGAAAAGCATGAAAGAATTTAACAAGTTGCCACAAAACCACCTAACTTCTAAAACAACACCTTAATCCTAAATTAAAGTCAGTGATAAGTAACAGATTTGAATAATTTCAGATATAGTTCAGTAATTACCTTCATTATCTTCTTCTTCTGCTTCTTCAACTTCTTCTTCTTCTTGTTCTTCTTTTCCTTCTTCAACTTCATCTTTATTTTTATCTTCTTCAGTAGGAAAACTCAAATTTCTTTCCATTTTTAAGCACTGAGAATGAACTGACTCTACAGGGCTACTGTTTAAATCTTCTAAAGACTGAAAATATAAAAGAAATTTTAAAAGTAAAACTGCTGCTAGTATAGTAGCATTTTCAACAATCACAAAAGGGATATTATTAACAATTTTCTCAAGGTTGGCAGATGTACAAGCAACAATACAAAAAAAAAATGTGAGCTCCTCTATAATTGTGCTCAAGAATGACTTTCACAGCACAAAGCTAAAGATGGAATTAACCAACATAAACAAGGGAAAACAGGGGAAAGTAGTCATAAAATTTAAATTTGCATAATTTAAAATATTTCTCTTTATTGTACTTCAATGATTTCTCCCAAGAGGTAAGTGTGTATTCTAATGGAATTTTTGTAGTGAGTTTCTCTATATCTCCTGTGACTCAGTCACACTCTTCTTAAGTAAGGATAAAACATCAACTAAAAGCAAATAAAAAATTTGGAAATTGTCAAAAATAAAAACAAAATCAAGTAAGTTTAAGAAATAAATATTACATATGTAAAATAACAATTTGCCTTGATATTTTATCCCCTAAATAAGGATGATGAATGTCCAAAAAACTCTTTATCTATAAAAATTTTTACTAAGAAGTGATGTAGAATATTCAACCAAATGCTCACTTTTCTCTTCTTATCAAACCTTCCAATTAGTATTTTGACCTGAAGAGTTCACCAACAAAGTATATTTACTTTAGGGGAAAAAGCAATTCGCTTTCTAGTATTTTTCTTCAAACTGATAAATATTCAGAGAACATTATAAAAACAGGATTCTCTAATACAAGCATTAAGGTAACCATCTAAGAGACTTAATATATCTGCTTGTAGAAGTCTACAAACGTCCTATAAATGCTCCACTTATACAGCATTAATCAGAAATCACTGAAAATTATGTTTTAGCTTATGTTCCTTAAATACTTGAGTGAACGTCAAGATTCTTTACTCAGCTTTATGCAGTAGCTTAAATAAAAATCCCAAATATTAACTCTGAATTTCAAAGACATTATAAAATAGCCTCCCAACGTTACATGGTTAATAAGTGGAGGGATTTAAATCTACATCTTAATTCAAAATTTACAATGTTAATTATCACGGTAATTGCACACACAAAAAAAAACTTTACTAGTAAAACATAGTAAAGTTGAACTATTAAAAAGTTATATAGAATCAATATTAAAAAGCCATAATAAAGAACTAGAGGTGTGTCTCAAGTGATAGAGTACTATTTATTTTTGTCAATTATGGGATGTGAACTCAGGGTGTCAGGTGCTGTCCTTGAGCTCTTTTCATCAAGGCTAGTGAGGTACAACTCTGAGCCATGGTGCCACTTCCAGTTTTCTGGTGGGTGAGAGTCTCGAGGACATTACTGCCTGGGCTGACTTTGAATGGTGATCCGCAGATCTCAGCCTCCTGAGTAGCTAAGATTCCAGGAGTCAGCCACCAGCACCAAGACAGAACACTATTTATAAACAAAAAAGGCCAAGTAAGAGCACAAGGCCCTGAGTTCAAGTCCCAATAAGAGGAACAACAATAATAACAACAAAAGCCATAATAAATAACACTCAAGAAAATGAGAACTTCCAAATAAAAGGAGAATGGAAAAAAGGGAAATCAATTTCAATCCTGGACAGTTTAGTCACTAGCAAATTTTAGAAAAAGATTAAAAGTCAAAGAAAAAAAGAACATAAAAGCTGGGAATGGTGGCATTAACAGGCTGAGAAATATAGCACAAGCAGCAGAGTGCTTGCTTAACACACTGTTCGACAAAAGACAATCATATAGAAGATGTACTTAAAAATTAGCATATGATTTCAATAGACCAAATAAAAAGATGTGAACTGGGATTAACTCTACCACTAAATAACTAGTATCAGCTAGGTGCCAGTGGCTCACACCTGTAATCCTACTCAGAAGGCTGAGATCTGAGGATCATAGTTTAAAGCCAGCCTGGACAAGAAAGTCTGCCAGACTCTTATCTCCAATAAGCCACCAGTGGCTTATTGTGGTGAAGTAGTAGAGCGCTAGCCTTGAGCTGAAGAGCTGAGGGACAGTGCCCAGGCCCAGAGTTCAAGCCCCACAACCGACAAAAAACAACAACAACAATTCAATTTCACTGTAGTGGGATATGATTGGAAATGAGGTCATATTTTAATTAAGTGTCCTTTGGGAAGAACTTGAAGTAAGTTTTCTATAATTTTCAACATACCTTCAGCATCTCCATTTCTAAATCTTCATCACTTTCAATTATGTAAGATGAATCATGTTCATTATTGTTGACTGAAGAATGCTTTTTAAAAAAGTATTTCAAACATTAGTTTCAGTATAATTGCTTCTATACTTACATTTCTACAAAATAAAATATAATTAATTTTATAGTCTCTGCCAAAAAATAAAGTTCCTATACACTAAATACCTTTAGACATATTCCTCCTCCCGGCATAAGGCATGTTTATTTGTTCATATAACAGGTACATAGAAAAGTAGAGGAAGAGGAGAACATAAACAACAGAATCAAAGAGGATGAAAAATTTATAGACAAACTAGATAAACAGACTTTATAAAATCTCCACTTAAAATGAAAATACTAAGTGAAAAGTTCATTCATGGTTTGACAATGTCAAGCAAACTGTGTCTCCCAAACTTTTTGAGTATAGCAAGCAACCTTTTCAGAATGTAGAAAACCTCTGTGCAATATCAAAACCAATTTTTCTTTTACACCCACTGATTGGAAAAAAGGGGGGGGGGGTATTACTTGTAATATCAAATGAATCTGTATTTTGCAAAGAATACTTACATACATTTGAAAAAATGTCTGATAGGTTATTTGCTTAGTCTATTGCTGAAATTTGGTTATGAGGACTCTGCAATATCTTGGTAATCACTAAAAAGCAAGTGCCCCACAGAATAGGAATTCACACAATCGATGCTTACAGAAAACAGAGCCCCTAATATGCTTACTATTGAAATAAGAAATGAGAAAAAGCCTTAATTAATATGCAAGATCTAAAACTAAAACAGATTTTTTAAAAGATTTTAACTATAAAAGTCCTCATTTTCAAAAAGTTTTAAATTGAAAGAAAATTATACTAATAAGTATCAGAAAATAACAATGGCAAAAACTGCTGTATGAAATTATGATCATAATGCTGTATTGTATGAATCATGATCACGATGCTGTATAAAAACATATTCTTAAATATATCTAATAAGAATTTTTATTGTTTTGTTTTTGTTTTTGTTTTTTCCGGTCATAGGGCCTGAACTCTGTGCCTGAATACTGTCCCTCAGGTCTTCAGCTCAAGGTTAGCTCTACCACTTGAGCCACAGCGCCACTTTAGCTTTTTCTGCTTATGTGGTGCTGAGGAATTGAACCCAGGGCCTCGTGCATGCAAGGCAAGCATTCTACCGCTGAGTCACCTTCCCAGCCCTAATAAGAATTTTTTAGAAATTGAGTAACAGCAGATAAAGACAGTTTTTTTTATTATCTTTAGTTGCATAAAGGAGGTTACAAAAATATTGTTTCTTAAAAAGGGCACCTAAGTCACACATGGTGGATTGAGAATGCTTTTTATGGAGGTACTGGGGTTTGAACTCAGCCTTAGCAGGCTCCATACCACTTGAATGACATCTGCAACCCTTTTTAGGTTTTTAGTTGTCTGGGGTTTTTAGTATCTTCAAATCAGGTCTCATGTTTTTTACTCAGGCTAGGCTACACTGTGATCTTCCCATTTACACATCCCATACAGTTGGGATGACCAGGCATACACCATCACACTTATTTCTGGTGGTTAAAATTAGGTTTCTTAACTATTTTGCCTGAGTTGGCCTCAAACCCAATCTGCCTCCTGAATGGTTGGAATTATAGATGTGAGATTATTTTAGTACAATTAAGTATATACAGTGAGCTTACAATGAACTTACAAATTCAATAAAAATTATTACTAAAACAGTGTAGAGAATTTCTCCAATACTGAAGGCTTTCTCCTCCAAAAATCTGAGAAGTAAATACCCTTAATGAATGACATCAAAATATAAAAGTTTAATTGTAAAAAGAAATAAAAACCACAAAATTCCAAGAAATATGGGCATCATTTTTTTGTTGGTTTTTTCCTCAATTGCTAGGGATTGAATTCAGGGCACAAACACTGTCCCTGATCTTTTTTGCTCAAAGTTAGCAACCCAACACATTTTAGTCAGGCTCCTGACTAGCTAGGATAACAAATGTGAGCCACTGGCACAGGGCAAAAATAGTCATTTTAAGTAATTAGTATGCTAATAAAAAAGAAATGAAAAATTAAGAAAAAAGAGGTCTTTGTAGATGACAGTAATGACAACTGTTACTTAAAAAAAAACATTTTTGTACAAGCCCTGAGTTCAAGCCCTAGGACTGGCATTGAAAAGAACTGTTTTTAGTTAGACAAATAGACTCAACCTTATAATCCTAGATAACTTGGAGGAACAGATCAAAGCCAGCTTTGATCTTCACAGCCAGACACCACTGGCTCACACATGTAATCCTAATTAGCTGGGAGGCTGAAAATGGAAGAATTGAGGTGAGTGATGAGCTTGAGCAGAAAAATTCACACAGGACCCACAGTGGCTTGTGCCTATCATCCTAAACTACACTGAAACAGTAAGTTTAAGGAGACTGTGATACCAGGCCGGCATGGGCAGTAAAGTCCAAGAGACTTCATCTCCACAAAGGAAAACTGAAGGTGGTGTGGCTCAAACCTGTGAATCCAGAGTCAACTGAAACATGAAAATGGGGATAGGAACTCAGGTACAAACCCAGAAGAAAAATAAGACCCTACCCTAAAAACAACCAGTAAATGAATATAGGGCTAGAGTGCATAGTTCAACAGTATTGGAACCAGCCTGGCTGAGTTCAAAGCAGGTATTCATTAAAAACATTTCATACTAGCAACGAAGACATTCTTTTTGAGGAAATTAAAAATTGCACCAAAAAATCAGGTTTAGAAGAGCAAACATACATAAAGAATCCATAAAAAAGCACTATTATGTAGAAGACATAGAAATAATAAAATAACAAATTATAAAAGTACAATAGTGTCTACTGGCACTATAAAATACTTCCACTAGACAATGCATTTATTGCATTATGTCTGAAGCAGTAAAGCCTGGCTCACAAGCTAGTCAGCCCTCTATCTTTACAGGTAAAATTTGTAGATAAAAAACAGAAAGTACATCTGTTCATATCTGTCCCTGGGTACTTGGACCAATATGATGCAGAAACAGAAGTTGCAATGGACACTGATTATATCACGTACAGCCTAAACTATTTACAATGTGCCCTTTTACAAAACAAAGTCAGCCAACTCCCACTAAAGGAAAAAAAGTGTTTGCACTTTATTCAGTACCTCAGTGCATTGGTGGGAAAAATCACTGAGAGTTGGTTTCTCATTCAGCTGTTCCAATATTTGAAGTTCATACTCTGTAATATCTAATGACATTTGGCATGTTCTTTCCATGTTTTCTTTCAACTTATTATTTTCGAATTCATCTTCCAACTCTTCTTCTTGTTTCACTTTTACAAGTACATCATGTCCACCATGTTTAACTAGATTATCCAGTGATGTATCCCATGTCTCATCCTTATCTTCAGTAAGAATTTTTTCTGTAGTTTCTTTCTGCTGTTCTCTACCAACAGTTGAATCCTCCAACGATACATTAAAATGACTACTGGGCCTCACTTCGGTGGTGATTTTTGTAGGACCAAACAGAATCTTCCTCAGTGAAAACAGACTTTCTGAAATATTCTTCAATAAAATAGAAACCCTTAAAAAAAATAAGAAAGATTATTCAACTTCAATTGAATTAACTCAGGACAAGTTTTAAAGCTTTCTCCTGTATAAAATTTTACAAACTGAATTCTACTTAAAGAATCACAGATTCATCATTCCCTAATGCCTATCTATGATTGAACCTGATAGACTAGGCTACTAAAACAGCTATGTACTTCTACATTCAACAGCTGATTAATTTGCTCACTAAGAGTTGGCAGTATTTGGTTCCAAAATTATTTATTCCAGCTATACCTTTTTAATGGTAATTAATCTAATTCAATGGGAATTAAGTCAATGATTCACAAAAAGGAAAGAACTCAGTAAATTCTGAGTTGAACATAAGAAGAAAGCCTAACAAATTTCTTTTTAAAATGTTTAGTTAGGGGCTGGGAAGGTGGTTCAGTGGTAGAGTGCTTGCCTTGCATGCCAGAGGCCCTGGGTTTGATTCCTCAGCACCACATGAGCAAAAAGAAAAAAGCCAGAAGTGGCATTGTGGCTCAAGTGGTAGAGCGCTAGCCTTGAGCTGAAGAGCTGAGGGACAGTGGCCAGGCCCAGAGTTCAGGCACCATGACCGGACCCAAAAAAACAAACAAAAAAAGATAAAAAGTGAAAAAAATAATAATAATAAATAAAAAAATTAAAATAAAGTTCTGTTAACAGGATGGGAAGGGGCTCAGTGGTAGAGTGCTTGCCTTGCATGCATGAGGCCCTGGGTCCAATTCCTCAGCACCACATAAGCAGAAAAAGCCAGAAGTGGTGCTGTGGCTCAAGTGGTACAGCACTAACCTTGAGCTGAAGAGCTGAGGGACAGTGCGCCCAGGCCCAGAGTTCAGGCCTGATGACCAATAAATAAATAAATAAATAAAGTTGTTAGCTACATTCAAAATAAATATGAAGCCAGGCACTGGTGGCTCACACCTGTAATCCTAGCTACTCAGGAGGTTGAGATCTGAGGATCACAGTTCAAAGCCAGCCAGGGTAGGAAAGCCTGTGAGATTCTTATCTCCAATAAACCATCAGAAAACCCGAAGTGGTGCTGTGGCTCTAGTGGTAGAATGCTAGCCTTGAGCTGAAGAGTTGAGGGACAGTGCCCAGGCCCAGAGTTTAGGCCCCACAACCCACAAATAAATAAATAAATAAACAAATAAATGTGAAAGTCTAGAAGAAAAGTAAAGATTTCAAGGAATCTAAACTGACATTTCTTGAACATTTTAAATTTCCATTCCATCTCAAAGAAAATGCAATTTGAAATTGTAGGTGACACATTTTGATTATTTTATCTCATGGTTTGATTCAAGTTTTGTTTTTTTTTTTTTCGTTATGGGGCTTGAACTCTGGGTCTGGCACTGTCCCTTAGCTCTTCAGCTCAAGGCTAGCTCTCTACCACTTGAGCCACAGCGCCACTTCCAGCTTTTTCTGTTTACTTGGTGCTGAGGAATCAAACCCAGGGCCTCATATGCATGAGGCAAGCACTCTATCACTGAGCCACCTTCCCAGCCCTGATCCAACTTTTCAACTCACTGATCAATTGAAAATTTAACACATAAGAGTCCTAATGCTATACTACCCCGGTTATTAGGAAATGCAAAGACCTGGAAAAAATCATATTAAGTGATATAGGTCCCATGGTTGCAATAATTATAGTATACATTTAGAATAATTTTATCAGATAAGCAGAAAAGCTCAAAAGCTATGTACATGACCATATAAGATAATACTAAGCAAAATGAACCCCAAGATACAGACACAAGAGGTCTTTCTCTATTGTTATTCTTTTTAATGTACTATGTGATTTTTTTTGTTCTTTTGCATGTTCTTCTGCAATTGGCATATCCCCCTTTGATTTTGGTACCCTGAATCTTGTATATACATTTCTCTAATTTGGAGAGGGAAAGAGGAATAACAAAAAGCTGAAACAAGGACACAGGATGACCCACTGCAACGATACCCATAAGACTCTATACTGGAAATAACTTTACAACTTTGGGGGGGAGGGTGTAAGGTAGGCGGGGAGGGAAGGGATAATGGAAGAACAACAAAGGAGAGGTAACAATGCTCTACAAGAAATGTACTCATTACCTTACACTGTAACTGTAACCCCTCTGTACAGCATCTTTACAATAAAATAAAATTTTTAAAGAAGAGTACTAATGCTATTTTTAATACTATTTTGCATCTTCAAGATCTCAAAATCTGAACTCACATTTTTTTTTTTTTTAGGGGTTGGTGTTTGTTTATTTTGATTTCTTGCCTTTAAATATGGCCTGGACTGCAATGCTTGGTAAGAAATGTATGCATTATCCTGCCCATGTAATTGTAACCCCTCTGTACAGGATGCTCTCAAATAAAATAAAATAAAATTTAAAAAATAAATAAATAAATAAATATGGCCTGGAAAGCGAGGCTGATGCATCTTGCTTTTGTTCCCATCTCTCACAAAAGTGTACTCAGTGCTTGTCATTTACTAGAGGCTCTCCTAGGCAGGGAGACATCCCAGGGAGCCAGAAAAGGTAGCGCTTCCTAGCTGCGTGACTGCAAAAGCCGCTGGTTCTGAATATGCTCTTGGCCCTCGCCCCACCCATCTTCTGTATGGGACTCCTCCACAAACCTCGGCTCCCTTTTTTTTTTTTTTTTTTTTTTATTGTAAAGCTACTATACAGAGGGTTACAGTTACATGAGTGAGGTAATGAGTACACTTCCTCTTGAACATTGTTACCCCCTCCATTGTTTTCCTCCTACCATCCACTCCCTCCCTCCCTTCCCCGAGGTTCTTTTTTTTTTTTTTGATTGTGATTAAATGATTACATAATTTCAAAGTCACAAGTTCATTCTAACTTCCCTGGAGCAAATTATCTACCACAGTCTGTAATATATAACAGTGTTCACATGTTATATACCATATTTGTGATCAGCAGCATGGGGATATTTAGTAGTGGTTCAACCAGATGAGCGGGAGTTCTTTGTTTCTTAAGTCCTGTTAGTTTTGTCGTATCACCTAACCTTTTGGATTTAGCATCCACTTATCAGGGAGACCATGTACCGTTTGTCTCTTCATTCTTGGCTTACCTCGCTCAACATGATTCCTTCTAGCTCCATCCATTTCCCTGCAAATGCCATTATTTTGTCATTTCTAATGGCTGCATAATATTCCATTGTGTATAGATACCACAATTTTTGGATCCATTCACCTGTGGTGGGGCACCTAGGTTGTTTCCATATCCTAGCTATTGCGAACAGTGCTACAATAAACATGGAGGTGCACGTGTCCTTGTATATTGGTTCCTGTTGTTCAGGGTAGATGCCTAGAAGTGGTATGACTGGGTCGTAAGGGAGGTCAATCTTTAGCTTTCTAAGGACCCTCCAGACTGCTTTCCAAAGTGGTTGTATAAGTGTACATTCCCACCAGCAGTGTAATAGGGTTCCTCTTTCTCCACATCCCCTCCAGCATTTGTTGTTGGCTGATTTGTGGATGTGGGACATTCTGACTGGGGTAAGGTGGTATCTCAGGGTTGTCTTTATTTGCATTTCCTTCACCACCAGGGATGATGAACATTTCCTCATGTGTTTCTTTGCCATTTTTATTTCTTCATTTGAGAAGTCCCTCTTTAGTTCCCTTGCCCATTTAGTAATTGGTTTGTTAGGTTTGGGAGGGATTAGTTTCTTGAGTTCCCTGTATATACAGGATGTTAACCCCTTGTCTGATATATTGCTGGTAAATATTTTTTCCCAATTAGTTGGTTGTCTTTCTAGCTTAGTTGCGATAGATTTAGCTGTGCAGAAACTTTTTATTGTAAGGTAGTCCCATTTGTCGAGTCTCTCTCCAACTTGTTGTTACCCTGGGACTCTGTTCAGGAAGTTCCTTCCTGTGCCTATTAGTTCAAGTGTCTCTCCTACTCTATCCTGCAGTAGTTTCAGAGATTCAGGTTTAATGTTAAGGTCTTTAATCCATTTTGAGTTGATGTTGGTGCATGGTGATAGGCTGGGGTCCACTTTTAGTTTTCTGCATGTGGCTGCCCAGTTTTCCCAGCACCAGCGGTTGAAGAGGCTGTGTTTCTTCCATTGTATGTCTTTGGCTCCTTTGTCGAATATCAGCTGGCTGTAGGCCTGTGGATTTATATCTGGATCTTCTATTCTGTTCCATTGGTCTTCGGGTCTGTTTTTGTGCCAGTACCATGCTGTCTTTGTGATTATAGCTCTGTAGTAGAGTTTGAAGTTCGGCATGGATAGCCCTTCCATATTGTCTTTATCCCCTAGAATTGTTTTGGCTATTCTAGGTCTTTTGTTGTTCCATATAAATTTTTGGACTGTTTTCTGTATTTCAGTGATGTACGTCATTGGGATTTTAATAGGAATTGCATTGAATTTGTATATTAGTTTTGGAAGTATCACCATCTTTACTATATTAAGTCGGCCTATCCAGGAGCATGGGAGGTCTTTCCATTTCCTAGTGTCTTTCTTTCTTTAACTTTTTATAGTTCTCATTAAATAGTTCTTTTACATCTTTGGTTAGGTTAATTCCTAAATATTTTATTTTTTGGGAGGTTATTGTGAATGGGGTTGCTCCCTTTATTTCCCTCTCTTCCTGTGCGTTATCAGTGTATAGGAAGGCAACTGATTTTTGTGGGTTTATTTTGTATCCTGCTATTTTGCCGAAGTGACTTATGATTTCTAAAAGTTTGGGGATGGAGTTTTTGGGATCGTGGAGGTATAGTATCATGTCATCTGCAAAAAGGGATAGTTTCACTTCTTCTTTCCCTATGCGGATCCCTTTAATGTCTTTTTCTTGCCTTATTGCCCTGGCTAAGGGTTCTAGGACTATGTTGAAGAGGAGTGGAGACAGTGGACATCCTTGCCTTGTTCCTGTTTTTAGGAGGATTGGTTGTAGCTTTTCCCCATTAAGTATAATATTGGCTATTGGTCTGTCATAAATGGCTTTTATTGTTTTTAGAAATGTTCCTTCTATTCCTATTTTCTCCAGAGCTTTTAGCATGAATGAATGTTGAATTTTATCAAAGGCCTTTTCTGCATCTGTGGCGATAATCATGTGATTCTTGACCTTTGCTCTGTTGATATGCTGGATTACATTTATTGACTTACGTATGTTAAACCATCCCTGTGTCTCTGGGATGAAGCCTACCTGATCATAGTGTATTATTTTTTTAATGTGTTTCTGGATTCTGTTAGCTAGAATCTTGTTAAGGATCTTTGCATCTGTGTTCATCAAGGAGATTGGCCTGTAATTCTCCTTTTTGGTTGGGTCTTTGCCTGGTTTGGGGATGAGTGTGATATTGGCTTCGTAGAATGAGTTTGGGATAGCTCCCTCCTTCTCTGTTTCTCTGAAGAGCTTGAGGAGTATGGGTATTAGTTCTTCTTTAAAGGTCTTATAGAATTCTGCTGTGAATCCATCTGGTCCTGGGCTTTTTTTTGTTGGAAGACTTTTGATAGCTTCCTGTGAACTCACATTTTTTGAAACAAAAAAGAAAGCTTCCTATTTATTAGATAAATATGAGTAAAAAACATGGATAAGATTTATAAACACAGATCTGAACTAAATTTAACACAATGGTAGTTGCTAATGTATATAACAATTTTCACTAAGAAACCTTAAATGGATATATTAACACCAAAACTTATTAATTGAAATGGAAAACCATTGTTTGGATAAAATGAGGCACATCATCTGTTTATTACTTGGTATTTCACTAAATCAGTTTTTTAGGTACTTCCTAAAAGCAGAAATACATGATAATACAGGAATTACACAATAACAAAAGTATCTGGAGCAGAGAAACATGTTTTACTATATAATTACTGTTTTTCCTTAGGTCTTCTAATTTTTCAGTGTTTAAAATCAATACTTTATAAAAGTTTTGTATTAACAATTCAATATAACTTCTTTCAAAGAATAAAGTATAAAGTGCTGAGCTTCTTCAGCACTAACTTTTGCACCAAATAGCACCCAAAGTTGAGCTCAAGCTTAAGTTAGCAAAGTCTGTATTAACCATTAGCACAAAATCAAGAAGAAAATTAAATTCCCCAACTAAAACCACACAATTTTAGTATCCTAAAGCTTTATAGATCTTTTACCTTTGATATAAATGTCTCATTATGTCGTCCAAAATAGCTTCAGATTTGTAATCCTTCTAATCTCATCTTTCCACATCTAGTGTGCTAGTACTATAAATCTTACAAAAAAATATTTATACAAAACACTTCATATGTAAGAACTGTATGTAAATAATGTGATACCTTTTAATTGCTAAATAACCAGAGAATGCTTTAACAGATAAACATCAGAGTAGCATATGTTTAATTTAAGATCACTGTTTAACAAATGCTAAAGGCTGTCCTGTCTTCTAAGACATTATGTACTTTTCTTTTCTTATTAGGGTAGTTATAATACATATATATTGCATCAACAGTCGACAGAATGTCAAGTACATGAAAACAATAAAATAAAAAATCAGATCAATGATGAATACTAAGTAATAGCAATACTTTGTGTTCACTGAGGAATAAAATGTTTCCTTCTAAAAAAGAAAACAAAAAAGTCCTTTGTACTAGCTTTTATAGTTTTATCCATTCCGTAAACAGGATATTATATCTTCCAGCTGTAATCAGGTGCATAATCATGTCATTTTTATTCATACCACAAGCTTATCAAACTATAAGGAAAAGTTACTTTGAATGTCTCTTTATGCAAAATGGAAATATGGAAAGTGAGCATAAAAAATAATGCATGCTTACTTTAGGTAATTGGATACTTGTGGTCATTTTTGTTCCCTCCTACTTCTGAGTTATAATCTAAATAAATCAGGTTTTACTGTATGTACACCAGTACAAAATACAGAAAGTAAGAGCTAGGCACTGGTGGCCTCTAATTCTAGCACCTGAGGAGATTGAGATCTTAGGATTGGTATTTAAAGTCACCCCAGAGACCATTATGTCCAATTAAGCAGCCAAAAGCCAAAAGTAGAAGTGTGCCTCAAGTGGTGGAGTACCAGTTGTGACAAGGGAAGTAAAGCAAAAATAAGAGGTCCTGAGTTCAAGCGCTCAGAACAATGGCATGTGTATGTTACACGTACATACACATGTACACACACACAACTTTGGCTTCTTGTCATTATTTCCCATTCCTAAGTTTTAAGAAAACACTTAGTTGATATTATAAACCAAACTATAAAATAGTTAATTGACACGAAGTAAGTATATTTACAAAATGTGGAAATATATGTGAAATCATGTAAAATCAAGTGAGAAGTGAGTTTACTGTACCTTCCATAATTTAAAGTCAACATCTTTTAGACATTATTAAACATTAAACTGCTAGGGAGAAAATTTCTAAAAAAGCTGAATTTCTACTCCACATTCTTTTTTCTTTTTCTATGGTACTAAGGATTAACCTCAAGGCCTCAACACTTGCTCCATCATTCAAGCTCTCTATCACATTTTTTCTATACCACAATGAAAAAAATACACTTGAACTCAAGGCTTCAAGTTCTTGTGTAGCTTTTCACTCAAGGCTAGAACTTCACCACTTGAGCCATACGACTATTTCCAGCCTTTTGCTGTATCAGATATATTGGCTTCAGATCTCAAGTCTCCTGAATAGCTAGCCACCAGTGCCTGGCCACATAGTTAAGTTTATCCTTCAAAACCTATCACAAATCTTATCCAAAAAAGAAAGATTAATACTGTACTTTCTCAGAGTCAAAATTCCAATTAACTGCCTCACATTTCTACAAAATTATATAACTACTTGCAGTTCTGCAATAATATTTTAAGAGATTTTAACAAAGGAGTCATTCAGGAATAAATCATAGCAAGGTCTAGTTCCAAAGTAAGTAAACTACATACACAGCACCTTTGGTTGAAGGTCTACATATTTATATAGAATATTTGATCAAAACATCCCAGTGCTGTCGCTAGAAAAGTCTTAAGTGTGTTATCTAGTGCTTTTGGTTTTTAAAAGTCTTTAGGTATGAGTACCATTTGTTCTATTGTAGTAGATGGGTTATTAATCAGCTAAGAGTCTTACGATAGCAAAAAAAAAAAAAAAAAAAATACTAAACATGAAGACTGTCTTCATTTGTAAATTGTAACTGATCAAAATACAAATGTAAGTAAATGAAATACACCATAAACAAAAAACAACTCTACTTCTTATTTTCTTTATTGTGCATGTGTGCCAATCCTGGGGCTTGATCTCAAAGCCTAGGTGCTATCTCTAAGCTCTTTGTACTCAAAGATAGTACTCTACACCTAAGCCATAGCTCCACTTCTGGCTTGTTTGGTGGTTAAATAAGGGTCTCAGGGACTATCCTGCCTTCAATGGCTTTGAATGAAAATTCTCAGATCTCAGCCTCCTGAGTAGCTAGGATTACAGGCATGAGCCATCAGGGCCCAGCCGAAAATATTTTCATAAATGTACACTATTTTGCTTTGATAAAAATTACAACATGTGTTTTCAAAATATCACTTGTGTACCCTATGAAATTAAGAAAATTGAGGGGGAGGGATTGGGTTGGAGGGATCAGGGAGAATGATCAAAGGGGTGATATCAATCAAGATGAACTGTATTCATGAACTAATTTGTTGAATGCTAACTGCTTTGTACAACTACTTAAAAGACAATAGGATATAATTTAAAATATACATATATGGCTAGGAAGGTGGATCAGTGTTAGAGCGCTTGTCTTGCATGCATAAGGCCCTCAGTTCGATTCCTCAGCACTATATAAACAGAAAAAAACAAGAAGTGGCACTGTAGCTCAAGTGGTAGAGCACTAGCCTTGAGCTGAAGAGCTGAGGGACAGTGCCCAGGCCCAGAGTTCAAGCCCCACGACCCGAAAAAATAAATAAAATAAAATATACATATATATATAATTTAACTGGACATGGTAACCTACATTTATAACCATAGAAACCTGGCCAAAAGCACAATACTCCACCTGGAAAACAAATTAAAAGCAACGAACTAGGGCATGGCTCAAAGGGTAAGCCAAGGCCCCAATTCAATCCCTAGCACCATCCCACCAAAACAAAACAACAACAACAAAAAAAGTACAAAATAGAGCAAAAAACAATAAGACTTAGAATTTGGATATGAAATTTTATGAGAGGTATTTGAAATATCATATGAAATATGAGAGGTATTTCTCAAGCTTATTCACCTGTTGTGTGTATAATTATTAAAGCAAGTTTATAAGAGTCTACACTGAGGAACGTCAACTCTTCATATACAAGAATGAGAATAATAGAATTATTTAACAAAAAGAAAAAGAAAAAAAACATAATATTTAACCTCTCTGGATTTTCTAATTTTCTGCAAGTGTCAGGAAAATGATTAGCCAGATCCATCACTTCTTCAGAGATTGAAGTCAACTGTTTCTTCATTTCAAGAGGTAGAATTTTCTCCTCTGGAGGGGAGTGGGAAAATCAGTATTAATTTTCAATTTACAAAAGAGATTTTTTTTTTCAGCCATCTCACTGAACACTATTATAGCTCAGGTTTTCATTTTCTTTCCTTAAATGAATTGTTTAAGTCTTCTTTATTTAATTCCCCATCACATCAACCACTTTTTCTTCTTAAATTTTATTTAAAAAATCCTAAATGGGTCTACATTCATATATACTAAAACCTAGTTGTAATTGATCAAGGCAATGCAGAAATGAAAATCTAACCCCTTTTACCCCCTACTACCTGATGAGCCAATACAAATAAAAGCTGTTATTTAAACTGTTTTGGTAAATACAACCTTACCAAAGTTACTCCTCATTGCCCTCACAAAATGAAAAACAAAATGTAAGTCTTCCTAATAAGGCTATATTCTAAATTCTCAATTTTATTTCAACTGACACGTTATATCAACAGCACAAAAATCTGCTTTCCTTCCCCAAACCTTTAAATTTCTTCATCATTTTTCTTGTTCAAAATGACCAGCTCCAATGACGCATGTAACCCAAGATCATATAGTGTTTTCTTCTTCCTGTTTCCTAGTTATCTCAAAATTATCTAAACATACTGATGACTTTAGAGCCCAGTTTATTATCTACCCCTCCATTGCAATTCCAGTTTTTCTCCCTAGTAATTTCAAAATGCTAAAACCAACTGTGCCCTCTGTGTTTCTTGTCCTCTCCCATTTCAAACCATCTTTTCCTCACCTAAGTCATTCATTCCCCATAATCATACTACTAACATTGTAAGTGTTAAAACCATTTCGAAATTTTAACTGTAAGGATTCTATACCCTAACTTTAAATAACAAAAATCTCAAATGACTCCTTAGAACTATTAATTTTATAGATCATACTTACCCATAATACAACCTTGTCATACCTTTAGTTTTCTGTTTGAGCCTCTAAAAACTGTGAAACAAGAGCTTCACTGCTAATTCACTCAGAAGATATTATAAAAAGAACTAACTCATCTCCCTATCTTCCAATCTGCTAAACTGTATTTCCATCTGCAATTACAGTAAAATTAGAGAGTTGCCCATACATACTGCCTTGATTTCCTTCTAAACCAACTATGGTTATCACCTGTCATCAGGGCACAGCAGGTTCTCAGCATTATCAGAAAAGAAAAACAAAAGAATTCACAGGTACACAGAAGTGTTTTAACAAATCAAGGTTTATTGAAGCAAAAAACAAAGTACACTCTCAAGACAGTATGAATAAAGACCACCAGATAAAGATGCCAAGCATATCTAGCTCTCAGAATGGGGAAAACAGAAATGTTATTTTATGTACATAATTATTTCTTCCTAAGAACCAGGAGGGCTTTCCAGAATTTGGAAGAATGGGAGTAGTTTTACCTAACAATGTCCTCAGGACAAGGCTGGTAATTTGGAGGGAAATACATGTATCAAACTGCAACTTCAATGAAATGGAGATAAGGCATCTAGGTAATCTTTATTCTCTAAGACTGGGAGAAATATCAGCTGGAGACCCTTAACTGCAATTTAAAAAAAAAAAAAGGTGGGCCAGCCAACAACTGCATGTCAATCAAGATGTCTGGAAAAATGTACCTAGAAATTTTACAGCACTGATCTATGCCAAATCCTCAAAGAAACAACTACCCAATAAATAAGTGGGCTAAAGACTTAAGAGAGAAACTTCTCTGAAGAGGAAAGAAGTATGGCCAATAGACACATGAAGAAAATGCTCACCTCCCTAGCCATAAAAGAAATGCAAATCAAAACAACATTGAGATGCCACCTTACCCCTGTTAGAATGGCTATAATCAAGAACTCTAATAACAACAGATGCTGGAGGGGGATGTGGCCAGAAGGGAACCCTACTGCATTGTTGGTGGGAGTGTAAACTTGTTCAACCACTTTGGAAAGTAGTATGGAGATTCCTCAGAAGACTCCACATAGAGCTTCCCTATGACCCAGCAATCCCATTTTGAACATTTACCCAAATGATCACAAACAAGATCATACTAAGGCTACCAGCACACCTATGTTTATTGCAGCATTATTTACCATAGCTAAGATATGGAACCAACCCAGATGTCCCTCAGTAGATGAATGGATCAAGAAAATGTGGTATATATACACAATAGAATTCTATGCCTACATCAGAAAGAATGACATTGCCCCATTTGTTAGGAAATGGAAAGACTTGGAAAAAATTATATTAAATGAAGTAAGCCAGGTCCAAAGAAACATAGGCCCCATGGTTTCCCTTATTTGCAATTACTAGTTTATGTCTGAGACAAGCAGAAACTGTCAGATAAGTTGATGTTAGGTGAAATGAACCCCAAGATAATGATTCAAATGTTTTTTTCTTTCTTGCAATTGTTTCTAACACTTTCATAGGATGATTTCTTGTTGCTTTATATGTCCCTCCCCCATGATATAACCCCTGTTTTCACTGTATTTGATGTTGGTACACTTTGTAGAGGGGAAGGGAAAAAACAAATTGTTTAAATAGGGATACAGGTGGACCCATTGCAACAATGAGATGTACAAGATATTATGTCAAAAAACGAACTTTTCAACTTTGCTGGGGGGAGGGAGGGGATTGGAAGGGATTGGCAGGAATGGGAAGGGATGGGAAGGGGAAACAAAGGAGGAGGCAACAATGCTTTATAAGAAATGTACTCATTATCTTGCCCATGTAATTGTAACCCCTCTGTAGAGTATTTTCACAATAAAAAATAAAAAATGGATTAAGATGTTTCTTTTAAGGGAGTGTGAAGAAAGATGCTTTTAGTGTTTGAGAATGCATCCCAGAAGGGAGTCAGAATTGATTTGGAACCTCCTATGGTCTGTAAAAGACAGAAAGAAAAAAAAGGAAGATAATAGAGCATTTACTGATTCCTCGTGGATGAAACTTCGAAGGCAATGGAAGAAGTGTCATGAGGCCCTCTTTCTGCCTTACCTTTGTTTTAGTAGGAGAAAAAAACCCCAGAGATGGATGCTCTAGCATCCCAGAGGCTATACCCAAACCTGGCAATGGCTAAGCTGCAAAAGTTTCTCAAGTCTTCCAGAGCCAATTATTAACCTAGAAAGCACAGGGTAGAATTTAGCATGCTTCCTGACCCATAATCTCATATGGCCCCACAATCCTCACTGGAAGCTCACCTGTGACACCTGAAAACAAGTAGCATCACTAGAGAAAGAATCTGACCATTAACAGCTCCGCTTCTGGTATCTTAGTAGGCTTGGATCTTTCAGAATTTTAGTTAATCCAACTCCCACATTTTTGTACATGATAGCAAGAGATCAAGTGATACAGATAATTCCCTAAGAGTATGTTACTATGTCCTGATTTTTCTAACAGCAAACAAAATGATTGGGACATGCATAAATCAACTACTGTCCTGCAGTGAAATATCTGACCACTCCACAGCAAAAATAAGGTTTCCTCTATCATCATGGAAAAGAGTAGCAAAATAGTTAAGATACAGTACGACAAGACAGGGTAAAAAAAACTTTAAGAACTAAGAAACAATTAGAACTGACAAAATCTTAACAGGTATAAGCTCAAAGGATTAGATGTTGATGACATTTAATGCCCTTACACTGTTGCATGGAGATTTACAAGGAGGGCTAACTCTGTGCTCCATTTATCCTGTCATAATGTCTTTAAGCAGTGAACATCCTGGTGATATTTGTTTGACCTGTGTGCCTGCAGTGTGCATCACTTTGATTTCAATCTCAGAAGAAAATGATTGGGCAGAGGGAAAGAGTAGCAGGAAATTGGAAATTGGCCTACCAGGTCCTTGGGGGAGGCAATCACCTTGGTAGAATCTGGCAACTCCTCAAGTGGTTCTTGCCACTGTTGACAAAAGATGTCACCAGATCTGAGCAATCCAACAATCTGTGATCCAGAAGATTCTTGGCCTTGCCAAAGAAAGAATTCAGGGGCAGATGTACAGGAGTATTTTTTTAAAAGCAAGATTTATTGAAGGAAAAGTGAGAATACATTGTCAAGATAGGATGTGAGCCAACAACCTAACCAAGCAGTCAAGTGTCTCTAGCTCACCAGTCTTATTTTTATGTAGGGAGAAATTAGATATGTCAATTTTTTTTTATACATATGAGGTCTTCTTTATGAGGTCTTCCTAAGAAAAAAGACAGCTGGTTCCTGCCATAAACTAGAGGACAGGGAGTGGCTTTATATAATAAGGTAGAGGAAAAACATGCATTAAAATACAAGTATAATGAGATGTAGATGGAAACACATGTAGATGAAACCTTTAGCTTTGGGACAAAGAACCAACTAAAGATCATTAAGTGTTGCTCCAAACAGCAGCCTCTGAACTTTTTGGGAAGCAATTATGTTTGGTAAAATGTACCCAGATGTAGAACTGCACCTATTCCTTGGCTTCTTTTATTATTTCCTTTCTGCTTGCCTACCCCATCTACTCTCCACAAATATAACAGCAAAGCTGTCTTTTAGAAAGGTACTACTGTCCTCCACATTACCAAACATAGATCAACATCTCAAATACTCAGAGATTTACAATTTCTGAGATTGTCCTCTACTTCATTTTTTTCTTCTACCGTGTTTTATTCTTTGGGTTTGCAGTTTTGTTTTGTTTTATGTGGCAATACTGGGTTTGAATTCAGGGCCGTATCCACTAGACCTACACCAACAGCTCTTTTGCTTTTAGTTGTTTTTCAGATAAAAACTCTTGATTTTCCCCTGGGGAGCCTCAAATGGAAATCTTACAACCTACATCTCCCCATGTAGTTGGGTCATCATACCTAGCTTGTCTGTTGAGATAGTGTCTTGCTTTTTTTTTTTTGGTCAGTTGTGGGGGCTTGAACTCAGGGCCTGGGGACTGTCACTGAACTCTTTTTACTCAAGGCTAACACTCTACCACTTTCAGCCACAGCACCAGTTCCAGTTTTCTGGAGGTTAATTAGATATGAGTCACACAGACCTTCCTGCCTAGGCAGATATGGAACTGCAATCCTCAGATCTCAGCCTCCTGAGTAGCTAGTATTACAGGTGTGAGCCACCAGCACCTGGCCCTATCAGAATCCTTACCATTTCCACTCTACAAGCAGCTGGGATTATAGGCATTTGCCACAATGTCCGAACCTTCACCTGGCTTCTATGTGTACTGCATTTCTGACTTTCTTCCTTCACTAGCGCCCCCATGTCGGAGGCACTGACTTGCATGACCCTATCTGAGGTCTTGCATGCATGAGGGTGCAATATGCTTGTATGCATTCCCTCTGGAAAGGGGAGGGGGGAACTCCTTCCAAGTTAGGGCAAAAGTCCAATGCCCAGCTACAAGTCTCAGATGAAGGTTTTGAGGGAAGTGCCATCCGGGCTCTTCCAATTAATCCCATAGAACAATGTCTTGAAACTCCCTTTGTGTGTCTAAGGAAGGCCACCAGCACTACGCTTATTCTTTGCAACCTTGATCACTGGAGCTACTTCATATTTGTTGACAAGGATTATTAACTCTTCCTGCTTATTAAAAATTAACTCTCACTATCTGTATTCCCATAAAACTGTTTAACTTTCTGTCCCCAGAATGAAGATTTACTTTTTATGCCTGTAGGCTGTATATAAACATGTGATATTTCAAAATAAACTTTGTCCGTAGCACATGGTATAGTCCACTTTCTGCTTACCAGATACTGTGTTTTCAGGTCTTGCTGTGTGAACAGCAATATCTCCACTTAGTCTTCTTTGCTGCTCTCTAACCTCCTAACCTCTAAATCTTAGTGTGCCCTTGATGTCATACTTCTTTATTTCATTCGCTGCCAATTTCATTTCATGTAGCTTCAATGTTTAAAATATTATCTGTATACAATATGATTCCCAAAGTTAGATTTCCAACTTCCACATGTCCTTTTAATTCCAGAATTACCTTTAAACTAAGACACATTCTTAGCTAACAGAAAACATTTTAAATCTGGCATGACCAACACTTAAACCTATATTTTCAGGGGCTGGGAAGGTGGCTCAGTGGTAGAGAGCTTGCCTTGCATGCCTGAGGCCCTGGGTTCGATTCCTCAGCGCCACATAAGCAAAAAGAAAAAAGCCGGAAGTGGCGCTGTGGCTCAAGTGGTAGAGTGCTAGCCCTGAGCTGAAGAGCTGAGGGACAGCGTCCAGGCCCAGAGTTCAGGCCCCACGACCGGACCCAAAAAAACAAACAAACAAACAAACCTATATTTTCTTTACCAGACCTTGATATATCTTATAGTCATCAACTATCTCTGATTTTCAGTTCAGCAGCTAATTTAATCACAGTATCTTATTCTATCAGTGTATATTTCTCTTTAACAGTGAATTCATCTGCAAATCTTTCACAAGTAGATAAATTCCTGAACCACCTCTTCCAACAAACCTAATCCAAACAATTATCATCTCTTGCCTAAACAATCTGCTAATTCCTGCCAAACCCTTTCTATCTTCCAACAGCCAGAAAAATCCTCATATAAAATTTTAATCATATTGTTCTTCTACTCCACACGCTCTAAGGACTTCCCATCACCCATCATCATATTTATTTTCATTAATAAAATATGAACATTAAGACTGTTCACAATATTGAAGTACATATATGAAAATGGAAACAGGTAACTAGAGAGGATAGGTGGGAAGAGAAGCAGAAGGACAGAAAGTGTAACATAAAGATCCACTGTACTCATAAACTGACATGTTGAATTGAAATTTTTGTACAACTAAAGGTAACTGTTTAAAGTTTTTAAATACAATACAAAGTCAGTTTCATGGTATACAATGCCATAAGCGATGCAACCCAAGTTGTTTTTTTTCCTAAGCTTTGCTTTCCACCAATCCTACCCCTGTTCCTTCCTTGTCCATTACACTCACAGTCCCTTAAGCAAAGCAAGCAATCTCCAAGCCATCTCCTAAGAGGCCTTCCTCTAAACCCTTCAGATATTCATACAGCTTGCTCATAGTTATTTAAATGAAGTAAAACTGCTAGGGCTGTTTTGTTCAGCAAATTTTCTTCAGCATGCTGTAACAAGTTCTGAGACATAATACTAAACAAATAGGTATTAAATGGGTTAAAGAATATTCCCTCTCCAAGACAAGCTTAAAAAAAAGGTTTATAAACTCTTAAGATAACATCCCTTAAAAGCCAACTTCTCTTTATTATTTTTAAACTTAATCTGATTTCTACCCACATCATTCTGCTATTCTACTCTTGCTATAGCTATAATGTCTTCATGTCACCAAAGGTCCTGGACCTTTTTTGTTTTAATAGCACATTCCTGAGAACCCCACTCTCCCTTTGAAACATTTGTTTTGTCACTAGTACACTAAAGCTACTATAGTAAAAGATTACAAATGAGGTAATACCCTCCTCCTACTTCATACATGCTCTTTATTAACGTTGTATATGCTACACTTCCTAGTTTCCTTCTAGGTCTATGACAACTCCTTTGGTAAAGCCCCTCCTCCAAACGAACATAAGACACTAAATTACTCAGGATTCTTTTGTCCTAATTCTTTCTCTCATAAACTCCTCTTAGACACAGCTTATATACTTAAGTGCCTAGAGGCACCTCACTTGCTATCTTAGAAATTTCTCTCCTTAACCATACCAAAGCTTGGCTGTATGTGCCCTACTACTCAAACACTTGTTCTTTCTCATCAGTGCTTTTCATTCTGTTGGGAACAATACAGGAATTATCTTGATGCATTGTTACCTCAAATTCTGTTAGCTGTACAATGGTACTAAGTGGGTTCTTTTGCTTTCTGTTTTGTTTGCCTATCCTGGTGCTTGAACTCAGGGTCTAGGCACTGTCCCTGGGCTTCTTCAGCTCAAGGCTAGCACTCTTACCACTTGAGCCACAACATTACTTCCAGCCTTTCCTATTTATGTGATACTGAAGAATGGAACCCAGGGCTTCATGCATGCTAGGCAAGCACCACTAAGCAACACTCCCAGCCAGTATTAAGTGTATTTTGAAGCTATTCACGTCTCTCCATGTTCAATAAAATAACTGATTCAAGTTACCATAACATCTCAGTTGGTTGACTGTCAAAGGCTCCCAAAAAATCTTCCCACAGTGATTCTTGACCTCCTACAAACCATTTTCTACACTATAGCTTAAAGACTCTGTTTGGCTTTATTTTTAAATAGAATAGATTTCATGCTCGTGATTAATACCTACAACAGCTTCACTTGTTAGGAGGAAAAGTAAACTCCTGAAGGCAGACAACATCACTCACTCCATCGTACGCAATGGCTCACTGTACAGGTCAACTTTCAATTGCCTATGGATAAATACCATGATTTCTCTTACCTCTGAAACTGCACCTACTGTTTCTAGTACTACTACCCTTTTCCTTTACTTTTCAGCCAGGTAATGTCTGTTCTTATTTCAGATCTTAAAGAATCACTTTCTCCAGGAAGCATTCTTCAATATCAACAAATAGGTACATCACATGTATACTCCAAAAGTTTCAGATCATTTCATATTAGAGATTAGTAATGCTCAACCTGCATTAACAACCCTTTCCATATCTTAACACAGCTAGCTGTTTAGAATATTCTGTCCCAAAGTATGAAAGTATACAGTATGCATATATAGACATGTCAAATATAACCCCTTATATAACTCATTGATGCACTAAAAATGTTTGAAAAAAAGAATGTCTGTCCCATTTAGTATGCATACTATTCTATAATATGAATTTTAACCTAGTATGCATTTTTCCAAACATAGAAAAATAGATATACCCCAAGTAACACAACTGGGATTCCACCCCTTGTCTAAGAAACACCCAGTTCATATTCATCCACTCTACTGACTCACAAAATCACTAACTCATCAAGACATTTGACAAGCCCATCAAAGTTGATAAAGAAAAACAGTAAGTAGTATTCAGTGATTTAAATCAGAACACTATAAAGGATGTTATACATTTCAACATATTACATATATAGCATTTTAAATATTTAATACAAAGATGTATAATCATGGGAGGCGTATAAGCCTGAGAGAAACTGAGCTAACTCACTCTAAAGGATATCAAACCCAACTCTAGAAGTCTACAAAATAGCAATGTTACAAAAGAAAAGCAAAAAATTTTGCTTTTACTGTTAACCCTGATGGATTATACTTTAAAATCAACACTTTTCAAACATTCAAGAAATCCTAGTGATACATATTATAAGTAGGCAAATATTAATTTTGGAGCTAAACCTCACAAAAGTCCAAATTTACATTTTGTCTATTATTTTTAGATCATAACATACCTTTATTTCTAGCAAATGTTTGCATGGCACCACCCAGGATTTCTAATTTTTTATAAATGATGAGTCCAGCCTAAAAAAAAATAAACATAGAAACAAAGAATATAGTAGAATAACTAAAATAAAAACTATACATCCCACTTCTAGAGGAATGTAAAAAGAATAATCCACAAAGCACCCAAACAATTGAGTTCAAACTATTATGTTACACAAAGACCATGTCTTCATTTAATCACCATTCCAGTTGTGAGAATTAAAAGTTGAAGTTTTTATCTATTAGCATAATATTAAAATCAAGTATCCAAACCAAATAGCTTTTAAATGGAATTTTACCAAAATAAAATCTAGTGAGAGAAATATTTACTTACAGATATTAACTTCCGACATTTCATTAAATGCATTGAGAATGTCAGCTAGTGTCTGAATAGTCATTTTAATTAAGTATTGTGAACAGGAGTTATCACATTACACTGAACCCTCACGAACACAGATGCTATAAAGCTGTGCTAGTCTAAAACAGTACTATATTTTTTTTCAAAAAAGGAAAACTATCACTCTCTTTCCCTGACAAAAATAAACTTCTTCCTGGCACAAAGCATAGGAGTATCTACTCCAAAACATGATGTAAAATTGGAAATGACAAGATACTCAAGAAATAAAAGTATGGCAAAGTACCATGCCTGTAATCCTGCTGCTACTCAGAAGGCTGAGATCTGAAGCTCTCAGTTCAAAGCCAGTCTGGGCAGGAAAATCCTTGATAGTCTTATTAAATTAACCACCAGAAAAAACAGAAGTAGAGTTGTGGCTCAAGTAGTAGAGTATTAGCCTTGAGGAAAAAAAAGCTCTGGGACAATAGCCAGGCCGAGTTCAAGTTCTGAGAGCAGCACATGCACGCACGTGCGCACGCGCGCACACACAAACACACGCACACACGCACATGCGCACACACAGACACACGCGTATGAATTAGCAGAAAAGAAATGCACTGTGGAATAAAATATATTTCTTAAATTTAGTCATACACATATACAAAATGCTATTTAAAAAGATAAGCCCAAGCCTGGTGTGATAGCACATGCATGTATTCCCAGCGCTCCGAAAGCTAAGTTTAAGGTCAGACTAAGCTAAAAATTACAAAATTAAATTTAAAAGTACATTAAAAGGGGCTGGGAAGGTGGCTCAGTGGCAGAGCACTTGCCTTGCATGCATGAGGGCCTGGGTTCGATTCCTCAGCACCACATAAGCAAAAAGAAAAAAGCCGGAAAGCGGGGCTATGGCTCAAGTGGTAGAATGCTAGCCTTGAGCTGAAGAGCTGAGGGACAGCGCCCAGGCCCAGAGTTCAGGCCCCACGACCGGAACCAAAAAAAAATAAAAGTACATTAAAAGCACATTTTTCATATAAATATGAAACATATGTAAAAACAGAAGCCAACTAAGCTTGGAAGCAATTTTCTAAATTTTCATCACATTTTAAATATAAATATAAGGAATAAAGCCAGTTTCAATAGACAGGTTTATATTAAATTGCTTATATGCCATGTATGCATGCCGACTCTGAGCCTTTTGTGTCTCAGTCAAGTTCACATTTATTTTACACTCAAATTGGGTATCATTTTGACTTTCTAAAAATGAAATAACTAGCATTAAACAATCTGTTCATTTGTATTTACTCATTAACATCAAGAATTATTTCACTTCATATCTTCCTAAGCATTTTTTATGCAAAGCCAACATGATGCCACTATCATAAAATTTGTAAAGTAATATATGAGTTTAAAAAATAAATCACAACCTAAAGATCTTTTTAGTACATACATAAGCATCAGTAGCTGCATACAGCTTCTGGTCTTCAGAGAGGGGAAAGTTACTCCAGTTGCTACAGCGAATAGCTTTGTCTTTCAGAAGCTGTTTATATAAGAGGTGTTTAACCAGGCCATTAAGGCTCCAGGTCTCTGAACATTTCAGCTGTAAGTAATGAAAAAGCAACATAACAAACATTACTTCCATTATTATATATTCTTAAATACCATCAAATGGCAAGGCCAAAAACAAAATTCAAAATCTACTAAAATACAACTGAGGGATGGTCCTGAATAATTTCCTGTCTTAAAAACTTCATCTGTAGTTATGACGAAAAAGAACTTTACAACTTTGATGGGGGGAGGGTGGGGAAGATGGGAAGCGATGGGAAGGGAAAACAAAGGAGGAGGCTACAATGCTTGATAAGAAATGTACTCATTATCTTGCCCATGTAATTGTAACCCCTCTGTACAGTATTTTCACAACAAAAAAATACATATATAAGTAAATAAATAAATAAATAAACAAACTTCATCTGTAGTCTATATTGTAGGATTTAAGTCTGAAATTTCTCTCATATAGAAATTAAAACATCCAGGCTTTGAAAGTATTATTCGTGAAAAAGTCAAATGGGTTAGCATGCTTTCTATTTCCCAGTCAAATGAATACCTGACTAAATATGAAAACTTAATGAGTTCATTAATAAAATATGCGAAATTTGAAAAATTAAATGGTCAAATTTCCACTAAGAGCACTATATCACAATGGCAGCATTATTTTCTTCCTTTAAGAGTATTTAATATAATGCATTGAAAAAAATCAAATATATTTAGACTGCAAATATATGAAATAAAAGAAAATAGTCCAAGAATCACAGGGATAGGAGCAAAAATGTTTGCTTAGAAAAACTAATCATAAAGATAATGAATTAGAAATGAAGGTTTTCATTATGGAAATCCACTATGAACATGTATACTGGCACAAAACCAGCAAGGTTTTTGCTTAAAGCTATTTTCTTTAAACATAAGATAAAACAACACTGATAAAGAAAAACATTTTGTAAAACAAAATTACCTTGCTTATGAAAATAATACATGTATTACTTCTACCTTTTCATTGGCAACATCTTTCAACTCCACGAAACTTGTCAACTTGACATCAAAGTCATGCAGAAGTTTCCATTGATCTCCTTCAATTCCTACCCCCACCTTTTTAATTGCTGTATTTTCAAGTAATCGTTTTAATCCCTGGGGAAAAACTGTTAACATTAAATTATTATTTCCAAAATATGTGCTGAATATAAAGCATATTCTCTATACTTCTATTTGTTGGTTTCTTTTGTTTGTTGAAACAGGGTCTCTCCAGGCTGTTTAGGAGGCCTAGAACTCTTATCCTGTCTCAGGAAGATCCTGAGTGCTGGGGATTATGATGTGTACCACCAGCCTAGCTCTACTTCTTATACATACCACATGGATTTTTTAATTTGTATATATATTACATTTCAATTTAGAATCACATCCACCTTAATAATTCTATCCTAACCTAGAGCAAAAAGTTCAGACAACTGACAACAACAACAACAAAAAATTAAGTTTGAATGGCACCTCTGCTAGATATTCACCATGAACCTTGAACTTTTATTTTCTTTTTTCTATAACAGGCTTCACAGTATTATTATAAAAATTAAATAACACATGGAACATGAATGAATCATAGAACATAAATAGATGAAAAGAAAAAAAATCCTAATTTTTCAGAGAAAATGTTTATACAATTATCAATTATATAAAAATGAAACAGACACCCACCTGACATAGAAGAAATGTGAAACAAATAACATTTGTTCTCAGACACACATAACTGAATTAGTGCAACTCTGCTTGGTTTCCCTTTTCTATTAATGGGTGGCCATTCCATGTCAAATCCTACCACTTCCCCATCAGACAGATTTACGCTAAAGGAAGAAAAACAGTGTAAAGTAACTGCATTAAAACTTTAATCTTTTTTAGAAAAATACAAAAAAGAATTTAAACTTCTGCATAACTGATGATATCACTTGAAAACTAACGCACAAATCAAAGAGTGGTAAAAGGTATCTGTGATACACATAACTTTTATAAGTACATCCAGCAAGTATTAAAAGTTCCTTGAAAAATCATTAAGACAAAAAGAGAAATAATTCAGCACATAAATGAAAAAAAAATCCAGAATAAGCAATTCTGAAAAAAATTAAAATGGTAATAAATCCAAATAAATATGTATACATACTAATTCTCCCTACACAATTTCACCCTATATGACTGGCAACAGATATAAACCTGCCTACCCAACCTAAGGCCTGGGTTCAAACCCAGTACCACTAAAAGTAAAAGCAAGTAAATGAGTAAATAATGATAAATATGCTCAAGAATTTTAAAGTAGAATAACTAGAATGACAACCAAAATGGAAATCATTTTTTTTAATTTGGAACTTCTAGAAATGAAAAATTCCTACAAATATTCAAAGGATAAACAGCAGACCTGACACAACAGATGAAAAATATTATGACCTTGAAGACATAGCAAAGAAACAATCGCAAAGAAGCAGAGCAAGAAAAAAGAGACATAATGAAAATAGTATCAAACAAACTAACTGGTGAGTATTTACAGTCCCAGAGAAAGAAAAAATTTATTTGAAGAAATAAAACTTAATCACAAGCAAGATGAACAAAAGCTATACTACACAAAGGCATATTACAATCAAATCGTTTAAAAACATCTATGATGGAAAAATTTTTAAATAGATATGGATGGATTCAAAACAAAAAACAAAGCCTTTTATAAAATATATTCATCAAAACTACAATTCTTCAAGTTTACTGCCTCCATATATCACATACTAGATCAATGCCAAGGGTAACATGGTGAAGCTGATATCATCATGTAAATTATATGGAGTAGGCAAAAAGAAAAACAATACTGGGGGGGGGGGGGGGAAGCTGGGGAAGTGGGGAGGGAAGGGATGGTAGGGGAAAAATAAAAGAGGGGGTAACAATGCTGGATAGGAATTGTACTCTTTACCTTACTCATGTAACTGTAACCCCTCTGTACAGTTTCTTTACAATAAAAAATATTAAAAAAAAAAGAAAAAGAAAAATACACCAAGGAGGCAGGGAGGAGGTGTAGCACCATCTCTATGTCCCAGCACTGCCCTGGAGTTACAGCTGAAAACCGCTTCCCTGCTCTCCCTCCTCCTTCCCTTTCCCTATCCCTATCTCCTCTCCCTCCCTCTCCCACTCCCTCTCATTTTCCTATCCTTCTCTCTTTCTCCTCTCTTTCCTCTCCATTGCCTCCTTTTTTCCTCTCTTCTCTTATTACTAACTCGCCTTTGCCTCTCCCTCTATCTCTCTAGACCTCTCCTCTTCCCTCACCTCCTCTCCTCTCTGCTCAGTTCTACAAATACCAACAAGAACTTTCTAGACCCTAAAGGTGGGCGAGAGGTCTTAACTATATAGATGTACTTTCATGCATGCACCTTCCCTCAAATCATCCATCATCTTTACTTAGAGGACACCTAAGTAAGCAAACCACTCTTCATCTCCCAGTTCTTAAAGTGTCCTCCCATTTCTTGGAAAACTAAATAATTATGTACATCCTATCAATGTTATCATATCATCTACAGCTCATAAAAGTGCCTAAGCCCTGAGGACACTGCTTGATTGCTTGGTCAATTTGTTTCCCCTCAAATTCTTTTTTATTTTTTTTTTTTGGGGGGGGGGGTCATGTCCCAGAGCTTTTGCACTCAAGCCTGGTGCTCTACCACTACTACTTCTAGGTTTCTGGTGGTTAATTGGAGGTAAGAATCTCACAGACTTTCTTCCCCTGGCCAGCTTCAGAACCACTATCCTTAGATCTCAGCCTCCTGGGTAGCTAGGATTACAGGCACAAGCCATGGGCCCAGAAGCATTTGCTTCTGCTTATATACATCTTGCTACTAGAACTCTTTTGTATGTATGCTCCTGAATTTTTTGCTGAGACCAAGAATCTGCCATTCATCTCAGCTGACAAGTAGCCTTGACCTTTTCTGTGAGTCAAATTTGAGTCACTATGAGACCCAAAAGTAGCCAATTAACAGGAGGGAAAGCAAGAACGACTGCATACTATTTCTAGATTAGATCTACCACTAGGAGAACATTAATAAATAACTTTATTTACTTCTACTATTTTAACACAATGTGAAACAGTTTAAAAATAAAAGGACAGTTTTATTTCAAAGATCTTACTACTTGTTATTATAAAATACTTCAGAAGTCTTACTTTTCATTATAACAAGGTACCTTGGCTGTTCCTTCCAAAACTCATGTCAAAATTTAATCCTAACTGCAAATACTATTAATACTGTTAGGAGATGGGGCCTAATAAGAAAGAGGTAAAGAGGTCATGAGGGCTCTCTGCCCCCTGGATGGGTTAACATTCCTATCTCAGAGATAAGTTGGTTACTGTAAGAGTATGGACACCTTTTTATAATATATCACAAAGGCAAGTACCAATATAGTGAGGAGATCCTAGACTTCAAAACTGAGAAATAAATTTGTATATTTCATAAATGATTTCTTCTGAGGAAATTTTGTTACGGTAGCAGAAAACAAACGAGAGAAATACTGAAAGTACTAAGTGTAATTTCTAGTATTTTTTTAAAGAATTATTTGGTGTTAACTGCCACAAATCAAATAAAATAGATCTAATCATAAACATTAATTAATACATTATGTTGGTATTTTTAGTTATATTTTTAGTTATAAATAGGCATGTTATACTTTGCATTTTTTCTAAACTGCTAAAATACACACAATATGTCTAACAGTTCTATATATCACATCCTAAGTTTAAAAGTAAATATATATATATATATATATATCTAAAGCAATAGAAAAGTTTATCAATGAACAAAAGTACATTACAAATTTAACTCATTTTTTTAATTTGAAAAACTTTGTGTACAAAGTTTTGTGTACTATGTGTACAAATAATTTTCTCTGTATGTATGCAACTGTAAAATCAGTATTCTTACAATTATTACTCAGGATTCTTGCAAATCCTAGAAGATTATATCTTTGAAGGGCTCAGATTCAGTGAAATTAAGAAATTCAAACCGCTTACCTAATATTTTCTGATAGAAAAGAGCAATCACTAGCTTCATAACTATAAACAATGGATCCAGTGAATTCTAAGAAGGGGAGGTCATCTTCAAAAACACTCTTCTGAATATATGCCTTGAGTTAAGTAAAATTTAGAATAGTTGTAAAGTTCATATAAAATAATAAATGTTCACTGAAATAAAGACCATTGAAGCATTTAATTTATACGTCTAAGTTTTACCAGTTAATACTTTATAAACGAATGGTCGATTAACAATAATAAAGCTATCCAATTACAAAATTATTCCCAGTCATTCTGTTTTCCAATTTCTAATCTTATTTTATGAAGCCATTTAATTTACTGATTTTTTTCTGAAAAGGATATTACTATTCTAGGGGCTTGAACTCAGGGCCTGCACATTGTCTCTGAGCTTCTTTTGCTTACTAGCACTACCACTTGAGCCACAGCGCCACTACTGGCTTTTTCTGTTTATGTGGTACTGAGGAATAGAACCCAGAGCAGGGCTTCATATATGCGAGGCAAGCACTCTAACAGTAAGCCAGATTTCCAGCCTTAATGTGGCCTTCGTATGCTGATTCCCGGTACCAAATCTTTTTTTTTTTCTTTTTTTGTCGGTCGTGTGGCTTGAACTCTGGGCCTGGGAGCTGTCCCTGCGCTCTTCAGCTCAAGATAAGTGCTCTACCACTTGAGCCACAGCACCACTTCTGGTTTTCTAGTGGTTAATTGGAGATAAGAGTCTCATGGACTTTTCTGCCCAGTCTGGCTTTGAACAGTGATCCTCAGATCTCAGCCTCCTCTGTAGCTAGGATTACAGGCGGGAGCGACCGGCGCCTGACTCCTGGTACCAAATCTTAAGTCTGTACAGGACTTAAACTCAACCAAAAGCTTCACCAATATTAACGTTTAAATTATTAACTAGAATTAGTAAAGTGAATCATGAAAACTGGATACAGAGAAAGTATACTGTAAGAATTCTCATTGTGTAAACTAAATAATACTTTGTTCTATTGACTCATTCAATAACTGCATCCTGGTTCACTCACATAACAGAAAGGGTCTTACCTAAATAAGGACCTGAAGTTTAAAAGTAAGGAATAACTCATTATACACTAAAATTTAAATTAAACTTCCCAGTTTAAAGAATAATCAATAAATATACCTTTCTTTCCTCTTCAGTACATCCTTTATTCTGCATAGACACCATCCATTCAGGAAATTTACGCTGTGGTGGTGGTGTTTCCAATTTTTTGCCATTCATCTCTAAAATGTCCCAGCTGCAAAATAATAGTAACAACAACAATGATAATAATGGCCTGAGAAGCAACTACAGCAAATATTTGAAAAGAAACTCAGTCATTTCAATATGATTGAAAAACAAACACATATTCAAAGTAAGCAATAACATGTAAGCTCAAGTAGAAGATGTGAAATCCCAAAGAAAAAAGAAAATGTCTCAAAGACACAGATATAATACTCTAGATTTATTAATTATACAATAAGTATCTCTTCCTTTTAACACTATTTGGCCTATTAAAATTGAGTTCTAAGCTTCTAGCAATTCAAACTTTTATTATTCTATGGTATTGATTCTTTCATAGAATATCCTGAATAAGAAAAAAGCCAGAAGTGGCGCTGTGGCTCAAGTGGTAGAGTGCTAGCCTTGAGTTGAAGAGCTGAGGGCCAGTGCCCAAGCCCAGAGTTCAGGCCCCAGGACCAACAACAAAAAAAAATATATATATATACCACTTTCTTTTTACTCTGTAATGGAAACATAAACCAATTAACATTTTCTACAATGTAAACCAAACTTCAAGTATGGATAAATAGTGAGTGAAAAAATGATAACATTTTGTTACTGACAAAATAGATCTACACCTTGGCATAGCATACATTGAAGCAGTGTAAAGTTCCTGGCAAGTTCCTCACACCTCAAACTTTAGTTCCCATTATCTCAAGAGAATAGAGCTTTTAACATATAGAAAATTCACATGATAAAAGATGTTGACACTATAAAAATCATCCCACCAACTATTAAGATTAATACATTTTACTAGACGAAAAAATGCTAGTCTGCTATCTAGACAAAAAAATTAGCAAAACAGAATTCAACTATATACATTTTTTTTATTTTATTTTATTGTAAAGATGCTGTACAGAGGGGTTACAATTGCATGAGTAAGGCAACGAGTACATTTCTTATCGAACATTTTATATAAACTTTTTACTGTAAGCCTACGATTATGGATTAATTTAAAGCCAGAAATGGAGGCTGGGGTCACATAAACAGTGCAAATATTAGATCACACTACAGGAACCCAAAATCTAAACAACTTGCTTTAACCAATGACTTTGTATATATCACTCATAAAACAGTTATTATACAGCCATATGCTTCCTAATGTAGAAAAATGGGACATCTTTGGAGTGTGTTTCTCAGTTTGAAGGGAAAAAAAAGAATGTTCCATCTGCACTTGTTTGCCTGTATTTTGTTGTTGGACTAGATCCATGATTCACAAAATGAGAACTGATAATCCAACTGTTGCTGCACCACATGCATTAGTTAGTAACATAAAAATTTGTAAATATATGTATGCTTTATGAAATAAGGCATTTTACAAATGTCAGTGGTTATTATACTCTATTTTGCCACCAATTCAAAACATGACCTAAGCCAAAGTTGATTCCAAATTATGTATGTATAGTGTATATATATATATATATATATGTAGGTAGGTATATACATGTATGTATGTATAATATATATAATATGTTAATCTTAAAATATATTTTGTAAGCTGGATGCTGGTGGCTCAGGCCTGTAACACTAGCTACTCAGAAGGCTGAGATCTGAGGATTGCAGTACAGTTCCACCCTAGGCAAGAAAGTCCATGAGACTCCTATCTCCAATAAACAACTCAGAAAAAGCCAGAAGTAGCCAAGTGGTAGAGCACTAGCCTTGAACACAAAAAGGCTCAGGAACAGCATCTAGACCTTGAGTTCAAGACCCAGGACTGGTTAAACAAAAAAAAATGTGCGTGCGTGCGTGCGTGCGTGCGTGCGTGTGTGTGTGTGTATCACAAGCTTGTGTAATATCAAGAGTAGATCACAAGCAAAATGCAAAAGAAATTTTAAAACTATGATTTCAACAAATAATGCAAATTCTATAAAAAAGAACTACAGAATCTTGGAATTTTGTAGTTTACTTACAATGATAAAACAAAAATAAACCCTAGCTCTCATCTGAGATACTGTAACACTAAGCTCATTTTAATTTGAAATATCTAATTCTTAAGATATAAAAAGGCTCTTTTGAAAACAAAATTTGATCTGGATGCTTCCAGGCAAAACATTTGAAAGCTAATTTTTTTTTTTCAGAACTAAATTTGGTCAAGTTTACTTAGACATAGGGTAAATGGAAACACACAGAAAATTTAAGTCTTAGAATATCTGCAATAGGGAAATCTTCTAACCACATAGTAAGAATTTTTTTTCCTGGAGAGACAAAAGCTATTTTGGGAAAGGATCAGTCATAGTATAAAGGAATTTTTATTTGCACGTTTAGCTATGTTTTGAATACAAACAACTTTGACACATCTTTTTCTAAAAGCACATTATCATTTCATAGTTTTCTATTGCACCATTAAGGGAACTTGTATCACACACTCCTCCCTCCATTGAAAAAAGTATGTTTTGCTTTGCTTTGCTTTGAACTTTTCTGAAATTATCTTGGGTATCCTTTACCTACTATCGCTTTCCAAACTTCATCTAGATTTTTTTAAACTATCTAGGATTTTTACTGTTACTTTTCATTTTTCTGTGATTTTTTAAATTATGAACAGCCCAACCTGAACATTTGCCTTTCAGTAGGGACACTCATCTCATTCACAAATGGGACAAAAATAAGTTTACCTTTCACTCTTCGTATGCATCTTACTTTCTTTGCTTCCTTTTTTCTAACTTGCTGAAATTTTCAGCAATTCCTTTACTGACCTTTATTTAAGATAAATTCAAGACTTTAAATTATACTCTATTTGTAATAAAGACTTAATATTTTTTTTCAAACTATCACAAATAAGCTTAACTGCACAAGAGGAAGCAAAGGGTCAGAGCTTCTGCCTCACAAGACTGAAAAACTCCTTTTCCAGCCACTAGCCAGTATTCCAGCAACTCAGCTCCTTAACCAATCTTCAAGGGTTCAAAGAATCTTCAAATATAGTAGCTTCTCCTTTCTTTAAGAAGTTCAGGGCTGGGAAAGTGGTTCAGTGGTACAGTGCTCGCCTAGCATTCATGAAGCCCTGGGTTCAATTCCTTAGCACCACATACACAGAAAAAGCCGGAAGTGGTGCTGTGGCTCAAGTGGTAGAGTGAGTTTCCTGAGCGAAAGCTCAGGAACAGTGGCCAGGCCCTGAGTTCAAGCCCCATGACTGGAAAAAAAAAAAAAAAAAGTTCAATTCTTCAGATGATAGAAGCAAAATTTTGAAAACAATTGAAATTTTATAACCGATATTTCTACCACTCATCTTCTGTAGGATTCATATAACTTTAATTGAATATTCTCAAAATACTTCCACTTCCTACTTCCAAAGCTAGTCGTTTACTCTAAATTTATAAACTGTTAGTACATGTCAATATGCTTTCTCCTTACATTTCTATGTGTGTGTTGAGACAGGGTCTTAATATGTTGCCCAGGTTCAACTCAAAGTCCTGATCCTCCTGACTCTTCAGTGCTGGGATTACAGACCTGTACCACCATACTCAGCCTAATCACTACATTTTTAACTGAGTTAATTCAATTCTCAAATGCCAGTTCAAGATGCCATTTTGCTGAGCAAAAACTATACTTCAATAAGTTTACAAAGACTGCTGAGACTCTGAGGATTGAGGTTTGAAGCCAACCTGGGCAGAAAAGTAAAATATATCTGTGAAAATACCAAATTTCCTGTACCTTACTCCTCCTGAACATAGTGCTCCATAAAAACAAGAAGGCACAGACTCAGCAAAAGTGCAGCCCTGATGCTGTACTTTACATTGAGACCTTATTAACTTGATTCTAGAGTTCATCACATTTATCAATTATTATGGGTAAATAGTAAATTAGGTTACATCAATAAAACAATACTGTACAGTTTGAGGGATCTGTTTCTTCTTCATTTTGGGGTGGGTGTGTGGGTGTGTGAGTATGTTGGGAGGGGCGGTGACGTGCACATGTCTTTCAGTTTGTGTCTGTCTGTGTGCTGGTACTGAAGGATCAACTCAGGGCCTCCCATTCTTTCACCCCTGACCCCCATCCTGGGGCTTGAACCCAGGACCTGGGCACTGTCACTAAGCTTTTTCACTCATGTCTACTGTTCTACCACTTGAGCGATACTTCCATTTCCAACTTTTTGGTGGTTAATTGGAGACAGAGAGTCTCACAGACTTTCCTGCCAAGGCTGGCTTCAAACAATCAGATCTTCACATCTCAGCTTCCTGGGCCTCTCCTATCTTACATAGCTTTTTCACTCAAGAGACCAGGAGGCCCACAGTGGGGAAGGGAGTTAGTAGATTCCCTTTCACCCAATAAGCTAAGTGTGGTGGTACACACCTGTCTGTGCGTGCCTGCAGATATTTGGGAGGCCACAGACAGGAGAATAAAGTATAGACCAGCTCAGAGCAAAAACAGAATACCATATCTTAAAAATGACCTGAAGCAAAAAAGGTTGGAAGTATAGTTCAAGTGAGCAGAACACCTGCTTAGCAATTGTCAGCCCTGAGTTCAAGCCCAAGAACTCCCCGCCTCAAAAATTTTTTTTTTAATTTTTTTTATTTCAGCTGGGCACCAGTGGCTCCCGCCTGTAATCCTAACTACTCAGGAGGCTGAGATCTAAGGATCGAAGCTCAAAACCAGCCCAGGCAGGAAAGTCTGTTGAGACTCTTATCTCCAATTAACCACCAGAAAACCGGAAGTGGCACTGTGGCTCAAGAGCACTCACCTTGAGCTGAAGAGCTGAGGGACAGTGCCCAGGCCCAGAGTTCAAGCCCCACAACTGACCAAAAACAAAACTTAATTTTAATTTCATGTATTTTTATGCACGTATACAAAAACATGCCAAATAGTAGTGGTTATCTCCAATTACTAATGGCCTTTACTTTTCTTCTTTATATTTTCCTAATAACTAATGCCAGTTATTAATATCCTATAAGAATTTACCAATAAAAGGCATATAGGATTTTTTTTAAAAATAAACAAGAAAGAATGGGCACAGTGGTTCATGTCTGTAATTTCAGCTGCTTG